GTAACCCCCCTCACACCACTCCCAAACCCCCTTCGCCTGTCCCGTCCCCCCTTCCTCCACCCCCCTCAACGCCCACACCACATCCTCCCTCTGCCCAGGATGCCAGTCCCCAAACGGCACCACATACCTCCCCCCATCCCCCCCTTCCACGCCCCCATGCAACCCCGCCCAAAGATTCGTATACGCGCCCATAACACTCCTGGACAACAGCGGATAAAACGGCCAATAATAGTACCACGGACAAGTCCGCCACGTATTCGTATGCAAACTGCCCGGATTAACCGCGAGATGAACGACCCCAGCATCACGCGCGGCGCGCCGATGGTATTCGGATGCTAGGAAGTAGTTCGCGGCTTTGCTCGCCGCGTAGTGGAGATTGATATCCGGTCCGGGGTTGCTTAATTGTTCGATCCGCACGCCTCCCAGAGGAGCCATCATCTCGACCAGTATACTCGCCGTCCAGATCACCCTCACAGTATTCTGTGGCCGCGACTTTGCCGTGGCGATGAGGGAGGGCATGAGGAGTTTGGTAAGGAGATACGGACCTGCGACATTCGTCGCATAATGCATTTCCAGTCCCTGTTCCGAGCGGCGCTCGAACGGCGCACTTGCCACGCCGGCGTTGTTGAATAAGACGTCCAACTCTTTCGATAGCTGCTTAAACTGCTTCACAGCCGGCGCGATGGTGGAGAGATCGGAGAGGTCGATGTGGATGTGATGGAGTGTGCCTGGTGTGGAGGAATTTGAGGATTCTTTGATCCGATTCATACACGCGACAGTCTTCCCCTCATCCCTCGTAAACATATACACGTTCCCGCCTTTATCATACAGTATCTTTGCGAGATCAAACCCCACACCGCTCGTGGCGCCTGTGACGATGAAATGTTTCCCGGTTTGATCGGGGAGGTTGGCTTCCGTGAGGGGCGGTTTGGGCGGGAAGAACTGCTTGTAGATGAGGGAGAGGTCGGTGGACATTGTCAGTTTAGACATTTTTGTATGAGCGGAGCGCTGGGGTGCTCGCTTTTGGTTGTAGGGGAGTTTCTTGGGGGGTGTTAGGATGTATTTGGGCTGTGTGTTGAATGAGTGTTTGAACTTAGAAGGTTTTCGCTAGTTACCGAGTATAGAGAGAGAGCATTAGATGGGTATTCGAAGTGTATATAAAAACAAAACCGAATAACAGGAAATCCTATGGCCAGGTGGGTTAGTTGGCTGAGGTTGTTCGTCTTACTCACAACACTACCAACACAATAACCCCACTTTACCAACTTTCCAACACAACTCTCACCACACCCTAACAGGCTGAAAGGAAAGCCAAGTCATCCTGATATACATGTATCAGGGAACTTTAGATTACTGAATCAAGAACCAAAGCACACAGAAAGCAGTATCAAGAACGAAAAACAAGATACTGAACATGTTGGGAAGTGGAAGCATTATATCAAATCTAATTTCACAATATGCGAGTAGAAATTATAACATAGTAGAGCGAACAAGCGATTACATTGAAACATTAGCTATGGTAAGCAACATATGCCATGCTCTTCAGCAAAATACTCATCAAATCATTGCAAGGGACATTTCCATCTACTCATCATCATTGATATCGATCTCCGTCTTCTTCCATTTACGCGCTGGCACCTTGCGTTTGAACAAGATGTCAATCTCACGGTAAGATCGCCCCTTCATCTCAGGAAGGTAGAAGTATGCGGCAATCAAGCAGACGAGACCAGTTCCACCCCAGACGTAACCACATTTACCACCAAGGTTTCCACCCTACAATATGTCAGTGGTCATTTCGGCAGACTCAAGGTGTAGTACTTACAGTTGGGTTGAGCATATAACTTGCGAGGAAAATGCAAGGAATTTCGACAATATAGTAGCAAGCACGTCCAATACCAGTGGTAAGGGGTCGAAGACGGATAGATGAAGTTTCTCCAATAATGACCCAGGATGCAGGAGCAGGACCCAAAGTAAACAGAACCGAGACGATCAATCCCAAGGATGCCTGTGCAAGACTAGCCGCGTGCGATGCACCAACCGAGGCTGCAATACCGAGACAAATGAGTAGAAATACGTTGATTGCTGAACCCCAGAGATAAATGGTTCGTCGACCGATGTATGTGGTTAGGATCCAAGATAACATGACGAAGATCCATTGTAGGGCAGAAGTAATCAGACCAAGAGCGAATGCGGTGTCAGTGCTTATACCAGCCTCTGTTCTGAATCAGTATGATTTTTAAAGGGCGATGACGAAACTTACGCTCGAAAAAGTAGACGGCCTGATTCGCAATCAAGTTACCAGTCAAATTCTGTGCCAGGTACACGCAGCAAACGATAAGAGTACGGTAACGGTCAACACCTTTCCATAACTCGAGGTGATTTGGTTCCTTGTCGGACAATTCAAGCTCAACGGTACGACGCATCATGGCCACGGTTTCACCTGGGTTCGATCTGGACTTTCGTCCAAGACGCCCAACAGCATTGACTGCCTCATCGAGACGACCTTTTCGCACCAACCACCATGGTGACTCTGGTGCACAGAAGATAAGAATTGCAAGTGGGGTTGGGAACAACCATTGGAGGGCGATGGGGATTCTATCATCAGTCAGTTAGGGTTGATTGCAGTGATCAACTGCACATACCTGTACGCGTCCGCGTTGGGACTGGTGTTGTAATGATATGTGACACCACCCACAATGATACTACCAATGGCCCAGAACATTTGCAACATCTGGGTAGCAGGAGCACGAAGTCTCAGTGGTACAATCTCACTGCAGTATGCCGGAGCGTTGGCAATAAAGATACCCCATGGCATGCCCTCGAGAAGTTGAGCGACAAACATAATAGGAAGTGAGTTGGCAAAGTAAAAGATGAAGATGAAGCCGTTTAAAGCCATCAAACCCGTGATCGTTGCCCATCGGTATCCAATACGACTGGTGAGAGGACCGGCGAGGAAGACTCCGATTAAAGCACCGAGTTGGCCTGAGACTTGAAGGGCGGACTGCCACTTGGTCTCAATCACGTATTTGCCGGTCGCAGGGTTGATGATACCGAATTCTCTGGTGAAGGCGGGTAGAGCGATGAAGTTACCGATGAGGAAGACACAGTAAGATTCCATGATCTGAAGGGTTAGCATGGGATTCGTACATGGGATTGATCCACGGATCGGTTTCAATATCAACTTACAATGGTGCAAGACATGACGAATGCCCACAGAGATGCCATCGGATATGCTTTCACGGCCTCCAACACGCCCATGTTGTGTTCGGCATTCTCTGCCTCAATGGCACTGGCCTTGTATTCGGAAGCCTTTGCATTTTGATCGAAGTTGGCAGTGTCTTCGATCTGAGCCTTTTCATCGGCCATCTTGACATCGTGGGTAGTATCGATAGCCATGGTGTCTATCTTCCTAGACGGCTATCCCTGGATGATGAAGATTCGAGATGAAGTAAAGAGGGAGAGAAGAGGGAGAGGAGAGAGCGTGTTCCTGAGATCCAACTGTCGTGACGGCGAAGGTACCACCCTTTATGCCCTCCATATCGCACTTGCCCTCTCCACTTCCCCTTCCACTTCACATCCACTTCGTGCCAGTCCACCATTGCTCCAGACCTCTAGCCTCCATTCTCCAGACGCTCCATTCTGGGGACTCCATTTGCTGTATACGATCCATTCTAGTTCGTCAAACTAAGATAAGATTCATGTCGGGGACATTGTGGAGCTTGTTTAGGCTTGGGTGAGCTTGATTACGAGTCTGCCGGCCGGTATGGAAGGGAGATTCCTGACACGTGCTCGGCGCTCATCAACGGGTGAGATGTCCTTGTATGAATCAGTTAATAGCGACGAGGAGAAAGTAGTACGAGCGGCAAACAGGAAGACGCTGGCTTGGCTTGAACAGGTTACACAATCGCACTTGTCAGTCGTGACTTGAGCGAGGAAGAGGAAATGTCCAGGGGTAGCGGGGAGCTACCCAATCTGGGGTCGACTATCTTATACGCGGCCCAATGGGGAAGGTGGGCTAACGGAGCGGCCCCACTAATATCCCGCTGATGTTGTGCTTCGCTTGGTAAAGATTCCGCCAATCAAGTCTGGACCGAGGATCGAGCCGAAGCCACGTCGGCACTACCCTTGAAAATACCTGGATTTCGTACCTTCACAGCAATTGCCATCCCTTCACAAATAATTTGTATACGTTGTCTAACTCAATTTCATACATCAACAGTTTTTCTTAACCGTTCTGCTACTCTTTTCTCCTCTTGAAATCGATTATTTCGGTTATCTTAAACCATCATTTAGGGAACAGTGAAATCAGAGGATCCCAACTACTGCGGAGACCTCCACAGAGACATCTCAGCATGACGGGGTGACCCCGTATTAACCCCATTGCCCCAATCTTTCTCCGTCTTCGAGTTTTTCCATGTTGCGAGACAGTCAATCTATGATCCAAGCATGACCTTCTGCACCGGTTCATCTCCACCAAGAAACCATGTGTACAGGAATTTTCCATTGGACGTGCTTCCCATTTTACGAGTGGTCGTAGATGATGACCCATTCGCGGTAGGCCGGCTTAAGCTTCTATGAATAGCTATGACCCCTCGCTTTTAGATTGATTAATCGTTATAGTCTTTAATTCGAGACAGGTAACATGGAAGAATTATTTCTTCGATTTCGAATCCACCTTGTAGTGCCGGCCTTGACTCAAGACCGAGACCGTGGAGTCGGTGTGGAAAGCTTGATTTGATCTCGAACAATATATATTCGGTATCTCGCATGTGATTCACGTCTTGGATGCTGTCATCATCAAAAGCTTTGATCTCTGTCTCCATTCTCATTTATCTCTTTCCTCAATCTCTCTCACCTGCTCAATGTTCAGTTCAGCAATTCCCCTGCCATATCATTTCCACTTCTTCAACTTCCTCTGCACACTCTTCGCCTCGTATTGCCATTCTCTGAGTCGGATTTGAGGATCACTATTCGCGTCCTTTAAATTCATTGGGGTTTCCCACAGTGCATTTCTGCCTTTGAAGATTATTGTTATTTTACCTGTCTTTTAAACCAAAGTATCGGTATCGGCAGCTCACGTACCGATCCCGTAGATCTGGTAACCTCGCCGCTGGAATGCATACGATCTCTTGGCTTTTCGATCCCTTCCGCTCGCCTCTCGAGACTTGTGATCTACAATATCACATTAGAACCTCCTCTTTTTCGGAATAATTTGGCCTGTGACTTCTAAATAATACGCACAAATCGCCACGTTCCACACAAAAGACAGTATTCGCTCGGAACTTACGGACCCAACTGCACTCGTCTACGGACGATCCACCGATTTAATTGGCGGGTTTAGTAACACCTACAGTTGAGTGGCCAGAGTACCCTCAGTAATCGTAATTGAGAGAGATCCGTACGATCCTATAGGCGCTCTTGTTTGAGTCTTTTAGCGCTTCGTGCAGGAGAGAGTAGCTGACAGGTTACTAACAGTAGCTGCGGGGAAGATTACGCTTACGCGCAACAGAACTACGACGGCTTAATTTCCGAGCGACAGATCTTCAATCATATCTAAACTGTGGTTGATAGGTGGTAGGCACGTGTTCAAGATCATCAAGATCATCAACTGCGGAAGTCTACAACGACCGAGTTCTCAAAGACGGCGTGGATACACTTTATAACGTGCTATCATGCTACTTGAGTGACATGGCTTGGAGTTTTAGACCGAATCAGTGAGGCGAATAGAGCTTAGACAAGTCTTTCACATAATGAAGAGGAGCTTGACCTCGTAGAGTGCAATTCTAAGATGTCGAATACCTTCTTCACTCACGTAACTCAATCGAGGAATACAGAAACCATGCTTACGTGGTGCAGAAAGCAGAAACTCATAAAAAAATTCGATGATAAAGCCATCTCCGTTCGACAAGACCCAGAAATCTTCGACATGATTCTTGATCATTGAGATATCCCACCTCAACGACCTTCATCCCCACCCACCACCTCCTCCCCAGCTTTTGCAAAAACATCATAGATCCCCTTCTGAAACCCCTCATGCAAATCCATAATTCTCGGTTCCATGGGAGGCATCACCTGCGCACCAGCAATACCACAAAGGCCCTTTTCGCGGTCGATGAACTATGATGAATCAGCACTCATTACCAAAATCAACTATTAAATCGACATTCAAAAACAGATACCACACAGTCAACGTCAACATAGTCAAAACACTCACCCAAACCAAACACGGCAATCCCCCCCAAAGCACCGTTCCCTTGCTATGTCCCCCCTCAAAACCCTCCTCACAAACCAGTCCGGCAAAACACCAATCCTTCCTCGCCTCCCTCGGGACTCCCACACCCAGAATAGTATACCACATATCATCTGTTTTGATTAACTCATTAAACGCCTCCTTACATACATCATCTAACTGCGGTCTCCAAAGCTCCTCATACGAGGCCTTCGACAATAACTTCGGATCCTCACGCATGACCGCCTGCAAAAGCGTGAAATAAGCAGGCATACTAGCAAACGCCCCTCCACCACCAAGACAATCCGTCGCGCCGGCATTCATGTCGAAATCTGATGCATCGACTGCGATACCATCAGGATCTAGCATCGCCAGCGTCGCCATCCTTTCTTTCATATCCTCCCTCTCCTTAGGATAAAACGTGATATCATCAAGCCCCAACGGCGACCAAATATTCGCTTTCATGTACTCCTCGAGTGTAAGCCCCGTGGCTCTCTCGACAGCTTTCCCAGCCCATTCCAGCGAGCACCCGTACATCCACGATGTTCCGGGCTCGAAAAGCAGCGGGAGTGTGCATTTCTGCGGGATGGTGCCGCCGAGCCAGGGCGTTTCGGAGCACGAAACGCGCCAGGAGGTTAGGAGGGGGGTGATGAGGTCGTATGTGTAGCCGGAGGTGTGGGTTAGGAGGTGGCTTTTTGGTCTCTTAGAATATGAACATGGCTTTTAGGGGGAGGTATACCCCAGCGTCATTTTCTTGGTCCTAGGTATGATTGTGGCTTCATTCTTCACCTCGTCAAACGCCGTAATCACGCCGAACTCACTGGTTTCGGGTAGGATATCAGATACATCCGCGTCGAGATCTAAAAGCCCTCGTTCTACGCATTGAAGCACAGATATTGCCGTCATGAGTTTGGTGCATGAGGCAATGCCGAGGATGGAATCTAGTTGCATGGGCTGAGGAGTGGAGGATTCGGCGAGAGAGCGGACGCCGATTGTCTTGGAGTAGTGGAAAGTTCCTGAAGGTGATTTTAGTGAGCTGTATATGGTAGGTGGGAAGTAAGTATACCGTCTTTGTTACTGGCCAGGAGGGCAACACCTGGGAGTAAACCGGCCTCGAAGGCATCTTGGTAGGTTTTTTCAAAGTCTGCCATTTTGTATGGAAAGACTCAATTCGGAACTTTTCTTTGCGGGGAGAAACCAGCTTCTTAAAACTTGCAAACAGATCCTTCCAAAGATCTTGGCATGAGGGGTTTGTTGGTTGGATTTTTAAGTTCTGACTGGAAAGTGTTGGTGTTGGTAAACTACATTCTGACTGTCAGAAATTAGCTCGCACCTGTGATTAAGTAAGTAAAGCGTTTCGTCCTCATTTACCCTTTTGTTAAAGATGGGCTTTGATCCAGTAGATGAAAAATATGCAAGCTGAGTTTCTGCTTGTTCGGAAATTAGAAAATGTGTTGTCGCGTTTCGTGGACTTACATGGTGCGAGATTAATACGGCCGTTAATTGAAATTTGACACCTCCTGGCTCCCTGAGAATAAAAGGAGTAAATTGCCTAAATATCCGCACTTGCGTTGTCATTTGTTATTTTCATTCATACGAGAGAGTGTGTTTGGCAATCAGTGAGAAAAATCTGTCAAAAAGTGAAAGAGATCAAACATTTCAACCCATAATATAGATTCTCTTCTCGCGTTGGAACTCCCGCGTATTTGAACAGCAATGAAGGTTTCTCCAAAGGGTTACGATCGTCTGCAAATGTATTGCAAAACCTGGTTTAACTGCCGATTGTACTTGCACTCCTAGTTACCTTGTGCCGCACAGGATTGCGAAACGTGTACTAATGAGAAACTGTTAGTTCTGTAGCTGGTTGCACGACGGCGATAGATTGCTGACTTGAGTAACCTCGAGAAGCGTAGTCTCGATAATGCGCTGATAAGAAACCATATTGATCGCACCTCACAGTGAATCTTTGTACACATGTGTATTGTATTTTAGCCTACCCTTAATCATCCAATCAATGAATGATTTTAAGATACCCACGGCGAGCTTTCACGCGCAGATTCCAGGACTTACCTGTCAAACACTAATTCATCTATATGTCCCTTGAGAATACAAGGCCTTCGAGATAATGGCAGGTACATGCCCACACACAAAAAGGAAATTCGCGTTTGGCAGTATTCGAAAGACGATTTCCGAATTAGTGCTTAGCCAATTTTCCGAAATGAAGATGTGTCGAATGATAGGTTCCTCATCCTCTGCGTCTGGGGGTACTTTCAGCTCCGACGTCTCAGACAGATCAATGCAACATATCCATGCTGATTCGTCAAGGAACAGCAGTCTGTCCAGATATATGCCGGCAATACAGCGAGAGCCTGAAGGCAGCAACGATTTTCCTCGTGTAACCCTCGCTGGTTTGGTAGAATCTGGATAAAAAATTGTCGGTGTCCGCTAGCTACAAGGGAGGAGGTTTCAATATCCAATTGGCCGTTCAGAGCTGACCAAATTGTTCGAGAAACATTGTCGTAGCCAAAACTAGAAATTTCAGTAGAGGATACCTCGCTAAGATCAGCCCACGAGTGCTAATTTTGAGGTGAAAAACGCGAGTTGCCATCAGCTCGTGGGGATTTCTGCATAGTATTTAACTATAAGCTGGGGTTAGTAACATCCTATTTGCTAGTTTAATTAATCTTACTTAATTACACTAGAAGTTTTCGATTTCTATTTAAAACTACCGAAAACTTTTACAATGTAAGTAAGAGATTTATGTTAAAGTGTCGTACTATAAAACTTACTATAAAACTCCAACACAGCAAAGAACACAGATGTGTAAGTTGCCTAGCCTTGATCTGCAAGCTCAGCTATAGACTAATAGTAAAAGCGGAAAGCAGCAAAATCTTCCTTGAAGACCAGCACAACCAATGGCATCAAATTGTGAATTATTCCGATTGCTTCACTCTTAATTTCGCAGATATCTCACTCGCAGTAGCATCTTGTTGATGATTTAAAGCATGATGTATGTAGCCTCTCACGCGACTGTTGTTTGTGAGGTGTGCGCAAGTGAAGGGTATGGTTCACTCCAGTTTACTTTTGACTCGAAAGAAGGTCCTCGGAAGCAGATGTTCAATTATAATTGCGGCAATAGGAAGTGGCCACGAGCTCGGAAGGCGATAAAGATACGTCGTATAAAACCAGCTGCTTGACCCAGCGTCGGAATCAGACCCCTCATCATCATTCTGGCATTTTCCATTCTGGCATCTCCTTATACAGGAGGATCGAACTCAGACAGACTGCCCTCCAAGCATATGCTCATCATTCCTCTCCAGCCTCGCCCTTGCGCGATCTGCCTCGTCCTGCTCCCCAATACTATCCATATAGCTATGAAACTCCCTACTCATCATGACCACACTCGCAAAATGCTCCTGCTGAACATCGATCGTCTTCTCCGGGCTCCACTTCGGATCCGTCGCGGCCTCGTATCCCGCCAGCGAGATCGCCGTTTGGAACGCATTGCGGATCTCGCGGCCATTCCAGCTCAGGGCTTTCACTTCCGCGTCATTCAAAATATATTCTTTAGCGTACTTACTGACTTCGATCTTGGGCCCGTCGCGGTTAGGGGTCGCCATGTCGTGCTCCAGCTTGCGGAAGAAGCCGTTCCAGATCCGCTTCCGTTTGGGCTCGTCGAGGGGCGCGTAGCCGATCACGACGTGCACGCGAGAGAGGAAGGCGTCGTCGATCTGCCCGATGCGGTTGGTGGTGAGGAAGAGCAGGCCTTGAAAATACTCCATTTTACGCAGGAACACTATAATTCGATAATTGTAAGCGTGTGAATAGGCTGAAACATGAACGTTATTTCCTACCGGAGACCAATCCGTTTCGGGCGATGTCTGATCCTCGACGGCGCTCAAGGAAGATGTCGGCTTCGTCGATTAGCAGGATTGCTTCCCACCGTTCGGCTAAGCTGAACCATTTGGTCATTTGCTTTTCGATCTTCTTCTCATCCAGTCCTATATCTGCGATGGTTAAGGAGATCAGTGGTCTTCCTGTGGCTTCTGCCGCGCATTCTGGTTGACTAGTAAGCAAATGAATATTTAAAGCGGGTGTGGTATATTTCACTCACCAACCGTGTATGTCTTGCCAACACCCGGGGGTCCTACCACTCAATGTCAATTTCTCTGTTTAAATTACCGGGGCGGGCACGATATACCGTGAAGCAAGACGATTTGGCCTTCGCCTTTCCCCTGAATGAAATCTAGCTTCCATGCTCGATTCTGCGGGTGAGAGATGGCTTTGACGATTGCTTGTTTCGTGGCTTCCATAACAACACTGTCAATCATGTTTACTCTTTTTGGCACTTCTGAGATGTAGTCAATGTCAAATATTCCTATCGAGGACTGTTAGAGAACAACTTTAAATTAACGAAGTGAGGGTGTCCTGAACAAGGCTTACTCCATTTCTTTGCTAGGACTGCGAACCCGGTAAGGTATGGGTCGAAAAGAAGAAAGTGATGTTTGGTGAGTCCCTGGCTTTCGACGGTCAGGTTTTTGTAATTGACCCATTTGAAATCTGGTGTGTTGTGTGTGGTCTTTGCGGCATCTTCACCGTCGCCTGATAGGCCACCAGCCACTGAGCCCGCTGCTGAACTCGAGTACCTGGGCTCGTCATCGGGTTCGGGAGCACTTGAGGTTGAAGAAACACTCGCTCTTCTGATGCTACCAGTATTCGAGGACGTCGTCACCGATGGAGTTTCTTTATAGTCTGCGTTTTGCTGCAGCGCAAGATTGCTGATTGGATCGTTGTCAATAATAACAATCCCCTTGAACTGGAACTTGTCAGGAGAACATCGGGAATACGGAAGTTTCTTGCACTAACCACCTCATCGCCGTCACTTGGCAACTTTCCGTTGTAGAAGACCTGCTTATGTCTATTTTGGCACAGGCGAAAAATAGTCTCTCCCCGGGTTTCGAAAACCCTTCGTCTTTTCCCACCATCTTTGGTGTCCCAGTATTTGCACGGACAAGTATCGAAAGAGGTGATATCGGCTTCTCCCTGGAATTTCAGGATGTAGACTGACCAAGCCTTGCGTTTGAGGACTTTGCCATCGAACGCCAGATGCCAAATCTTAATTATAAGATCGCCATCACGATCTAATAATGTACCTATGACAACTCCTCCCATGATCTTTTCTTCTTTGGCAAAATAGACGTCGGTCCCGGGCCGGAACATGTACCAAAGTTCATCAAATTGGACGGAAGGAATCTCTTTCGACAGGCGACCCCCAGCCTTCTCTTTGAACCTTTGATAGCGTGGTTCGAGGAAATCTACCAGATACTTAGAATGCTTGATCATTTTCGCGACTTCATCTTTCTCATCTTGTGTTGCGTTGCCCTTTGAAAGGTTGTAAGTCGAGTTGCCCGCGGTCGAAAAAGCTTTGATCTCATTGCGGTGATGGAGGAGAGGCTTATACGGCTCGTGAATCGTGAAGGTATCACCAGTGTGATGGTTGTATAGCCTTTCCAGTGGATAGTAGTTAACGATCGATTTCAGCATCTTAATCAACGGCTGGGAGTGTATGATAACTCTGCTTTCTTCAATCCGATTGATTGCAATTTCATCCAAGCTGTAGGGAATTGGCACTTCGGAGAGTTCTGGTTTTGGCTTCTCCGAATTTGCATCTGGTTCCTCGTCGATGATGACATTGCCAGTGTCGCTGAGCGGCATGGGTTTGCGTTTGTCCCGTGCGGCAGTCCCATGGATCGCGGTGACGACCTCTAGGATTGGCTGAGGTTTCTTCTCTTCCTCTTCTTCCACAATCTGAGTAGGTGCTTGGAATTCCGCTGACACTGTTTCTTCGACTATGCGAATATTCGTGAATGGACTGCTCGAGTAGAAACTTGGCTTCCAATGACGTCCGTCCTGCCACTCCAGTTGGTACAAGACTGGAGGTACAGCGATTTTGACTGTGTAGTCGCGATCTGTTGATACATTCGTTCCAGAAGGTACGGCCTTGTCTATATCGACTGTGCCAGGAGCTGGCTGGTCCACGAAAGCAACATCAGAAACTGCCGTCGCTGATGCCATTAGGGATGCATGGTTATTGTCCATTACCGCTGAAGATGTTCCGTTCTTAGCGGGATTGTCACCATTCCATGCTGACGATCCTGTCTTCGAGGACATGGATTGGGAAACATCGACTGTCGTCTCACTATCCATGATGCCTCACCCTTTATATAGCATCAATGCGCCTCCTCACCGGCAGCTATTGTCCTTTTGTTGTTGCGGAGGAAAGAGCTGGGAATCGAGCAGAGCGCCTCAGGGGAACCATGCAGTGGACAAAATAACCTGGATTTTTTGGCGAGCCGAATTACCCCCGAGTACCTTCCTGATCCACAAGAAGAACTTAAACTTCTAAATTATATATAAAAAGGCCTTTGATTATAAAAAGCTATTACTTAGACTCGTAATTCTTCTAAATAACTAATAACTTTGGCTATTATAGCTTCTAAATAAATATCATTATAGTGTGAATTGTTATATAAATATAGTAAGCGTTCCGTGTTGTATAAATTTGGGGGTCGGATTTTCGGATCCAAAAATCCAGGTTATTTTGTCCACCCCAAGAACATTAGTAGTGGACCGTAGCTCCAACGATTCAGCAGCCGGTATTGGACGCAGAGCTGGTACCCTACCAAAGAGAAAACTGAAGCACCCAAGAATGACCGAAAAGGACTTTGGTGCAGAAATATTTGGGGGCCGTAACCTTAGGCTTTATCCACCAGTCAATACCCTGGAACAATTTGGGGCTGTTTCCGCACGGAACTTTGCAGCTTCAGCTGGACCACCATTTCGATCGAGATACTGGAATGTCACAGCCTCTCCAGCATGACAGGATATGAAAGAATCCAAGGCCTCGTATCAATACCTTCACTCTCAAACCGAGTGTGATTACCTCAATTCAAGAAGGCATGACAACAGAAACCTTAGAACACACTACAACAGAGCCCATCAAGCGAATAATCCGGCAATTCAGCCACACAGTCCTGACTGACCACCCTGACGACCAGCTCGCGGTGGTTCTCGCAACACAAGAAACGAAAGATGAAGAAGATGAGAAAAATGCAGTCATCCTCAGACAACAGTGGAAGTCCCTGTTCCTCCTGGGTGCAACACAACACTTCGAGTAAGGCCATCTTCCTTCAACTACAAACAATAGGTGCCTACGTTCTCGACAAATACTAACCCCGTTCCAGAACAGAAGAAGAAAAGAAGCTCGATGAATCAAGTCTCGAGCTAGCCAAAGCATGGGAAGACTTCCAAAAATGCATCCCCAAAACCCAACGCGCCCCCATTGATAGCCCACCAGACTTCAACTCCGTGGCTCAAGCCGTAGCGACCGCCCACTCGGCTTGGAAAGCCAAAGAGAAAGGCAAGATGTCCAAGTTCAAAAATTACTTCGGGAACCTGTGCCAGAGCCTCTATGATTTCAAAGACGTTTTTGCCGTGCTTCCAACCCAGGATAAGTATGTGTGTCTCTTGACCGGATCTTTGGCTGCCATAGTAAAGGTACTCTCCCACCTCACTCACACACACTCAGATAGTTAGGCCATTCATTGATAAACCGCAGGCAACAACCAACCACCGGAAGATCGCTATGGCCATCTCGGACTGTCTCGAAAACCTGGGCGAGGATATCAGCTACTGGAAACGCCAATTGATAATCCACTCCTCCAACCCCCATATGAAACGCTACATCGCCTCGCTCTACACGTTAATCTTTCAACTCCTCGTCTCGATAATGTTCTGGTTCAAGTCATCTGTGCACCGTCTAACCTCCGCCTTTGACACGAACGCCCTTGAAAAATTGATATCCGGCAAAACCACAAAAATGCAGGCCCTAGCCCAACGTTTGGAAAACGAGGGGAAATTGGTTACAGAAGCACATGTCCAAAAATTGGTACAATCGGCCGAAGAGAAAGAGGGTCAAAATATTGATATCGCGCGAGCCTTAGAGCGTTTCCTCGGCGAAGTCGAAGGTCGCTTCCTAGGCCGTGTCGAAAGCCTCGTTGCGACCTCGATCCAGACCTCACTCCGCCAGGAGGCAAAAGCTATTCTCTGGGACATGCATTATTCACGCTCCACCCATATCCCCTCCCCTCCTCTCCAACTATCAGAACCTCCGACCTCCAGTTCGCTTTCCCATTCTCAACATAACGTATACACGCACGCCCAACTTCTCGCCAGCGGACTCCGACTACAGAAATACGCACAAAACGGTCTAGTAGAGAAGTTAGCCTCGAGATCAAAAGAATTACAGCTTCACACCGAGATCCTGACACGGATAGCGCGCTGGTCCAAAAATCCTATTAGCGCATCCCTCTGGATCTGCGGGATGCACCAGGCTGAGAGGCCATCGCGTTATACACTTACTACTGCACATCTCGTTCTCGCTACACAGAATGCGGGTATTCCCGTGCTGTCGTATTTCTGCCAGCGGCGTGCGTTATCTCGTCCGATTGTGGGGGGAGAAGAGCAGGAAGAGGATGAGCATGAGGATGATGAAGAGGAGAGGCCTGCGAAGAGCAAAGTTTCTATGGTAGTACTGAGCCTTATTTTCCAACTCGTGCGCCTGCTTCCCGAGGTCGTTACGACACAGATAGACCTCTCAGTTTCACGCTTCTCGTCACTAGCGCCCACACACTCTGCCCTACCTCTTGCTATGTCGCTACTCAAAGACCTTTTAACCTTCCGTCCACCGCTTATGTTCTGTTTCATCGATGGGCTGCACTTACTTAACCCAACTGGGATGGAGAAGGTGGAAGTGGAGGCGTTGAGGGAGGTGCTTCGAATATTGAGATTTGAAGGGGAGGTTGGTGCGGGAACTGGGATCACTGGGAGGGTGGAGAGGGTTGCCAAGACACTATTTACGACAGATGGATTTTGTGGTATTTTAGGAGGATTGAGGGGAGAAAGCAGACTCAACGTGGCGGATTTTGAGGGTGAAGGAACGGTAGGGAGGGGGGTTGACTTCGTGGAGACGAGAGCGCGGAGGGTGATTTGATGATTATGCATTTGCTTGGGAAGGCTTAAGCTCGGCGTAGATTGATGAAGATCGTGTCTAGTATTCATCTTTCAACAGGTGATGTGGCATGAATTATTTCTTATGACGTGCGGCAATTTTGTACGGGTATGGCAAAGCTATGGGGTTGCGGATAATGAGGAAGCGATGTACCTGCCTCGAGATTTGGGACGTATCCCACTGTACACAGTGTCTGATCATCCAAAGCCGACCAAGACGATACGGAAGAAAGGCGGAATATGCATGCATTTCTACAGTAAGCCTCTCCTAAGCTAGTTGTGCGCCCAAGAAGCGTCAATAGTCAGGTTCTATATCCAATCCAGAGAGCCCTAGAAGGCTATATATGTAAGCTCTATGATCTGTAGCTTGGAAATATCCTGGAGTTGGAGTAACTTACATGATAGATCGTCTCACATGGTCCACAGAATATTCATTGTCCAGCGATGTGGTCCTACAGTCCACTCCGATAGAATGACTTTAAATGGAATTTTGCGGCTGATTGTTTCCCATGTTGGTTCTAGAACGAATTTTGGGCGTAGACATCTACAATCCATGAAGTTGTTTTGTACTCTTCGAAAGCTATCGGAGACTTTCGCCAAGATATTATAAGGAACTGAATACGATGGACATCTCTTGCTGTGCGGTGAATCATTCTGACTTTTCTATGTTTGTCGACGTATACCAGGTTCCCGCACGTGGACGATATAATAAAGTTCTTTAGAGCGAATATCCCTTCGTCCTCTGTTTGTATACGCAGCACAACTTCGAGCTCTTTGAGTGTTAGTGCGCGAGTTACAATAGTAGACTACACTAGTATTGCCTTTGCGAGCGATTTTCCGACGTGAAAGTTGAGACATCCCTTTTAAAACCCTTTTATATAAGGAAATCACGCTAATAGAAACATTTTCAAGCTTTTCCACAAAAAGAACAATCCACAAGAAACACTCTTCTAATTTCTCCACGATCGTCAATTTGACCTTTTGCCGATATTCTGTAAGGTCGATATCTAACTTCTGTACTGTTGTCTCGACGTACAATTTGATATCACTTAAAGTATTCTCCGGAGACACAATTTCCCTAGTCACATTGCGCAGTTGTGAGACACCTTTCTCAATCACCTGAGTGTTTCGGCTCGTTATGAAAACGCGCAGTGGTACTTGTTCATAGTTATTGAGGTTAAAAACTTGTTGAGAGATGAAGAAATGCACGGAATACACCAACCAACATCAACTGCGTGAAGGAACCACGTATGAGGAAGTCAGTCGGGCCATCGTCAATAACTCCGCAGGAAAACCCCATGCGTCGTGCGATTCGTGCCATCCAAGGGACCGCATCATGCAATCTTGCCACTATGTTTCAAAAGGTCCACAGTAAGACCAATTGCATCGTGCGATTCGTGCCAGCGAAGGACTATGTATCCGGAGATGGATCGGGTCGGGTTATCTTTCCAATAATAAGCCCAAGAGTAATCGGCATAAGCACTAAAACGAACTGCATTGAAAAACCCTGCATAACACGCCCACGCTCTGTCGGTCAAAACTCCTCAAAGAAGAAAGACTACCAACTTGTTGAAAAGTTGTGTTCAAGGCTATGTGGCATCCTGGCAAGTCCGTATATACACAATTTCATTCCAAAATGACGCATGGCAGTATATTTCGTGTAATCAGTGTTTTCTTCTGAAAGACGATTTGTCTTGCTGCGAATCGGTGGTTTGCGTTGACGGAAATCCCATGTAACACCTTGACATAGACAAGTCGACAGACATTTCAGGTCAAGATCTCCCAGGTTCTTATGTTGTGGTAAGTGTATAAATCTGGGCATTTAAAGTATCCATCGCGGTCCTCTCGAATCTCGATTAATGCTTTTTCTGGAATCCTTGTGTATTGGTATCGTGTTTGTTTATTACTCGCGACAGTACTAGTTGAATAAAAAACTTTTTTCATGCTTTACCCGCACAAGTCTCAACATTCTCATCGAGTACTCTCGACATTCTTGATGAGTTCTACCAGCTGTTCTGCAACAAATGGTGGGTTATCCTTCTGAATAAAATGACCACATTTTGGTGCAATGAGTGGTCCCTTCGCTCTTTCGGGCTCAGTAAGCTGGCATAGTCCCTCGTTGTATTTCTGCCACTCACTTCACTTTTTTTTAGCGTAATTCCTCAACATGATTTACAAGTGTTAAGGGGGTACTTACGGTTGAGTATACCTTGCAGCCATGCCTAATGGTACCTTCATCATCAACCATTCTTCATTCGAGAACGCCTCCAGCTCATGACCTACAACTGTAATCCAAGGTCCTTTGTTTGTGGATTTGGATCCTTTGAGCTTTGGCTTGGATGGGTCAGGCAACATGCTTTTGATTTGTCGTCGATCAAAGCCCTCCTTATTCTTAGCATCCGCGGCAAATACGGTGGTCATCTTGATATACGCAGCTTCGTATACTTCAAGAGCAGTGCCAGCGGGAATCATCTTCTCCAGGTCGAAGGAAGGGTCCTTCGGGTTTGGCCAGATGTCAGCGTAATCAGCGTTTCCGGGGTTGGAGTCCAGGAACAGAATGCCTTCAACAATTTTAGGAAACCTGGGTGTGTCAGTGAAAGATGACCCTAAAGCTAACGGTTTCATGTTACCTATCGGCATATCTTCTTGCGATGTGTGCACCGATACTGTTATTGACAAAAACAATACGCGAGCAACGACCAGGGGAGAGAGTTTCAATCAATTCGTGAAGGTCGTCGGTCACGTGGTCAAGTGTATGGGCGTAGCCGGGTTCTCTTTCTGGTAAATTTTCTCTTGGGTCTCTAGATGAGGCACCTTGTCCATAGCGATCATAAGTGAGCATCCATGGCTTTGGTAAAATGCTCGATTGCTCCTTGAAGAGAGTAATGCACGGTTTCCAGGCAAGTTGTGGTAATACCAGACCGTTGAGGAAGACAATGAGAAGATCACTTTCTGAGTCTCCTTCGAAAAGCTCATAAGCAACAGAGGCGCCAGGCTTGGATGGAAGGCTCACGGTGGGCATGTTGGGTGGCCTTGTGCTTGGGAAACCACCAAGTTTGAATGACCAAAAACGTTCTTAATGTTGAAGGTGATTTTGAGCGGCAAGTATGCTAAAGGACTAGAATTATTCCTTGTTGGTGGTGCTGTTGGCATTCACCAAAATGGTTACAAGCGGAAGGTCACACCCGTCTGACCCGAATTGACTGCTTATGTTCCAACTCATCAGGGTATCCTACAGCTGCGTTCCAACTTGGAGCGTAAACCTCTTCAGGAATGAAACTGACAGACCGCGATCTATTTTGCCCATACAGTATATGTCAATACCGCGCCTTCTTCAAACAGGCACCGCCGAATTCTGCTGCGATGCTCTCGATGAAAGCTTGAGCGCATCTTCGAAGGAAGTCGTCGAGGATTTGCTACGCCGGAGAAAATAGCGTGAGAACTTTATGATGCGCGTGAGGCTACAGAATAGTTATAGATTTAGGGTAAATGGGATTGATGGACTTGATAAGGAGCTAGCTGGAACGTACCATACTGCTGCAGTTTTAGACATTGGAGAGTCATTGTATCACAGCCCGCCCTTCAAATCAAATGAAAGGTGTGGAGCAAACCCCATTCTCCGTAGACCACGCATGTGGATATCGTTTTGCGATGTTGAGGGGAAGGGCTTGAGATGTTTCGCTGGCGGCCACTTCGTCGAATGGTGTAAGACAGTACGGCCAAGTCCGGTCCGGTCCGGTCCGAGAGCCCCGCTTCGGGACCAGCGCCCACCGAGAACAACTGCTAAATTTCTAGGTTCCAGCTTACAAAGCTTCAATACCAACTGGGTGAGCCAAAGTTGGTTCGCTGAACTGAACGTGAGGTTTTGTTGGAGCCTAGTGACTTTGTTGGGATATCCGGTTTATGGCTTTGCCTGCTCGCTCATTTGAGTCGTGTTTCAACACTCTGCAACTCTACTTGTATTCACGCCGCCAATTTCATATTTCCAAAATCAGGGGAATAAAAGTAAAGATTATGACACTAATTCTGTGTCTCATCACCAGTTGGCTCTACTCCGGTAAAGCAGCAAATACGTTGAGTCACTTGGTTCTCTCTCTCAAATATTAACATTTCACTGCACAAGGAGTCAAATATGGCAGACATTGAATTTGGCACAGAATTCCCTGAGCTCAATCTTCTCACCATTGAAGAGACAATTGTTGATGGGCAGTTCATTCAACACGTCATGGTGGACGAAAACGTAATTGCAAGTAAGTTAAAAATTTCCAAAGATCGGTCGACAATGAGATTGATATCTTGGCGAGAATTACCACATAGAACACATTTTATAACAGCGAGAAAGCATGGCTCAAGTATGTGGACGCAAACAGCTCAAATCTTTACCTCGCTCCCAGATGGTTCCCCTAAGTCATACTTCCTGAAGATCTCAGCCGGTATTCTTGGTTTTGGAATGGCGGAAGGAGAATACGAGTCAATTGCTGCAATCCACAAAGTCAAACCAGAATTCTGTCCCAAGCCCCATGGATGGGGAACTTTCAAGTCTAACCCTTATCTTCATTTTCTTTTCACTGATTTTGTGGAAATGAAAGAAAACGTTCCTGAGAAAGATACGTTCACCACGAAGTTGGCGGAGTGCCATCACGCTTCTATGGGATTGTCGCCAATGGTAAATTTGGGTTTCATTGTACCACATACAACGGAAATCCTGCTCAGGACAATACTTGGACCGATACTTGGGAAGAGTGCTATAAAAACAACATTGTTCGTATGCTTCAGCTCGAAGCAGAAGCTCGCGGGTCTAGCGAGGAGTTGAACGAACTCACCAAACCTTTACTACAAAAAGTCATTCCAAGATTGCTACGACCACTGGAAACGAGTCTTAACTATTTGAAGCCTTGTTTTCTTCATGGAGATCTGTGGCATAGAAATACCGCTACTGAATTGAGCACTGGAAAGCCGATCACTTTCGATGCATCAGCATTCTGGGGTCACAACGAATGTGAGTCTCTTCTCTATCTTGTATGTGTTTCGTTTGCCGCTGACATGTTTCAGATGAAGTTAGAACGATGAGGACGGCTGGCGGCCAATTTGATCGGAGCTATCTCAACTCCTACTATCAAAAGTGTCCCCTTCGGAGCCGACTGAGGACGCCGAAGATCGCCTCACTCTTTATGCCTTGTAAGAAAAGCTACATTGTCTCAAAACAATCTTTATTAATGGAACTCGAAATTAGACGGTCGAGAATTCACGACCCTGCACTCTACTCTATGAATGATAGATATAGGACCTTGTATATATGCAATAAGTGTTGTAAGAAAATTCACTAACCGCTTCTAGGCTCATCGAACAGATGCGATTATTGGTTGAGAGGTTCCCAAACGGGTACGAAGAGCCGAAAACCAAAATTTAATAAGTTGCCAGCCGATAGTTTCGAACAGCTTTGAAATGGCGATAGAAGCTTCCGACAACTATCTACCAAGGAGGATTCCCACCATCATACTGATTCAACCCCTCATTATGCTCCCACCCAGCAACCCGAATATTAACAAATAGCCCACTAGACTCTTTCCCATGTTTGTCAATCGCCTCAATGACCGCTTTTGCACCGGTTTCAACATCGAGATCGGCACTGGAGCCGCCCAATTCTGTTCGAAGCCACTGGATACTATAGTTAGTCGGAGTTGCTTGAAACATGCGAAAGTTGTACTCACACCTGGAGAAACTGCCAAGAAGGTAAATCCTTCCTCGGCGTACGTTTGCGCATACAGAACTGTAAGCATATTCAAGGCTGCTTTGGTGATTTTGTAAGATGGGACCAACATCATGCTGTATCTAGAAGCCATCGATATGGAGCCGACAGTGGTAGACCTGACGTTGTTAGCCCTTTATTAGTGCGCATGCCATCGAAACTAATTGGGAATCTCGTACATATTGATCACCTTTTTCTGTCCACCCTTTTTCAGCAACGGAAGGAAGGTTTTCGTTACAAGATGAGCTCCATTTACGTTGGTCGAAAAGGCTGATTCGAGGTCATCCCTTACTTTCTGTTAGAAAGACTGATAGTAAGTGAACCCACAGGCGCATATGACGCTACACTCACATTGCATGTATTCCATCAGTCATCCAATTGATAACCGCAGCGTTGTTAATCAGAACATCAACACCTTTGCCATCCAGTATTGCTGCAATCTTGCTTTCTGCCTCTTCTAAGCTTGGCGGGCTCGTGATATCGAGCTTCACGTGTTTAACTCGTCCTTGCGAAGTTGTCATCACTTCGTTCAGTGCTGGAGTAGGGTTACCGCGAGATGTTGCAAACACTATGTTGGCAGGTGTCTTTGCGAGTTCAGCCGTTAGAGCAAGGCCCAAGCCGTGAGAGCAGCCAGTGATGATGTAAGTCGCCATTGTTGACAAGAGATTAGTTGCGACGATTCTAAAGCTTGATTTTCAGTCGAGAAAATGAAAATGTGGTGTTGAAAGAGGGGTAAGCTTTCACTCAGAATCTTGCTTTTCAGTCGTGTTGGTTGCGTAAAACTTGGGTGTTGGTCTTACATTATGTTATTCTCTTCCGACATTCCAACAAGGTATGTCGTCAAGGACTTAAAGAGTGTTTCGCCAGACGTTCTTCAGCTTGTAATGCATGGATGGCAAGAACTTATATTCAGTACATCCAATTCTACGCTTGGTAGTGGTGCAATTATTGTGGATAACATTATTCTTTGGTTCCGCCAGGTTCATCGTCGAGCAATCCCTTTAGCATGACACCCCGAACAGGCGAAAGAATTCAGAACTGTGATATAAAATATTATAGTACGAATTATCGAGTCTTCTGAGTTCGATCCGATCCCCCCAATTTCATCTTGCCGAAGCTCGTTATGTTTCTCGAATTACCGTCAGTTTACTTCTTGTTCCTCAAATACGTTCAACTGAATGTGTCGAAATTAAATGTAGCTGTGATGATGAATTGTTTATCGCGAACCAATTAGCCACCGTGATTAATATCTTTATCACTATATCGTATCTATAATTCGGTTGATTGCACTTCAACGACGCGCTCGTCGTAACTTGTTGTCCACAATTCGAGACTGGTCATCTGCTCACCAGATACGCCAATGTACCTCTGAAACGAACCAAGGCAATTCTTAGAATCCGGCAAAGTGATTCCCTCTCTCATCATACTCTTGGACAAATGGCCGACCAGGTATTGCGGGGTTGATATTTGGAATAGTCTCAAAATTATACAGTTGATCAAGCCCCCAATCTTGGATGTCGCCTGACGTAAAATTGACATGGTTCGAAAAGTCTGACCATTGAGGAAGGTTTTCATGCGCCATTTGGTTGGTGCCAGCTTCAACATCTGGCTCGTATGCTCCAAGGCTCTCAGTGGAATAACCAACACTTGGTGACACCTCGTTCATTCCCGTGTTGGTGGGCTCATGCGCATGCAAATTCATGTCAACTTCGGGTGCAAGGGGTACTTGATCGCTTCTGCTATCCTCGGTCTCCAGCTTCCCAACTTTAGGTGTTCCATTTTTGGAGGTTGCATCCTTAACGAACACTGTTGAGGTATCAAGAAGGCCGACCGTGAATTTCATGAACTCTGCTGCTTTGCTGCTAACTCTCAAAGTCCATCGATACTCTGCAAGCTGCGATTTGTAAAACTCTGCTTCTTCGGCGGTTTGACTCGTCGCCCACAGTAAACTTCCAAAGGTACCGATAATGGCGAGATTAACTTTTGACGCAAAATACCAAAAGCTCTGCAGGTGAGCAGGTTCTAACCTGTTGACTAGGTCGATCGCGGATGTGAATCGCATCTTTGCTGCGGCTCGTGTGATGGATCGAAGGTTTTCGTCTGTGTGGCTTGCGTCGAATCTGATAATCGCCCTGTGAAGTGTCACTTCAGCTGCAAAGTAAGCTAAATGTAGCGAGCCTATAAGGGTTAGTTAAAATCAATTTGTGAAGCAGCTGTATGGCCTACCTGTCGACGAAAGTTTCCTCGCTCTCGTTTCGCCAATCGCCAAACTCGATGGCAGTCTGGCATACCATTCTTTCAACCGCAGCTGTATGGGTTTTGCTTTCTCAAGCGTTACCAGAGTCGCATTTTCATGCTCATCTTCCAACGCCGCGGTCGCTCTGAGAGTGAAAAAAGTTGCCAGAATATCGTTCAAGATTTCAGTCAAAGAGATCATAGCAATGTATGATAGTCTTCCCTTCTCAATTTCCGAGCTGCCTTCTTCTTCGTCGTCATCTATCGTAGTCTCGGGGAAGTCTCTCGCTTCGACCGGACGTACACACCAGTTTTCCATATTTATCAAGGGCGGTCGGCCGTGTATCAAAGCCCCCCATCGGTCCTGCATGAACAGCCCCCAAGCAAGTCTCTTTCTCAGACTTCTCTCCCATTCCGGAATTTTCCAGCCAGAACAGTCAAGATGAAGACCGAGGTTCTGCGCTACCGCTACCAATTGTCCGGTCAGTGACCAGGAATCTCCATCTGGTCGTTGGAGCAGAAGTAAGCCCGCTTGAACTGTCGATAGTTTGGGTCGATTTGTGACATCGGTGATGAACTTTGGGGCTAGCCTTTCAAGCTTCTGAACATCCGGCTTAGGAAGGTTCACGAGGTCTGGACTATATGACCACCAATTGAGAGCCAGTATGTAAACGGCCGCGAGAATTGGGGGTGTAAATTCCCGATATGTGCGAGCATATTTCTCCAGAAACACCTTTTTGTGCATGATTGGAAAACTCGGGTGGACGATTCGGAAATACAGGTCCACTAGCGCGCGTCCATGTGGCCGAACAATGCTTTCAACAAGATCCAAATTCGTCAGCTCCTCATCTATTTCTGCCTGACTCTCCAATTTCATGATGAAATGATTTTGAGGGCTGACACGTCGAAGTGTCCCTGGTGTGCTGACGAATTCTCCCCTGCCATTGAAAGGAGAAAGATTGATTAATTGGGTGTCATATTCAGTAGTCTGCCCAAGATATTGACCATGCTGTCGGTTTTGTAGACCTAAAGTTTGTTTCAACAATGAAGGCCCTTGAAGAACTGTGTAATCGCTAATTGGTGGTTTGGAGTGAATACCTGCACGTGATTAGCTTCGACATAGAGTGACAAATTTAATGTTCGAAGTCTCGTCCGATGCGTATATTACATACTGATTCTTTCGGACTCGGGAGATCTAAATAAATTGTTAGTCGGACTCCTGAAGCTGAATCAAGGCAATTTTTGCCACGTACTGGGGTTTCGTTTTCTCATCATCGTCCAACCGGCGTCGCTTTCTTCTTTGCGGACTTTGAACGAATGTGCATTGCTCTGAGCGGGACTGACACATGATACAGGTCTCGGAATCCTGTGGCATAATACATCTACTTTTTCTCCTTCGACACGCATCACAAGGTCTGTCTTTTCTGGTCCAGGGGTTGTTTACCGCAGCTTTGGCAGCGGTAGAGGCATTTTGTTGCCCCTCACCCGGATTTGAAGCCATAGTAATGGACTGACACCGTGATAGAATCACATTGAGCCCTCGCTAGCCAACATGACTTGTGTTTGGGTCATATCGCGATCATTGAGGTTCATATCAAAGTCTCACCAAAACGGAAATCACGAGAGATAAGGATATGGTCATGTGATGAAGGCCGTCGCGCTAATCAATTCTTCCCGTTTGCTTGACAACAACAATCTCCGGCGGATATCATACAACATCAACAGCTTCATCAAGTTTACTTGTTTCCCCAGAACACTTTCAATTTTTTACATTTTATATATACATACCCATCTCTTCAAGCACTGATAATTGATTCTAGGTACTTTGCATTTGCAACGAGCTCTTCATCTCTGAAATGTTTTCCAATCTGCCAAGTTAGCCAAGTCGGTAACATTCTTGAGGACGACTCACCAATTGATAAGCCAGCGGCGCGTCAGTATACCTCTCCGGCGCGTATTTCTTCTGCTCTGTCGCGTCGATGTCGTTCAGAGGCTGGAATTTGTCGTCGGCTGGGTCGAGCGCTGGGTCGACATTGAAGCCACACGGAAAAACAACACCTGGCTGATCAAAAAGATTCCAAATACTGGTGTAAAGCCAATAATGCGCGGTCTCGTGCTCGGCAGCAGCGCCCACATAGGTTGGGCATAAAATCACGTCAACTCCTCTTTCTTTCATGAGTTTGTGAGACATGTCTCGAAACCAGTCTCGCTTGACATTCAATTCCCAATTCTCGCGGATGTCCAGATGCTTGGCATAGTTGAGAGCAAACTCGCTCAGTGGCATGGCGGGCTCCCCTGAGGCTTCAAGAGCTTCTCGAATACAAGTACCGCCGTCAGGAAACAAAAGGGATTTCGTCACCTCGCCACCTTGCTCGTGTTTGAATGGTTGCCAATCTACGGTTTTGACCCCAGCCGACTTCAGCCTTTGTTCAGCATGGTTTAATGCTCTTTTGATAGGCGGATGTGTCTGTACCACTCCATCATTCCACATTATACCAACAGTCAAGTCCTTGGGAGTTTTCACTTCCCTCCACGGTATCGGTACCAAGTTCGTTTCTTCCTCCCATGGCTCCTGGTCGAGAACCGCTTTCTGAAATAGGTCGATATCCCTCAAAGAGTTCGTTAGAGGCCCAAGAGTGCATCGAATACTAAATGATTAGCTTCATGGCTTAATTCTTGTCGGTTTCAACTTACGACTCCTGACCGTCGCCTGCAAGCGATACGCCCTTCCATGGATTCCGGAGCATTGTTGGTCGGAGGCCGTATACACCACAGAAAGCAGCTGGGGCTCGAATTGATCCGCCAATATCGCTGCCAATGCCAATCGCGGCACACTTGAAACCAAGAGATGCCCCTTCTCCGCCCGATGACCCTCCTGGTGTTAGATTAAGGTTGTGCGGATTCAGGCTTCGGCCATATATGTTGTTGTTACAATCCAAATGCTGTTGTGGCGTCAGAACTGTGCTTGTTCACACATCGGAATTCAACAAACCATAACTGTCTGTGGCTCGTTCGTTCTGACGTGGAAAAGCGCTCCGGCTGCTTTCAGATTACGGATCATCAGAGCATCTTCTTTCTCGACACGATCAATCCACGAAACATATGCTGTATGACAAATTCGATCTTTGAAGTGAACCATTTCTTTGACGGAAATCGGGACTCCATGGAGCGGGCCCACGACTTTGCCAGTCTTCTGGTAAATGGCGTCTAACCTTTTGGCTTCTTCCAGCGCCTCGTCGAACATGAACTCGGTCGCAAAATTGAGCTATGCCAGTATATCATGTAAGCAGGTGACCGATGGAAGGACTTTACAACCGCTTGAATTTAATGTAGGTGCTGCTTACAAGCTGATGCCCTATGGTCGCTCTTTTGGTAAAGGCAATGAGAACTTGCTCTGCTGTCCACTCACCAACACCCATCTTCTCAACCAGTCCGGTAGCATCTGTCTCTGTTATGAGCAATTCAGCATCACTCAGTATGCCAGATTCTTTCGCAACTGATAAAACGTTCAATCTGTCTTTTGACGGTAGCTTTTCCTGTGGTAGCAACCATTCTTTTTTGATTGACTTTTCAAGAATATCTCTTGCAATTTTCGCCTTGGATTCCCAATTCTGCGCAATCATCGTGTCTGATTTTTCTTTGCGTATTTCTCCTGGTTGGAATCAAGAAAGTTTGCTGGGCTCGATCACCATGCTGTATTGATGGTCGTCTTTGTAGATCGAGCATCCCATTCTTGGCCCCCATTTTTGCCTGTTTATCGATAGATAATAGTTCAATTGATGTTGAAATATCTTGGACATTTTCAGGTGCGTGCCGACGGCGCGTCGCCGTTCATATGGTCTTTGGTGTGGCCGTAGCGTGGCCGCGGCCATTGCGGGGTTTCTACATCGCCTAAATATGATTGCGCGATCAAAACCCCACGATCCTATCATAACTTCAAGCTTTGTAGTCAAAGCTTAACCCATGAACCAGTTTCGTGGGCCAAGAGTTAAAATCCATCATCCACTTTCGTACGATAAGCTTTGTTGACCAAAATGTTCCTCAAGGCTTATCTAACGACGGGTTCTTTCTGGGGTCTCCATGAACAGGCGACGCGCCCTGATAGATAACAATAACCTGGCAATGGTCACGTACTTAAAGGCAATCTTTCGCCTATGATGGCGTTCTACTTCAGTCAGGAATATCCTAAACTTCTGCCAAAATGTTATCTATTCGAAACCGAGGCAGTGAGTTGGCAACTGCACTCAAGAAAAAGACAACCAAGGATGGCTGGGTCACTGAGAAACACACTTCTCCTTACTCTGAAAGTGACATCTGGACGAACAAGGACAGTGATGTTACACCACTTGAGCAAAGAACATGGACAACATGGACTATGCTTGGTTTTTGGATCAGTGATTCGCTGAGTGCTCAAGGATGGGAGGGTGCAGCATCTATCATCGCTGTAGGCTTGACTTGGTAATATTTCTACTTTTCGCTTCATTGAATCATGCTAATAAATCCCAGGCGTGAAGCTGTATACTGTTTAATATTGGGTTACACCATCGACACTATACCCATGATCCTGAACGGAGTGATTGGCGCGGAGCTGCATGTTTCGTTTCCTGTAGTGGCCAGAGCATCCTTTGGTTTTAATTTTTCGAAGTTTGCAGTCGTTATCCGAATGATCACAGCATTGTTCTGGCATGGTGAGTCCCTAACACCGCTCTTCAATCTATATGCTGATAAGAGAAGCGATTCAAACTTACACCGGCTCAACTGCAATGACACAAGTCATTCGAGCGATTTGGCCGTCATTTTTGGAACTGGAGAATCATATCCCAGAAGCGGTAGGCATCACAACTCAGCAGATGATATCGCATTTCTTGTTCTGGAGTTTACAGTTCCCGCTGCTTTTGATCCCACCATACAAGCTAAAGTGGTTTTTCGTTTTCAAGTCTGTCGTAGTAATTAGTTGCGCTCTTGGTATGGTCATTGGACTGTCCGTGCAAGCCGGAGGAGCTGGAGATATCTGGGAGCAAAAGGCGACGGTCACTGGGACAAAGAAGACTTGGCTTATTCTTTCTTCGATGTCTAGTATTACTGGAGGATGGTAAGACCACCTTTCTATCCCCAAGTAACATCACTAACGATTGGCAGGGCCACCATGGGTACAAACATACCAGATTTCACACGATACACAACCAAGACTCGACCCGTCTATTACCAAGGGCTTTTCCTTCCTCTCATCGGATCCGTATTAGGCGTTCTCGGGATCGTAGGAACAAGTTGTGCTAAAGTGCTCTACGGATCCTACATCTGGGACCCCCTTGAAATCGCCGCTCAATGGAACAGCCCCGGCGGACGAGCCGCAGCATTCTTCGTCGGATTTTCCTGGATAGTCGCCCAAATCGGCACAAACATATCTGCGAATGTTATCTCCTGCTCTAACGATATGACGAATCTTTGGCCCAAATACATCAATATTCGCAGGGGTACCATAATTACTACCATCATCGGTGGATGGGTCATGGTTCCCTGGAAAATTATCCATTCGGCCTCGAATCTGCTTACGTTCATGAGTGCGCTTGCTATATTCCTCGCGCCTATCGCTGCTATCATGGCTGCAGATTACTGGATCGTACGACGAGGTGCCGTCGATGTTCCTGCTTTATACCAAAGCCATGGCAGATACCGATACGATGCTGGTTTCAATTGGCGAGCAGCCGCCGCAATGCTCATATCCCTCGCTCCCAACCTCCCAGGTAAGTCCTCACCCTCACCCTTACCCAATCTCCTAACACATTTCAGGAATGGCACACGCCGTCAACCCCAGCCTCAAAATCGGCAACATCACGCATATCTACGACATCAACTATCTCTACGGCTTCTTCGTCGCTTTCATCGCATACGCGACGCTCAGTCTGCTGTTCCCGGCTACGGAAACGCTGATCGAGAAGATGGTTCCTGGGGAAGTGGAGTATTATACTGGGGAGGAGGTGGTGAATGGGGATATGGAGAAGAATCAGACAGGCGTGGGGGAGAAGAGGAAGTCGTATACGGAGTCGCTTACTGGAGGTGGTATGTAGGGTCTGTTACGAGATGTTGAAATTCTAAGATCAAAAAATGATATGAGCGCAAGACTGCCGTATATCATGCTATTCTGCAGAACTCGCTGCTGCGTGATTCGGTATTCTCGAAATGCTTGAAATGGGTATACCCCTGGCGTATTGTATTCTGCTGCTTCGGTAGGTAATCCGAGATCGACCCCAAGTTTCTAGAAAGCTGATTTCCTCAAGATAAACTGCCTGCTTCCAGAAAAGCTCAACGGCCTAAATATCGGTCGAGTAGCAAAATCTGCTTCGTTCGGCGACAAAAAGCCTATGGTTTTCATGTAGATATGAGAATGAAAATTTCTTGCGCATCACCTCAAATTGTTATCGCATCGCCGACGACTCGTCGGATATTCCATCATTTCAGATTCATTATCGTCTTCCAAGTCAGTCAGTACGAATTGTCTGATTTTCTGGAACCGAATTATAGGAATGGAAGGATTTGTCAGGTGTCCGAAGTAACATCATCCAAACGTTCCTCAAGAATGGAAATACAGCGAAAAGTGCCTTTCCCATCACGACCTACCCAGCTTAAGACTTTACCTTAGAAAAAGTGGACTCAACATCCTATTCTATATCCCTCACTGGCCAACATGCCAGTACACTCTCACGCTCCCTTCCAAACCGACAAATTCACAAGCCTCCGTAGCAGACGCCACTGAGAAGCGATAATACAACCCCACAGACCGTTTCGTGAACACAATCTTTATCAAGGCTAGCCGGCCAGGAATATCATATAGCGTGTTGGAGGCTCCGGACTTGGGAGATTCGAATTTGTCAAGCTGCCATGCATGCGTGAGAGTCGAGGATGATTTAGACTTAGTCTCCAGCTCTAAATTCGCGGACATTCTCTATAAGGGTTCTTATTTAGAAACAAATCATCCACATCGCCGTAGTTAAGGGTATAAAATTATTATATAAGCTACCTGGGAAGTGAGTTTTTGTACGTAATAATAGTACCTTTCTAGCAAAATTCAGACTAATAAGGGTTATGTTCCGAAATTTTCACGAGTTTACATAGATGTAGGAATTTCTGGATTTTGTATACGCGAAATAGAGGGAGGGTAGTTTGTCTAGCTAATAGGTAGGATGTTATAGTAGATAGGGTAGAAGGGAGTAAGAGTTACGGGGTTTACATTACGTGAGGAAGGTGCTGGACGTTGCTGCTGTTGTGTGGTGATCGGTCTTGATATATCTTCTAGTGGAAATTGATTATTCGCCTGTTATCCTTAACGTTAATTATTAATTTTGTTACATAGCGCTACGGATGTAAGTGCGTAAGTAATAAACACTGTAGATTCAAAAGTCGTGCGTTTTGTTAATAGCTTGAATTTGCGTTGTGTGTTGCTTATAGAGACGGGAGTTGAGTGCCATGATTATCATTATAGCGTTAGATTCGTAATCACTATTATAGCACCCGTTTGCAAGTTCCACCTCGTATAATCGAGATGTTTTGGATCTAGTACGAAAATAATGTCTGAATTATGTATAATCTCGAGACATGTACTATCGTAAAATCCCTCTAAACATTAAAGCATTAACGAAGAAAACAATTTTTTTTTTAACATCTTTCCCGCCTACTACTTACTGTTACTACAAGGGGAGGATGCTTTTTACGAGATAGATTATGGATAGCTACCTAAACTCCAAGTCGCGGAAAATTTAAGGGGAGGGAGAGATAATCGAAATAGGGTATATTAGTAGGCTACGGGAATTGACAATAGTTTATAAGAGCGAGATTTCAAGCGACGATTGGAGGTAGGTGTTAAGCTGTAATAATAACGATTTATTACGTAGAGTCTAGATCCGGGCCTTTAAATAGAAATCTAGGTCGGAAATACGTAGTAGATTTAGATCGATATAGATTTAATAGATTAGGAACGACTATGCATATCTACTTTCCTAGCCTCACTATATCGTTTAATACTTCGGGCGTCCTAGATTATACTAGAATTAAGCGTTAAGTAAAACCAATACTTGGGATTCGGATGTATTAAACGATACTGTTTATGGAAACAGTTCGCTCACATAAACTTCAATTCTGCTTATTCAAGAACTAACAAATTGTCAATTCCACTAAACTATGCCCGCGTAAGCTGTCACTTCGCAAGGCGATGATTAAACTAGTCTAGTATAAACCGGAATACTTTGAATCGTCATACAACTATCTCGTCACGCCCTCTTCCCGTCCTCCACATTCTACATCTTTAGCAAACACCCAGAATGCAAGCGCTTTCCGAATCGGGACACCACGCCAAGAGAAAGGATTGTAGCACGTTTTTTATTTCTAGAATATCTGGGATTATTAAAGGTGGACGAACGGCCTGAGACATGGGCCATGATACGACTTGAAGTGGATGAGCTATGTCGTGTTGAGTGACCCCTTCCATGCACTGACTAGGATCTTGGTAACTCGACGCTGGAACATGTTCACGCGTGTGTGTACTAATTTAACAACGGGAAACCGAAGGCGCGGATTGGCTTTAGTGGATGGGTGGGCGGTTTGAGATGAACTGGGAAGGTGTAGAGGAATTGCTTGGAATAAGGTGGTGAGATTTGGATGTTATGGTCGGTGTTTAGCTGGGTGAGTGGTCTATTCCTATAAAAGATCGCGGGGGAGTGGGTTCATAATTATCGAGGGTAGAAGTGACGGCCGCAAAACTGGGATTTAGAAGAGGTAAGGCGAAAAAGTTGTGAGACTTCTATTTCTGAGTTTAGCAGAAAAGTTAAGTGTGAGAGTAAAAGATTTAGTGTAAGCCTGTTCTTCTTCGAATCGAGTTTTGTTATATACTCTAGATATTTGAAAGTGTTCGAATGTAAACAATCGTCGTCGAGTTCTTAAATTTACAAGAGCGCCTAGTTGAATAAACTTGGCGAGAGTTTAGTGTTTAGATAAAGCTTGGGCATCGTACGTGGGAACGCGTATAAGCTTAACTTGTCATATTCTAAGATCCGTTAGACATTCTTCGAATTCATGAGTTTTACATATGACAAGTCTCTATTTATCTAGATGTGAATCTGGAAAGATTGGTTAGTTGAAAAAGTTGTGAGTGAGAATCAAGGTATGTGGTTTGAATTTAACTTCTTATGACTTGAGTTTCATTTTATATTCTGACTTGAAAAAAAGCGGTTGTTCTTGAGACGTTGGCTTACAGTTTGCCATCATGTCAACCTTGCTTTCACGAAGACCTCGAAATCACCCTCCTTTGGTTCGACAGAGCTCGTTCCTCTCCCTCTCACATCCATCATTCTCGAACATTTCCCCATCTAGCATTTCACGTACTTACTCTCTATCCCCCCCCGTTGCCCGCCGGGCTACCCTCCACCCGCATCCAACCGTCTCACTAATCCAACATCCTCTCCCTGTCCAACGTATGTACCTGCTTCTTTGGGTGGTTCGTTGCGTGGATCGTCACTCACTAAAGGTTGGAATGTGTCAAGCTTTCAGCCATACAGACTGGGGATGCGGGGTACACGGAGCGATGCAAGGTCAAGTGGATTTGTTGTGCTTACTTTGATGTACGAACGAGCCAGTGGTTTGGTTGGATTAGGGAGCCTTGTGCAGGTATGCTGGTGATGGTCAGATGCTGATTAGGCAGTGAGATGGATACATTTTAACCAACACCGAGTTCAATTGGAGCGAAGATCATTCTGCTGACGATTGAGTCATCGAGAATACGTGCATGGAGCAATTGAACGGCGTAGTAATTGCTCTTATCACTTACGCTTTTCAGTTATCAATACGATGATAGGAGAATTGTTTGAAATAAACTGACACGATATCTCATCCTCCCAAGTTCCATATGGCCATATGGCCATATGGATACATGATGGCCTAACCCGGATATGTCGGCGGATCGAGGTACCAACGCGAGCAGGTCGTGTTCTCGTACCGTATTCCGAGCCCCTACTCCGTCCCATGGCGCTCGGTTGTCATCAAATTAAGCCTTTTCGAGAAGGTTGTGTGGCTCGAACGCAGGGAACAGTGCTTCCATTTAAACCCCGAAACTGCAGCCCTCTTTTCGCCCGACTTTCATTGGGTGGAACGCGGGCGGATTCACAATATCGACGTCGAAATTTTCAGTCGCTTACTGCAGATCTTAGCCACACCCGCCGCCGAGTCGAAATCACCAACGTCACTAATGCAGGCTACGCCAGTCGTATTGCAGAGGCGTCGCGCTGAACCTCCGCGTTACATTCGCCTATCATGTCTTGCAGAGCGCAGGCCGGTGATTGGAGCAAGGAACGTAAGCAAAGGTAAGCCTTCCGAGGCAGCTGGGCAACGGCACTGTCAGCTTGGAAGACGTCTTGGAGAAGCTTGTGTGGGAGATGAAGAAATGTGAAATCATGAGGTTGTTGATATTGTTGGGACGAGGGGGACGAGGGAGTCGAGTCTCCACAACCAGACGGCCCGAAAGCTCGGAGTCGGAGACGGTCGGACCAGCAAGGGACTCAACCAGACCTGGCAGAGAAGATTCCACCAAGATTCCACCATGGATTAGGTGGTGGCAAGTGAGAATTCTGACCGAGATCTGCCTCTGCCTCGACCCGCACTACTACCGTGTAATTTCCAGCATCACCACTCGTGCGAGCCTCGAAAGTTCCTCGGTTCAATCTGACAGCCAGAGCCAGAACCGAACCGAATGCTTTTCACGTAAGCAACCGTACCCGTCTCGACCAGGAACGCTGCTCTTGCACTCGACCCGCCACTCACAAAGGTGAAGTTTATCTCTCTCCTCCAGCACGGAGCACTCTCCTGCACGTCAAAGTAGCTCTCCTCGGCTAGTCTGACTTCCCAACTCAAGCTCCCGGCCAAGCCAGACCAGGCAGGTGGGAGAAGTCGAAGAAGTGGAGGACGGCGGGAGTAACGTTTCTAGCACGCCCGTCGCGTCGCCCGATCTCTACTCGTTCTTAAATAGCCAACTTCTCCCTCGACCTCTTCGTCCCCCCGTTCCCACGTCGTCGTGTTACCCATTGACACCGGATCACAGATCGCAGATCGCAGACTCGTGCAACAGACGGAAGAGTAGTCAAACATGGCCGAACACGAGATGCAAGCAGCTGAGCTGCACGAGCTCGCGGTGGAACGCGGTGTCGCAGAGAAAAGAAAAGGATCGGTCGACCCTGAAAAGGTAAACCTCGACTTGGGATTTGCGAATCCAGCACCAGATCGCAAGATGGAAGTGGCGCTTCAAGAATCCGATACCGAAACTCCCGATGATGAGGAGCCAAATGACTACGAGAAGCAGAAGTTGCGACGAGGTTTGAACTCTACCTACTCATGACTCGAAAGGCCAATCTAACACATTCTCAGTCGGAGAGTCTCTACCACGTTCAGCGTGGCTCATTGCCATCGTCGAACTTTGTGAACGTTTCACCTACTATGGATGTCAAGGTCTTTTCCAAAATTACATTCAGAGACCTCTGGATGGATCTCTTGGTCGTGGCGCACTTGGCCAGGGTCATCAAACTGCCACTGCTCTGACCACTTTCTTCAGTTTCTGGTGTTATGGTGAGTAAAGATTGATTGATACATGGAAGAAGCTTTGCTAATACTTTTCAGTCACCCCAATTTTTGGTGCCATCCTCGCTGATCAGTATATTGGAAAATACTGGGCAATCGTAGCATCGTGCGGTGTCTACATTGTCGGTTTGCTCATTCTCCTCCTCACCTCCCTCCCAGTCTCTCTGGAACATGGTGCTGGTCTCGGTGGTTTCATCGCAGCAATTCTCATTATCGGTCTCGGAACGGGAGGTATCAAATCCAACGTCTCTCCCCTCATCGCCGATCAATACACCAGAAAGCGAATGGCCGTCAAGACTCTCCCATCCGGTGAGCGCATCATCCTTGATCCTGCCGTCACCATCCAACGTATCTACATGGTCTTCTACTGCTGTATCAACATTGGTGCGCTCTCTCTTCTGGCCACCCCATACATGGAGCGTGATGTTGGTTTCTGGTCTGCATTCCTTCTTTGCGTATGCATGTTCACGGTCGGTACCACGATCGTCATTCTCGGTCGCAAATTCTACGTCGTTCGACCACCACAAGGTTCCGTCATCACCAACGCCTTCCGTGCGCTCTGGATCATGATCAAGAACCGAAACATGGATGCACCAAAACCTTCTTACCAGGAGGAACTCGGAAATGCACGCCGCGTATATGCTTGGGATGATCAATTCATCGACGAATTGAAGCGTGCTCTGGTTGCTTGCCGTGTTTTCGTCTTCTACCCAATTTACTGGTGAGTCATATTTCTCCAAAATGATCATCCCAAAACTAATAGTTGCAGGGTCGTCTACGGTCAATTCTCTGGCAACTTCGTCTCCCAAGCCGGTCAAATGGCCGGTCACGGTATCCCCAACGATTTGATGCAAAACTTCGATCCAATCGCCATTCTCTTCTTCGCCCCAATCCTCGATCGTCTCGTCTACCCCATGCTCCAAAAATACCACATCCCATTCCGTCCCATCACCCGTATCGCTTTCGGATTCTTCGTCGCTTCCATGTCCATGCTTTACGCCGCTGTTCTCCAACACTACATCTACCAAGCCGGACCATGCTACGGCCATCCTCTCTGCGACGCCTCCGTCGTCGACGGCGTCGCCCAGGGAAATAACATCCACATCGCCATCCAAACCCCCGCCTACATGCTCATCGGTATCTCCGAGATCTTCGCCTCCGTCACCGGTCTCGAATACGCATACATGAAAGCCCCACCCTCCATGAAATCTTTCGTCCAAGCCATGTACCTCCTCACCAACGCCTTTGGCTCCGCCATCAGCGAAGCCTTCATCTCGCTCGTCGGCGATCCAGAGGTCATGTGGCTCTTCACGGGGTTGTGCGCGGGTTCGTTCGCGACCGGTGTTATCTTCTGGCTGCTGTTCCATCATCTGGATGCCCAGGAGGATGAGATGAATGTGCTCGATGCGAAACATGATGAGTTGGAGAACAAGAAGGCGCTTGCTAATGCGAGGGTCGGTAATGAGGGGACGGCGGAGGCGGCGAGGATATAAGATGTAATGATGAGAAAGTTGAGGGGGATGATTAGCGCAGCTTTAATGGCTAGATAATGTAATTGAGTGATTTGCTCTTAATACCGTTTCATGAACGTGACCAATTTTAGACAGTGGGGTGTAAGATATCTGCTGCTTACAACTTCAAATTCCAGGTCTGACGCGAAATATCACATCAACGTCCTAATAATTACAAAACGATTCAAACAACTCCCTCCACACGAAATGACTTCCCTACGCGTAAACAACCCACCAACAGCACACCGAATCTCCGTCAAGTGAGTGCCAATGCGACTTCTACTTCTATGTCATCTCCTCGAGCGAGAGTTTAATACTGTTCGTTGTCTGTGAGATGAGTCTGAGTCGAGAGGTATTGAATGAGATATGAGATGCTTGCTATTTGAGTCTCGTAAGCGACCCAGCGATCATTCATTAAGTAGTTAGGCCAGAAGAAAATGTCCGTAAGGACTGTCTTTCTCGTTGGATTCGAAGGAGGGAACCCCGACCACCAGTGGACGAGGGACTTGGTCTGGGAGGTGATTTGTTGTGTGTAGTTGCTGCTCGTCTGGGGAAGTGAATTTGTTGGTGAGAGGGGGGGAGATAAATGGCTCTGCTATAATTGGTGTATGTTATAGGTGAGTGTCGAGGTGAGGAATATGATGGGTTTCTCGTCTATTCGATGCTTTTGACTTCTAGAGAGGATTTTGTCGCAAAAACGCTGTTGTGAGTTCGTTGGGATTAATACGGCGGTTTTGTGTAAGGAGTTTCTTGGTTTTGCGAATAGATAAGTAGGTATCTTACATAGGATGAGGCAGAGGAGCTGTATTGTCTTGTGGATTTGACACTCTTGAGAAGGTGAGATGGAGATGGGGGGAATAAATCTCGAGGTTGTGTTAGGGTGTAACTGGATGCGTGGATAAGGAATCGTAAGTATATAGATAGGGGGAAGAGTGAGAGGAGGTTGTTTAGCTTATATTTTTAAAGGTATATTCGAGTTAGTAACGTAATATAGCTAAGCTATTTTGCTTACAAAATCCGAGTTTACCTCGTCGGTCTCTTATACTAACGTGTTCGCTTAGACAAGAGAGTAATACGGGAGGTAAAACACTAAGAGGTTATAAGTGAGAGTCGCGGAAGGTTTTATTATATTTTTTGGAATTCTGCATTTTAATTTTAAGGAGGGTTGTAGGTCGAACGAGAAAGTATTATAATCTAGAATAATAAGATTTTATCTCTATAATAGTATATATTATATCTTATAAATAACGTACTTCTAATATTATTACGTATATACCTCTATAGTTTAAATATTAAGAATTAAGGTTAGTCTTTACTTTAGAAAATTTATTAAATATAGCTTAAAGTTTTCATTATTTAAGAAATCTAAATAACTAAGATTCTACTATTTAGAGTATAGAATATTCTTCTATATATTATTATTCTATATAATTATAATAGTTATAAAGTACTTTTAGAGATTCTTATAATTTATATAGATAATAGAATGTTTTTTAAGCTACTTAGTCTTATAGAATTTCGCTATCTTATCTCTCTAAAGTCGATAGAATAGATCTATTAGCGATAGTATAGACTGAAAAGTCGAGAAGAGTTTAAAATACTACTTATTATTAAAATTTACTACTATTTTAAGATAATTTAGTTATTCTAAAACAAATAGGTATTTAAAAACTTTATTACTAGAGATGTAAAATAAAGAAAGTATTAGAAACGTAATCTGAAATTTCAACTTTCTAAAAATATCTAAAACATTTATATTATAAAGTCAAGCCTATTCAAGCCAAGCTACCTTACAACAACGAATCATCCCCTCTATCCCCCTTATTCTCCTCCCCAACCGTCGCAAGATACTTCTTGAAATTATCACTCATCTCAACCACCTTCTCAAAATGATCCTGTCTCAACTCAATCTCCAACGCCTTTTTCTCTTCCTCCTCCTCCCCAAGCCCCAATTTCGACATCTTCTGCATGGCCTCGTACTCTGCCAACGCCACGGCCGTCTGAAACGCATTCCGGATCTCTCGCCCATTCCACTCGATGTCCTTGAGCACGTCGTCGGAAAGCACGTATCGTTTCGCGCCAGCCTTGACGTTAACCTCGTCTCCCCGCTCACTCTCCAGTTTCTTGAAGAATTGCAGCCAGATCCTCTTCCGGCCTTCAGAATCGAGAGGTTTGTAGCCGATGTACACATGTATACGACTGAAGAACGCAGGATCGAAATGGCCCACCCGATTTGTCGTCAAAAACAGAATCCCACGATAATACTCCATAGCACGCAGAAACACGCTGACCAGCCCATTCCGCGTGAGCTCATTGACCTCTCGTCGCTCCAGATACACATCCGCCTCATCAATCAACATAACCGCGCCCCAGATCTCCGCCAGCTTAAACCATTTACTCAACGACTCCTCCACGCTTGCCTCATCCGTCCCAATATCCCCACACGTCAGACTCAACAACGGCCGCGACGTAAACTCCGCCACGCACTCCGCCGTGAACGTCTTCCCGGCCCCAGGCGGCCCATGAAGCAGAAATATCTGCCCCTCCCCTTTATTCGGGATCGGATCCGCGGACCACGTGCTCTCCGCCTTCGTGTTTTTCTTGTTCCGTGACGAACTGTATTTATGCACCAACGCCTTGATCAGCTCCTGTTTATCGCTCGGCAAGACCAGATTCTGGATCGCCTCCGTTTTGATCTTTGGGTCCCGGCAGAAATCTACGTCGAGGGCTTGCCATTTTTTGGATTTGAGGTCGAATCCCATGATGCGGCGAGGGAAGAGGAAGTAGCGGTGTTTGGTTGGGTTGCCGTCTTTGTCTGTTGAGAGGTCGGGGGTTTCCCGTGGGTCGATGTTTTCGTAAGAGCCCCATTTGGTGTTTACGCTGGCGGCTTTGCGCTTTTCGTTGCATTCGTCGCAGTCGCAGTCGTAGTGGAGGTCGGCGAGGATGCCGGTGTTGTCGTCGTCGACGTCGAACATGGGGGCGGGGTGTTTGGATACGTCGGACCAGTCTGCGTATGTCTGGGGTTGTTAGGATGATTCTTTATGGAGGGTAAGTGGACTTACATAGAAAGAACCTTGGTCAACAACAACACGACCCTCATACCATCTCTTCGGCTTCTCCTTGACAGTCATAGAATATCCCTTATAATCCATCTGCTTCCCCATCAACAATTTATAAAACTTCTCACCCCGCTCCTCAAGTTTCTTCCTTGGTGACAGATCCGGACTATTATCAATAAACTTCGCCGGGAACACTTTCAAAGATGTAATTTCCCGCTCTCCCTCGAACGGAGCAATTTGCACCTCCATCTTCCTCCGACCAACATGCGTACCATTGAAATCAAGATACCACATCGTGATTTTCATAGCACTGACCTGGCTGAAATTTGGGGTACTGAAAGGGGTGCAGGATTGCACCACGAACCCACCACGTTGGTCATCAATGTTGGCATACACATCCATACCAGGCTTGAACAACATCCAGAGCATCTCGAAAGTTGCAACGGGTGTAGGTTTGATATATCGTGCATCCTCTTCGAGAATCTTGTCTCCAAGATTATCCTCGAGGTACTTCTGCAAAACGCTGATATGATGAAACGTCTCCGCATCATCGCATTCCTGTTTATACGCTTCAAGCTCCTCTCGATGATGCACCAAGATACTGAAAGGCTCTTTGATGGTAATGGTGTTTCCAAGCAACGATTGACCTGGGTAGTAATCGACAATCGCTCTCAGAGCCTTGATGATTGGCTCCGAATGAATGATCAATTCTTTTTCTTCCATCGACTTTTCATCAAAACTGTTGCCGCCTTCTTCTTTGTTGTTGTTTTCCGCTTCCTCGAGGACGTTCTTCTTGCTTCCGACTCCGCGCTTGTAGATGCTGGGGAACCAGACTGCGACGCTGTAGAGGACTTCAAGAATTGGAGTTCCGCCATTTGCATATCTGACCAAATTAGTAATAATTTTTTGAACTTTTCGTTTCTGATACTCACGTTGTCTTTTTGAGTTTATATGGCGCATCTAGAACTTTCGTTCCCTTGATCTCGCCCGCGAAATCCTTGTATTGGACTTTGTAAATGATATCAGGACAATCATCTCCAGCCTTAGAACCCGTCTCATTGTTAGAAGCCTCGGGAGTTCCCTCATCACCATCTGCTTTGACAAGCACATACTTCTCCCCTTTCTTCTCTGCGGTATCAGCCATTGTGACGGTAAGTGTAAAATATTTTATAGTGGAATTGTTAAAAGGCAGAATTGAATCTCTCCAAATCTGATGACCTGAATAAAAACAAGATACAAAGAGCCAAACCTACCTCTCTTTAAACAAAACCAATGCGCATCTCCACGTCAATCAAAGCTGTAGCTGAAGGCTGAACCCTCGCAGCGGTGAGTCAAACGGCAAGTCAGCTCTCGGCAACGCTGATGCCTACCTATCATGCCTAAAGCGCACCACGCCACCTGTACTTCGTACCAATGAACCTCTCAACATGTAGCTTACTGCGTCAATAAGGCTGTGAAAAGCACGATTAACGTATAATCTGACATGTTTAGCGATAACCTTCTTATGCGACCCCCACTATTCGCATGCCGTACCCCACAAAGGCGACCTCGCCGTCGTCCACGCCGCACACAGCCGGGATCCACATTTAGGTGAAGATGTATGCGATGTTAGGTGTTTGAAACATGAAGATGAGAGGGGATTTCGGTGAGTGACTACCTGTTTTTAGACATATTTATTTCGCGCAATGGAGTTAAATGATGGTTCGGCGATCAAGAAACTCTTTCATTGCTGCAGATCAGACAGCTCAGAATCCGACCTGGAATGACCTGCTCAATAACACCGCTTTGAGCTGGACGATGAAGCTTTGGTATACATGTACGCAAAGAAAGCCTGAGGGCTGAGCAATCCATACGATTAGTAATAATCCCATACACAAAGTCGAGTCCCCAAAAACTTTGATCCTAAAGCCCCGCTCAATCGCCATCAAATCGACCTCGAACCATCCACCATCTACACTTTTTGTGAATGTTCGGGCTTCACATACGTCCACTCAACCGGCAATCTCTCGAAAAACTTAAATTCCCCTATTAATAATTAGCAAAACGCCCAAAGCCGAATCCTTCATTGCACCACCAGTGCATTGCAAAACCGAGGAGAGGACACCCTTCAAACACAAGAATGTTGGACACCGATTTTCCGAACTTCCAATACTCCTCCCTTAAAAGGCATATTCAGCCCACTCCAAAGGGAAATTACTGCATAGGAACAAGTACAGTTTGCAAAAAAAAGAAACCACCACTCCATCAAGTCGGCCTTCCCTCACCCTCCCATTCCACCCCCGCAAAGCCAAAAAGATAAACTCACTCTCCGCAACAAACATCGGTACCGTCTTCTCCAAATAATCCTTATAATACTCCTTCTTAAACTGCACATCAAAAAACCACTGCTTATCCCTCTTCCACCCCTCCACCCAATGTATCACCCCGGGTTTCTCGGGGTCGATGAAGACTTCGAAAAATGTGCATTCCGGCTCTGCAGTGACGAGTTCGTAGATGGGATGGAAGAGGGATAAGAATTTGGGGATGTTGGAGGGGTCGATGGTTATGGTGACTTCGAGGGAGAAACCGGGGGAGGGGGTTGTGGGTGGTGCCATTTTTGGTGATGAGGTGATGGAGAGAGAGAAATTGCGAGGTGGTGTAGTTGGGTATGTGAAGGTGTATATACTTATGCCTAGAACGACCGACTGCGAGTAGTACTCGTATTGTTGTTAAGATGCGCCGGATTCCTTGGCATTTCGAGGGTATGTGCCTCATCAATGGTGGATATAACCGGAGACCTAGGCACTATCAGCTTTGCTATAGATGCTTGCTTGAAGCTATCCAACACTTGGCACATAGGGGATTTGGAGCTACCAGACGGCAATCCACTCCGGTCGCTTTCAAGAGGGTTGTCTCAACGCGCATAGAAAATTTCCGAATTTCCGTATGATTTCCTAGGAGCGTCAACTCGGATGCGTTATGCCAATCCAAGATGGTAAAAGTCATAATATGCAACCGTGCCTCATGTCGGCGTGCGAGTTGTTGAGCCCTAACACCGAAAGAGAGGAGCGCCAAGGTGTAATTGATTTGTAAGAGCATATTTGCAACCGTAAACCGTTGGCATAATTATCCTAATCACAGTAAACTTGATACACAATCAAATGAGGCAAATGGTGGCAGTAAAGCTGCATGTTGATTACCTAAATATAGTGCAATACCCGTGAGGCAACACTGCTTAATCAGCATCTAATACAACCTCAAACATATCTTGGTACATGACCAAGTTTGCCATTTTCTTATCCTCCAATATCAGTCTTATCAAAGCAATCCTCGCAAACGAATTTATGCGCGTCACCCTATCCGAACACTCCTCACGCAGCTGGTTGGGCATGCTTGAATGTCGAAGCCAGGACGGCTTTAATCGGTAGAGCCCACGGCCCAAGTACCGAGCCTGTCAATCCACGAAATGTCGAGTGATTGAATGACCGCTGGTGTTTTCCGGGTAATCCGCTTTTGTTAGGTGCATTGTCCAAACGAAGTTAGGACATCACAAAAGTCGATCAGTCGTAGCCGCCACCAATCTGGCTAGCAAAAGCAGTCGAAACACTTTTCTCGTCATCGTCTAGACGTCGGCCACTGAGCAATGAGCTTGAACCGAATACGCTACCGGCATCACCAGTTTTGTAGTCTGCAATACGACCACCGGATTCGACATAGCGTTTCAAGCGATCGGATTGACTCAGACTGGTTTGCTTTTGAGCAACATCGTGAAGTCCAGATCCAAGGCTTACGCCACCTTGGCCAATCCCTTTGCCATCAATGACACTGCTGGTGGTATCGGTAACCTCGCTTGCTGCAACAGACTCTCCAGTAACGCTCTCTGGTCCACGTCCTCGAGCTTTCTGTCCATTTTGACGAGCACGGGGATCAAGACCAGGCCAAGTGTCAGGGTTGAAGTTGTTGAACATCTGTGGGTAAGCGGAACCAACTCCTGCACCTCCAAGAGCCGATGAATGTACGGAAGAGACATCGTCGGGGATATAGCTCATGATCGATCCAGCATCATAATCTTGAGGAGCCTTTCCAGGTGCGCCGGAGCGTCCGTTAAATGAGGAATGTGCCATTTGGTAACGTTGTGGGCCACGATAGGTTGTCTTGGGTCGGCTGAACTGAAGAAGGGACGTTTGCAAATTCGAAAGAGGTCCTTCGACCAAACAGTTGCGTTCCTTGAAATGAAGAAGTAAATAATGCCAGAGCGGATGCTTTGACAAGACCTTTGGATTTCCGAGAATGACAAGACCATACTTGGCACGAGTCAGAGCGACATTCAGACGTCTCGGATCGCTCAAGAAACCAATACCTTGGTGGTCGTTGGAACGGACACAAGAGAGCACAATGAAGTCTTTCTCTCGGCCTTGGAAAGCATCGACGGAAGCGACCTCAATCTCCTTGTAATTTTCCTTTTTGAATGTGCCAGTATTTTGCATGGAACTGACAACAAAACTTCGCTGGCCCTCATAGGGAGTGATAACTCCAATGTCTTGTGGCTGAACTCCGGCTTTGAAGAATCGAGTGACAATCTTTTCAACATTGGACGCTTCGGTTCGATTGAGGTAGGAAGTACCAGATGCAGAAATTTCTTCGTTTCCAAGGTTAGACCAGAACATCATTGGTGTATCTCCAACTGGCCATGGGAAGTCAACGTCGCGACGGAGCCTCTGCTGCATTGTGACACCGTTCTGGAGAGAGCCCTCATAGAACATGTTCGATGGAAATTGTGACAAACAAGGGTGCATTCGGTACTGCACATTCAAGCGAATTGGTGCGAGTCCGAGAATGACAAGTCGCTCAAACAACGATTGATTGAGTCCAGCTTTGGCGGCCTTTTTGTTCATAATGACGGGACCCAACTGCTGATGATCTCCAACAAGAACAACTTGTTTGCAGCCAAGTACCAAGGGGATCATACATTCCGGTTCAGCGGACTGAGTAGACTCGTCAATGAGCACAGTTCTGAATTTCATCTTGGCCAAACGTGGATCTCCAGCACCAACACAAGTACAGCAAATGACATCTGCACTGTTAAGAATCTCTCGTTCGGCAGCTCGTGTAAGTGTTTTGAATTTCTTTTCATCCTGGCTGGACAATTCTCCAAGTTCGCCCTTGAGTTGAGACAATTTGGTGAGTTCGAGATTGCTGTCGTTCATTCGAACCTGCTCGTGTAGAGACAGGAACCCAACCGTAGATTCCACATCTTCACGAGATTTTGCTGTGAGGCGGACAACTTTGAGACCAGTTCGATGAATGCGCTCACAAAGTTGATCAACTGCAACATTGGACGGTGCGCAGACCAGAACCTGACCGCCGTTCACTTTGGCTAGATGATAAATGATTGTTGCTGAAGTGACCGTCTTTCCAGTACCAGGAGGTCCTTGGATAAGACTCAGTGGCTTTTGCAACACGCTCTTGACTGCGTTGATCTGACTACTATTCAACTCCGGAAGACCTGGTACGCTGAATTTCTTTGGCATCTGGATCTTCATTGGAGCGGCAGCAACCTCGTGACCCAAGAGTTTGTGAAAGATGTACCCAGACACACTCATTTCATCAACTGCAAAGGTTCGCATTGCAAGCTGCATACGGTCATAGGAGGTCGCCTTCCAAACATAATCGGCAGAGAAATTATGGGTGCACTCAGTTGGTACTGATTTGTCGTTGCCAACTTTTCGCAATTCGATTGTGACCTCGTCAGACTGGTTGTTTGGGATCTTGATAACATAGCCAACACCTTCCCAGACAGGTCGCAATTCTCCCTTGTACTTCAGACGCATTTCATCGCCGACTGCAAGTTTTACATCGCCAAGCTCGATTTTCGGCAAGACGAAGCTTGCAAGATGCTTATTGTTGAGACCATAATCCCAACGGATGATCAAACCATCTTCGGATTGCGCTTCCTTGAGCTTTCGATCGTAGTCTGCTTCAATCTTGACAAGTGGCCCAAAAACATTCTGGTACTGGTACGCATCGTCGTATTTCAAAAGCACAGGCGCAGGGTCGTCGTCAATTCCGGCAGCTTTCTCAAGGTCGGCAATAGTGGCACTTGAGTTATCCTTCCACATTTCTTCTAATTTTGCAATCATTGGTGGCGTCAAATGTCGAGCACGGAGCTGTTCAGAGTCTGTCGGCACGGACACCAACCATGGTAGGAATGAACGATCTTCGATAAGTGGTTGCCACCGGGAGATGTCCCAACTCATATCCTTCGAAGACGGAGTGGAAGCGCAAGGTTGGCGACACAGTAGAACGACTACCGTATCAGATTTCGCTGGAATAAATCCGAGAAGGAAAACGTTCTTGGTACCGCAGTTGTAACATTCGAGGACCGTATCTCCCAGCGTGGACAGAGGATGAAGCTGAACTTCCTTGTGACGGGCCCGAACAAGATGATTGACAATATGGGAAGAAGTCGCATTCCCCCGAGCGCTACAAAACCATTTTGTACATCCTAGACACTTGACAACACAGCTAGGGGAGTGTATTCCGCAATATCTTCAACAAGTCAACCAATATTCGCAATGCGTCTCTGCAGAGGCACTTACGCGCAAGCATGAGCTGGCAGTTCTTTTTCATCCTCAACTCCTCTGAGCCCTAGAGTTTTCATTCCCTCCACCGGCATGCTGGCCAAACTTTCCGCATCATCATCGTCGAAGACCTCGGTCTCATTATCATCGTCGTCGTTTCTTCTTCTGCTAGGTCCCAGGCCGCCCCGTCCACCATATTGCCCGTAGAGAAGGTTTTCGTCCGGGTCGAGGTTCGAAAGGTCGTCGGCGCCTGCATTGATCGCAGCTGCAGAGTCTGAGATCAAGTGGTTTCCGAGGTGAGTAAATGCACCCTCCATGGTTGATTGTACACTCAGGCCTGCAGAACGGAATGAGGATTAGCCAACGAACAGACCGGAAAGGAAAGCAGAATGTGAGAAGGGTAGCAGGATGCGCTAATTGCCACGAAGCTTATGGTTCCAGAATGCGCTACGGAGTTGTATACTCACAGTCTCCTTGGGGATCTCTTCCAATAGCCTTGTGTGGCGTGAGGAGAATTGAATATGTCGAAACGCGCTGCGGTCGATCAAGTCATTCTCGTGCTAAATAATCCCACTTGTAATCCGGGCGCACTTTATGCGAAGGTTCGGAGGCAGAACACGTTTTCGAAAGTAATTAAGTCGTTGTCAAATTCACTATTGCTGTTCGGTGGGATGAAGTTAAAGCCGTGACCTAGGGATAAATCTACAAACATTTTAGCGCGTCGGCCCGAAGTAAATCCAGTAGGTCAAAAATATTTCCAGAACTTTTTGCGACGACATTGAATATTGCCTTTCCGCAGCAAACAGGATTCAAGTATGATTGTGAGTATATCTTTGCAGCTCATTCCACATTTGATTATTGACTCCTCGTGAGATATCATCTCTCTGAAAATATGCCATGTTTTCAAGCACAACTTTTCTGCAGTTGCCCCTCCCCGCGACACCCAGCTAATTCGATTTGTGCAGCGCAAACAAGCCCGCCAACGTCGCGACTATCTTTATCGTCGAGCTCTGACTCTCCGTGATGCTGAGATCTCTGAGAAACGGGCGAAACTTCGATCGTCTTTAGCCTCTGGAAAACCTTTAGATCCTGCGATTGCGAATGACAAGACATTACGGCAGGATTACAAGTACGATGAATCGAAGGCGGACAGGACCACAAATGAAGAGCTGGATTTGGACGACGAATATGCGCAGCTATCGGGAATTGTTGATCCGCGTGTTCTGATCTCTACCTCGAGAGATCCTTCAACCCGACTTTCCTCGTTTGCGAAAGAGATTCGACTATTGCTTCCAACATCCATCCGATTGAATCGTGGTAACCTAATCCTTCCAAACTTGGTACAATCGGCACAAGCGTCTGGTCTTTCGGACATTATCTTGTTACATGAGCACAGAGGAACACCGACGGCTTTAACATTGTCGCACTTTCCACATGGCCCGACTCTCTCGTTTTCCCTTCACAATGTCGTTCTTCGCCACGATATTCCCAACAGTTCGAGAGGAACTGTAAGCGAGTCGTATCCTCATCTCATATTCGAAGGATTCACGTCACGACTCGGACTTCGGATTGTCAAGGCACTGAAGCACATTTTCCCGCCACGTGAAGCCATTACCAACAAGACCAAGCTCGGCAGTAGAGTTGTCACCTTTAAAAATATTGAAGATACCATTGAAGTACGACACCACGTATTCGTGAAAACTGGATATCAGAGCGTGGAGTTGGCAGAAGTTGGACCCCGTATGTCCATGAGGTGCTTTGAGATTCGGGGAGGAACGTTGGAGAATAAAGACGGAGACGTTGAATGGCGGCTGAACCAGTACACCAGAACGAGCAGGAAGAAGGATTATTTATGATCACTTGAATTTTTGTGGAGGTACTGTTGTCATTTAGCGCGGCGTTCAGGAATAAATGTATGGGACATGTAGGTACAGGAAACATACACGGCTCTAAGTCGCACATAAGACGCGACCTTATCTATCTAAACCTTCTATAGTCTATCAATTGTGCTGTTTCTCATAGACTTAATGCGGCCCGATAACTACAAGAAAGGCACGGGTATGGGCGTTATGCTCAACACGGCTGCTGTCTTGGATCATGGTATGAACAATTTGGGTTCTAAGAGGAAGGATTGAGTATGTGAAGTCGGGTCCAGTGAATAGTCTCATCTGCCTTCGTAGACTACAAATTAAGAGTTCCACTGCTCAACTCGGGGATTTGTAGCAAGAATAATCTCCTTTCTGACAATGATTATATTGCTACTAATATGACATCCTCGTCAGCCTTCTGGGCCCTCGCGGGAAGTGTTACGCGGCGATTGCGTAGGGTTTTCACGGTGATTGTGTCGTGACCAGGAGTGTTGGCTAAGAAGTTTTATTCAGAGCTGGAACTCAGTTTGTTGTGCTCGTAGGAGTTTGTGTCGAGGAATTCCAAACTGGAACTCAACAACATGGATAGGAATACTGCTCAAATTGAGTTAATTCGAGAAATCTTATCACCAGTAGTCAGGGTCCTGTGATGAAATCTAGCGTGGGGAACCCCTGTGATGCCGTGCCAAGAATAACGTGGGGCGGAGCCGCAATCCAGCGCTACGGGCGGCATACGGGTCCTGAACAACGTAATATTTTGTTCGTCGAAATGCAACCGTGTTTGGAAAAGGGTAATTCTTTTATTTCATTTCGCAACTTCATCTTATTTCTTTACCACTCTCGTTGCATCCTAATTCGAAGCAAGCTGTTTCGCACGGGGTCTTGAATATCAGAACTAAGCAATAAAGCTCCTCCACTCACAAGTCGTGTGAATGTCTCATCGAGGTCATCCTCTGCCTGGTACAAGTACCCAAGCCACCAGACATTCAACACCACCTCCGATCACCTGGCAGACACCATTATCGCAGCCAGTATCTAGAGCTCCTTCTCGACCTGCTTCCGCAGAGCCAGGAGCATCTCACAAGCACTCGAACGGCAAAGGTTCTGGTGTCAAATCCCCACCCTTGGAAGAGGACGACTTCAGCGATTTTGGTTCCGATTTCGAAGATATGGATGACAGGAGACCGACTCTGCATAGGCCGACGGATGGGCTGTCGCATCAGCCGTTATTGAGGCAGGATGAAGATGATATGGAAAGAGGGAGACCGAGCTATTCGTCCCCCGATCCGCCGTCGGATCGTCCAACACTATTCACAAGAAGGTCTACCATGAGGAGTCGCAGTCCCGATACACAGGCGAAGCTGGCGACGAGGAAGAAATACACTTATGCCGCGTTTTTCCTGGGATTGAGCCTGGTTAGTTTCGTGATACAGACGGAGACTGCGGTCTATATACAGGCGGAGCTAGGGTGGAATAAAGCATATTGTATGCTGTAGGTTGAACTTTTTTGAAACCGGGGGCACTTCTAACACACGTAGTTATTTCACTCACGGATCGTGGTCGCTTCTATGGCCTACCCAGCTCCTAATATTGCGATTACAAAAGTGGAAAATGCCGTGGAAAACATTTTGGAGGAGACACGTTTACCTGGTCCGGACGACGGCGCAGATGGTCGAAACGCAGGAACTATCAATAGCGCGAGGTCAACGTTCTGCGCTACGTTATATGATACGAATGACGGCTCTGGTTACCACTGCACTCACCGTGGCGGGAGGTTCGTGGTACGTTGCAGTTGACATGACCTCTCCCTCGGATCTCACAGCGATTTATAATTGCTCAGCATTCTTTGCATACGTATTCAGTGTACCTCTGCTTAGAGAACCCCTCCGCGTCGATAAATCAATTGCGGTCATGATTGCAATTGTAGGTGTGATGATAATTGCCTACGGCGACAAGGACGAAACTGTTGGCGATGACGGGGAGAAGAAAGAAGCGAAAAATCGGCTGGCGGGAAACATCGTGATCGGCATTGGGAGTGTTCTCTATGGCTTCTACGAAGTACTATATAAAAAGCTTGCGTGCCCACCCGAAGGAACAAGTCCAGGACGAGGAATGATATTTGCGAATACCTTTGGCTCATTAATTGGAACTTTCACACTCACCGTACTTTGGATTCCGCTTCCGATTCTCCATTACATGGAATGGGAAACATTCGAACTTCCTCATGGCGATGCCGCTCGACTCCTTTGGGTATCTGTTCTCGCTAATGCCATATTCTCTGGAAGTTTCCTGGTATTGATCAGTCTTACTAGTCCAGTATTGAGCAGTGTTGCTGCGCTGCTCACTATCTTCCTCGTGGCTATCGCCGACTGGGTGTTCACCGGGAAGGCCATCAGCCCAGCTGCGATGGTTGGAGGAATTCTCATTATCGGCGCGTTCTGTATGCTAAGCTGGAGTACCTATCGAGAGATGGCCGAGGAGAGGAGGAGAAAGTCTGTTGATATTACGGACTCTGACAGCGATAAAGACGATGCCTAGCGAGATATTGCTGATGATTCAATAGAATAGACATCCTTTTAGAATACATCGCCATTTGAATTTGTCTGAGGATTACGTTCGAGCAGATAAACGATGGCGTCTCCCAAAATGACCGTCGTGATTGATCACTCAACTTGAAAATGTACGATTTTGACTATGGGGGTATTTTTGATTCGGGTCATTGGGCTAATTGGGCTATATTGGGTCACGAACGATCATCCAATCTCAAAGGCATCGCATCGGCAGCTGAAAGTGACCTTTGTGCTTGCTCCCAGGGTAGCTTTTGCTTTTATTCGTTCCAATGCACCACTTCAAATCGATCTCGGCTTCGGGTTTGGCCTCGGAAATTTCGGGGCCCTCTACTTACCGTACCAGGCGGGCAACGGGCACAGCAACGTCTTCTTATTGTGCGCTGCTCGGAATTGCAATGAAGACATAGATATGATTGGGTTCGAAACGCAGTAAGCTGACGTAAGAATGGGAAATCGTTGGGCCGGTGAAATTTCATCAACAGAGGCAAGACAAATCTTTTGAACGAAACAATCGTACAACTTCTTATTGCACATTTCAAGATGTTTTTCCGATTTCTCGCGACGGTGTCCCTCCTAAATCAAATTAGAAATTCTCATGCAGCCCCAGCGAGCGAGATTGATAGATATCCTATTGCACCTGCAATTCGGATTCTACACCAATTTCCCAATCTAACGTCAATCGAAAACATCGCTGCTCGTCCCAACGGCAAGCTACTGTTGACTCCTCTCACTTCATCATCTGTTTACTCACTAGACCCGACTTCACCTGCTGTTGCAAATATTATCTATACATTCCCAAACGCAAACACGCTGCTCGGCATCACGGAATATGAACCTGATGTTTTTGCGGTGGTCGCGGGACCTGATGGATCGAACCCTGCTATACCTTGGGTGATTTGGAGCCTAGATTTTCGAAAGTGCGTCACAGGAAACGATGTCCCAGAGGCTCATAAGATTGCAACATTACCAAAAGCGTTACTTGTCAATGGATTAACACATCTCGCACCCGGAAGCCCTTGGATCCTCGCAGCTGATTCTCAGCTCGGAGTTATATGGCGCATTAACACTAAGACTGGAAGATATGAGATTGCCATTTCGGATCTTTTGCTGGCACCAGGCACAGCATTTGGTATTACTTTAGGGGTAAATGGTATTCGAATATCTGGACATCATCTCTCCTTCACCAACAGCCTACTTGAAGGCGGTCTATTTGCGAAGATACCCATCAATCTAATCACGGGTGCGCCACTTGGGAACGCTACAATCATAGCTCGCAATGGTGTTTGTGATGACTTCGCTATAGATACGAAGGGAAATGCCTGGGTTACGCAAAATGTTCTAAACGGAGTTCAACTCATCAAACCAGACGGGAGTTTTAGTGTAGTTCTAGGAGGGCTGAATAGTACTGTTTTCGAAGGGGCTACGAGTGCAGTATTTGGAAGGACGGTAAAGGATAGGAAAACATTGTATGTATCAACGAATGGTGGGTCGGGGATTCCGATTCCTGGGACGTTTAGAGTTGGTGGAACGGTTGTTGCTGTTGACACAACTCGAATTGGCGGCTAATACGAACGCCCATTGACACGGCGATCGGCGTGAAATATTTCACCCAAATCGGTTTGTTTTTAGTGGCGTATTGAGAATATGGAGACCATAGACAGCCAGACGGCTTTTGGTAATCAAAACAGCCACTACTCAACCTACAATATTTTGTGGGTTGGATGAGCTTCCTACTGCGTTTTGTTACAAGTGTCTGCTTGACTCAAGACCCTAATTCAGAATTTCAATCTGTATCCAATATTATTGTACACAAGTATGGAAGCAAAGTGGGAGGAGATCCAAAGTTCGCCTATAACAATCACCCATTGAGTGTCTACTCTACGATCTTGGGTGATGAACATGGCTGGCAACTTATTTCCGCAAATATGGTCAATTCAATTCTCTTTGTTCTTTGCCTAAGCAGCTAATAACTGCCGCGTAGAGTTACTAACAGATGGACGGTGGTCCGTAGCGGCACGTCAAAACCCACTTCGAACATCAACTACACTACACTAGCAATTCTCCGAGTCAGGATCATCACACATGTAGCGTCATTAAATCTTCTGATTGATGTATATTATCTGGCTGGTCAACTTGGAATTTTCTAATTCTTTTGACAAACAAGAAAATGAGACTCGCATTTCAAGTTGTTGTACTCTTCTTACACTTGAGTGGAGGGCTTGCCCTGCCATCAAGGCATGGCAATGTTAAAAGGACAGAAACCACTCAACCATTTGGCACCTCGTTTGGAGTTCCACGAAATAATTCGTTCGATTATGTCATTGTCGGTGGAGGCAATGCTGACTTGACTCTCGCCGCCCGTCTTGCGAAGAAACACACAGTTGCGGTGATTGAGGCAGGTAGCTTTTACGAGATTGGAAATGGAAATAGGAGCAATATTCCCGCTTATGATATCGAATACACGGGAAAGGACCCTCGAGACACGAATCCACTGATTTACTGGGGTTTTTCGACGACGCCACAAACTGTACGTATTTGCTGATTCTACTGTGCATTAAATTGCTATACGTCCATTCATCGTAACTAACACAATGTACAGGAGTTGCTTAATGTCTCAGCACACTACACAAGAGGCAAAACCCTGGGTGGTTGTTCAGCCAGAAATTATATGGCTTACCATCGTGGGACCAGGCTTGCGTATCAGAAATGGGCCGACGATATTGACGATCAAAGCTATTCATTCAAGGATATGTTGCCATTTTTCGAGAAGAGTATTCATTACACACCGCCGGATGGCCAGAAGAGAGCTCAAAATGCAACACCCGAAGTGGATTTGTCAAATCTGACATCTAACAACAGTGACAGCCCATTATCTGTCACTTTCGCAAACTATGCACAGCCTGCCTCTTCCTGGGTGCAGAGAGCCTTTCAACAGATTAGTGTTCATCCTATCACGGGATTCACAAGTGGAAATTTGATTGGATCTTCTTACACTCTCGCCACCATCAATGCAAGCACGCAAACCAGAGATTCGTCTGAGACCTCATTTCTAAGGTCCTCTCTCAACAACGGAAATCTGACAATTTACACTTCTTCCTTGGCAACGAAGATTATATTTGACGAGCACAAAGTCGCCGTTGGAGTTAATGTGGACACTGAGGGGCTGAATTACACTCTTTCTGTAAGAGAGAGGTTATTTTGTCTGCAGGTGCTTTCCAATCACCTCAACTTCTTCTCGTGTCCGGTTTTGTACCAGAAGCGACATTGACCCAGCACAAATACCTGTTGTAGCTCGCCGAGCGGGTGTGGGACAAAATATGCATGTAGGTGTTCTTTACAGAAAAATGAGTTGTCGTTCATTCGATCAAAAACAGGGCCATGTGCTCTTGGGCATCACACATCGAATGAGCTAGTGACGAATTCGACATTACAGAATCAGCACTTTCTATTGAAAGCTCGGAGTGACTTTACAAACAATCAGTCTGGAATTCTAGCCAACCCAGTTGGGGACTTTCTCGGTAATTCGAATTTCTTCATCCTAAAAGTGCAATAACTGACTGACAACCAGCTTTTGAAAAGACCCCTCAGGTTTTACGTGCAACATTTACTAATACAACCTTGGAAAAGCTTTCCAAATTGCCTGCTGACTGGCCAGAAATCGAATATTTTGAGCTTGTCCGGATACTTAGGTGTATAAGAGAATGCTGATCAGGATGTTCCGAAAGACAGATTCAATTACGCTACCGTCTCTATTGCTGTGGTCGCTCCTCAGTCAAGTGGCACAATTAGTATCACTTCAAAAGACATGAAAGATCCTCGACTTGTTAATCCAAGATGGCTTACTGATCTCGCGGATCGAGAAGTCCTCCTGGCGGGAATCAAGCGGGTGAGAGAATTGTTCGCAACAAGCTCTATGCAACCTGTTTTGATTGGCACAGAAGCTTTTCCGGGGCCCGATGAAGACCGATGAAGAAATTCTAGGTTTCGTAAGACGGGCGACCAGCACGGTGTTTCATGCAGCCGCAACATGTGCTATGGGTCGTACGAATGATACCCTGGCTGTCGTTGACTCGAAAGCGAGGGTGATTGGTGTGAAAACTTGAGGCTTGTTGACGCATCGTCGTTGCCTTTCCTCCTGCCAGGTCATCCAATGGCTACTGTCGTAAGTTATGAGCCTTACGGCCAGCTACACGTGGAAAGAGTGTAATCTGCTAACTTATCTACAGAAGCGCTCGCTGAGAAAACAGCTGATGATATCTTATCTAGCTAGGTTGAGTTGAAATTTGGCTTCAGCGGACAGGTATAGCTCAATTAAAAATTTGCCTAGTGTATTGTCCAACTATGGGTTAATGACTGCTTAAACGGGGAAAAACATTACTATAGCAGAATTTGTGAATGTTTTCAAATCACAAAATAGATATACTAAGGAACGCTGATTTTTAAAATCCTGTCATAATGTAGTAACTCTTGTCTTGAAGATATGGTGAATAATAGCTCGTTGAAATAGATTGTAGGGCATATGGAATAAGAAGCATTATTGGCTCAAAGTACCAAGACAGTCAGGATGTATACATTTAAAAAGGCTAGATAGTGAAATTCTTTCCAATATTGTAAAGTAGAATGCATTGAAAGGTATAGATACCGAAGTTGCTAGTTTCAATAACAAGAATAATTAGTCTTTCTGAGATGCGTATTGAATTGAAATTGGCTGAAATGGGGAGACTCTATTGTGTAACCATAACAATATTATTATACACTTGTAGGAAACAAAATGAACATGACAATCTCTTAACCCGGACTAAACCCCATCAAACATGTGTTTATCTAACCAAGCGACGCAATTTCCCTTAGCAGCTGACTTTGCCTTCAACTGACCCTATTTAAGATGTCATACGTGTTTGACCTATCAGTAGGGACTAGCGAAGGTTGTAATTCGTAAACGTGGGCTTTAAAGTCCTGTAGGGCGACGGCGTAAAAGCCTGGATGTACGGCGGATAGGAGAATGGCCGACAGTAAAATCAACCTAATTTTAGAATAAGCAGGTGTTGACGCTGAATGTAGGGCAGGTAATTCAAGAGAAAACTCACAAGCCATCGAAGATCATAAACTCGACTTCTTGTCGCATGAGGTGTCCGCCAACACCGCCAGCCAATTCAGGGATACTATCACTTTATCAGTGTCACGTCTATAAACGAATTTCTCGTGTGTCTCACTCACCGATAAATGCATCTTGTCAAAATCAAGAGGAAAGCCGCCGTCATTCCTAACAGAAAAATCTTGAGATTTTTCTGCAGAGCCGTAAATACACCCGTCCCATGTCGCTTGCAAATACGTATGGTAAAGTCGGCTGATAGAATACCCGCAAGTACCATAATGACAGCTTGAAACGAAACGCCGAAAATCATAATGGCGTTACCAACAGACGCCAGGCTTGGATTCTTGTCGCCAGCAGCCGCCACGACACCGCCACTACATTGCAAGAAGAATCCCACAAGATCAGCCGTGACGAATGGCCATGTCCAGAACCGTTCCGGGAGTCTCGTGTGTTCTGGGCCAAAATGGCGTACAAGTGCTCTCAGTGTTGTGTACAACGCTGCCGCCAGGAAGGAAGGCGAGACCATCAGAAGTACCAGCTGTATTGGTAGCGCCGCACCATTCCACGGATTCTTGTGTAGAAACAAGCGGCCAACGTAGCCGCAGCATTCACCGCAACAGCCAACGAATGTCAGTATGGAAAATGTTTTCCAAGACCGCCAGAACCGGCAGATATGATAGCACTGAATTAGGGCACAGATGGCGAACACAAGGGCGTAGAAAGCATTGCCACCAAGATTTGGAGCGTAGCCGTAGACGGTGTCCTCGATAGGACAACTTGGAGAGACCGACTTGCAGTCATCGGTAGAGTCAGGCATCTTTGAAAAAGAGGCAACGGGTTTGTAGATGGTCGATGTAATAAGTTGACGGTTCGAGATTAAAAACAGTAATAGTGTGAAATCAATGATGTTGAAGAGGAGGAGTATGTGAATAGCTTGCTGAACGTACTGGGTAGCCGTCATCGAGAAATATATTCTATACTTATAGAATGTTGATTGTCAAATCCAGGCCTCGTCATGGTGGCTTGTGTCAAATGTAATAATTCAGGAACGGTGAAATTGTACTACACTCCAGGGGTAATTGTTACGCCAACAATGCTCAATTCTCTATCAAGAGCTGTAATACAACGGATACGGTCGTTAGAATGTGAAGTGCAGTCTATAATGAGCCAATGATACACTGAGATATGAAGTCTCCGTAGAAGTATCTTGACACAATAATTACGGCGCTGTACAGGTGACTATGCTTATGATACGAGCCAATCTGTGGCACTACGAAATTAATCAGTACTAGTGCGGGCGTGGTAAAAACGGTGTAACGAGGCAAACTTAACAAACCGCGTAAACGATGTAAACGGGTTAAACGGCGTGAGCGACGTGAACGACAACGTAAGCGTCCCAGTGGAGACTTCGTTTCAGGTTGCAGTCCTGTCTTCTCGAGTGAGGACTAAGCGCCGACGAGTCTTAGCGAGACAATACAAATATTTAGAGCATGTCTAGGTAGCGTCGCAATCTCAGAGTTTGAGGTAGTATTTCTAAATCGTATATCACAGACAAAAAAGATAATCCACACTGCAGGACCTAAATAGTACAGAACGACTTCGTGGCTCAGCCCTGTTCCCACTATCTATGTCTCCATCTGACGGTATTTGCGAGCTTTTCTGCTCCTGCTAGTATCCAAGCCTTGTGCTTGATCCAATTAATAGTTGTCTTTACCTCTTCGCTCATGATGGCGCTACAGGCCTGCAAAATTCGTCCAGACCATCCCGACACCCACCAACATTCATGTTCCGAAGCGCGAATGAGGAGAGTACTGTAGGCAAACACTAGAATCGCATTAGGATGATGATCACGAAGACGAGCCCAGTAACCCTTGTCGACTGAAGCCATCCAGGTAGCGGCCAATCGATTATAGTCATACCCTGTCATATATTGGTCCAGGAATATCTGCAATTGCTGGATTGCATTTTTGTCGGACTGATGGCTTACTTGGCCCCGTAAAAATTGTAACATTTGACACGCAGAAGAATCTTGACCTTCGAGTATAGGTTCTAGTAGCGGCGAGTTTAAGAAGACGCGCATAGGAGTTTCTTTGATGACTTCTCGATAGAGATGGGCAACCGTCCGGGAGCAACGTATCACCTCTATAGTGCTGAGAATGTCGTCGAGAGACTGCTGCTCAGCAGCTATTTCCGGAAAAGCGTAAATCCATATACTAAGAAGAACAGAGTATGCAACAATAACTTCCGCTGTCTCGGACGAGGCGGAGAAGACCATTTCTTGGAAAATTGGGAGGCTAAGACCATGATGATGGATGGCACGACTCCGAAAGAGATCGCGTCTGACTGTTTCTTTCCAGGCGCAGTGAATGGCCGTCACGGCAAGAAAGCCATGCACTAAAATAACGTTGGAGGCTGCGAGAGCAGGTATTTCCTGTTGCCAGAGTTTTTTTTGTTGTGCTCCCATGAAGAGGTGCTCGCTAGTGTTAATAACGTAGTGATGCATCAAGGTTATGTCGAACAGATCAAAAGACGACTGTGGTGCAGATAAATCGCGAGCCACTGAGGACGAAGGCGTTTTGGACGGATTTGAGGTTGCCGGAGACGATTTGAGATCAGATTCCACGCATGGATAATGACAATCAGAGCGAGTTCTCACGCATCTTCCGCATGACGGTTCGCCTTCATCACACTGATTGGCGAGCTAGTTAATTTCCACTGTACGGGGGGAACGAGTGCCCATAATCGAAACGTACCTTGATTCGTCGCTTCCTGCATTCGGAACACCCAAGGCGAGACTTTCGGTGGAACTGGCGTGGCATCTTGATGTTGTATAGATTATGGGCTTACAAGCCAAAGGTAGCGACAATGTTATTAACTCTAGAAAACAGATGTCGACATGCTGAAATGAAAGAAAATAACCGAATACCTTCTGGAAACTAGACGCTGATGAGCTGCGTCTCGCTCTCTAAACTACGGCTTGGGTGCCAAGTGTCAGCAAGCTAGCAAGTTTACGTAAAACAAGGCTTACCTTATGTAAAACACACGAATCCTGCTGACGTCACCTCTTCTTACTACCAACCACTTATTTCATCACATAATACCCCTACCCAGATATGCCAGCCTGCCAAGCTTATCTTAAAGCTTCATACACTCAATAGGTTCATTAACTGAATTATAGTTACGCTAGCGATCAGGAACATTTTTTCCTACATTAGAACACAACGCTCCAAGTTAGCAGCCACAACAATATTAGGAGTACCGTTCTTTTGATTTCGGAGAGTACGGTAGAGGTAAAGCTATGAAGGATGAGAATGGAATCTGTGCAGCTGTGGGAGGCAAGTGATTTGGCGGTGCCGGTGGCTGCGGCGGCACGTTCGCTGGAAATGTCCGGACATAGACTTTATGTTGGGAGATCGCTATCATCAACTCGTAGTATAGAAATGATAGCGCCTTGAAAGCTAGGTCCAGCAGATGCGAAGTTTGCGTCGTCGAATTGTGAAGTTCAGGAAAACATTCCATGCTCGACAAGATTCTTGCCAGTTGCGATGGAGTCCAACGCTGTTCCTTTTTGGTAAGCACAGATTCATAGAATTGTGTTCTTGATAGTTCGCTCTGGTAATTAGAAACTGGTAGTACTTCTTGAAGAGACATTGCACTTAGAACGACACAAAATCTGAGGAGTAGTATATCTTGGGAATGTGGAGTTTTGTGGACAAGAGCTGCTAAATGCTCGAGGTGTTTGAAAGTTAATAGCGGATCTGTATCTCAGGTTAGCCAATGAAAACAACACACAAGCCTTTCTTACGGTGAAGAGCCATCATCGTTGGAGCTCATGCGCAGACGATTTCTAAAGAGTGATTCTCTGGACTGAGTAGGAGCTCGGCTGCTTGCTCGTCTGCGAAGGCATATCTAGCCCAGACTTTTGCGACTGGGGGGGATTTATTCATCTCCGTTATCCATCGGGATCCGCTACCATTGGCTTGGGAAAATGGATCGGAAAATTGTCCAGTCATGACAAGCGTCGTAAAGTTTTCGGCTTGTACGCAAAAGAGATATAGCAGGGCCACAAGGACCACTGGCGGCAATGCGTCGAATTATTTCGACTGGGAGCTGGTCGAGATGAGTTTGGCGAGACATGGTAGATCAGCAAAGAAGTCTCGACAGTTGCAAAGTCATTTTGCATGCCTTTTGAGAAGGATTGTAGGATTAGGATTCTTCGAAAGTTCGAAACTCGTTAGGAGGTTGTGTGTACGCCGTTCCTTCCACCAGTCATATCACTAGCAAGCTCAACACCAACATCCAACATGTCTCGTCACACGTCAAATCCTTTCAATGTTGCTTTCACAGATGTAAAATTCAAACCTGCGGTCTGAAAATCGGTCTGAAAATTAGAAAACACCGATAGCAAGAGACCCCATTTTCTACCTATCATTAACCCCGGTGCAACTTACAGTCACCCGTTGGGTGCGCGCTTAGCCGGATTCTCCACATCATTCATGGCTTGATGCATGGACAGGCCATCCTTCTCTCAACGAAAATATTGTTTCTTCTCCTAGCGATCCAAGGCTTGACGGGCCGTGAGGTCCATTTCATTACAGTTCTCACGTAATCAACGCCATGTGGAGGTTCCGAATAGGCGAATAGCTATTTTATTATCAGGTATGAATTTTTTCATGGCGTTCTACGTGCTGAAAGCATGGAAACGACGAAGTAGATTTGGGGTCTCTTCACTGACATGGTGAAGAAGTCGATTCTCTTCGCCCCAAAGCACGTCTGTAACTATGTTCAAAGTCAAAAGACGGAACACAACAACAACATCAACAGGCGCCCCGACTTTGGCCTTCTCCTCGATCAGTCTTATACAGTCCATAACGCGCGACTCAATGTTTTCCACAAGCGTTGTTAAATTCTTATTTTGAAAGCACAGGACCAGGTTGTTTCTGGTTGGTGCCGCGCTGTGATAGTTAATAAAGCTAAGTGTTGAAGTTACTCCTTTCCAAGATCCCATGTTGGCGTAAAAACTTGTTCTGAGGGATGTTCGGTCGTAGATAATCTTATCGCAGTGCCATCGGTCGTGTGTATTTGATCTGAGGCGACCACAACCACTGGTCCATACCGTTCCAAGAGCTTCGTAGCATATCGAGATCGTCTTCGCATATATGTCTCGTATTGCAGTGGAAGTTTTGAAACTCTGGCATATCAAGGGCCAGGAATATGAGGGACTGGGGAAAGAATGTATGCGTAAACGACCTACACATCGCTGTCAAAACTGCCATGCCAGGTGAATGTGATTGTGCGAATGACGTAACAGATAAACAGGATAGCTGTAAACTAATATGGTGACACATTGCGAGAGTGTCAGCCGCGCTATGGCCTCCGTAACTAAAGTCATTATCTGCTTTTATCGCCGTTGGGGGTGAACACTGTTTGGTAAAGATGAAAAAGAAGCGGGGACTGGAGCATTCGGCAGAGGAAGAACTGAAAACATGGATGCAATTCATATGGTATTTGTCGGTATTGTTATGCACGCTACGGACTAAGAGGGTTTGACGCAATTGACTTTCTGTCGCCACTATCATCATTCGTTTAGACGCAAAATTGACTACTTACCCGTCTCACCCCACCAGACGCTTACAGGTTACCCCTCCAAGGTGTGAAAAACTAACAAATACATTCTAGCGATCTTGGTGGATAAAGTGGCACATCCCGATACTCAATCTTTCCTTGGAGAGCACTCCGGGAACCACGTTGACTCCCGCAACAGCTACGAATCTATGGGTTACTCCATGTGCCGGATCTTTATGCAATTTGGTCTTATATCAGCAAAACTACATACAATATAGTTGGGTTTGTACTTGCTTCACAATTCAATTGACTTCGCGTTGACATATACCAACTTGAGAGAACAAGCAACAATGGACTATCTGGTCTTGATAATTGGTGCTGGGCGTTCGTGGGAATGGGGAAATAAGCCAAGTCAGAAAGGGGATTATGAGATGGCCAGTCCGTGTGTGATGTCTGATCTACCTCAAAGAATTCTAGAGCAAGTCTTAGTGCAGGAGGTCATAAGACTTTGTTCCAAAGTATGCTTTGGCACAGAATTTGTTGCTTTTCAAGAGAAAGAAGGTCATGTTGAGACCACCTTGAAGGACCGCTGTACAGGCGAAGAGTACAGAGTCAAATCTCAATATCTTATTAGTGCAGATGGTGCGAGAAGGGCGGTCCTTTCGGCTCTAAGCATCCCAATCATCGGCAAACAGCTGAACACTGCATTCAATGTCCACACCAAGGCGGATCTCACAAAATATATTGCTTATCGGCCAGGTAGTCTCAATTGGATATTGAACCGAGACGCTCCAGACTGGTCGGCTGTTGGCAATTTTCCAATGGTTCGTCCGTGGAACGAGTTGGTTGTCTCTTTACATCCTGCCACCAAGGATGGAAAGTCCTTTGTGCCAACCGAACCCAAGATTCTTGACCGTTTACATCAGATGATCGACAATGAATCAGTCAAAATCGAAATCCTTTCTTCTTCGAATGGACCATCAACGATCAAGTGGCTGAGAGTTGGCAGAAACCACGTGTGCTTCGTATTGGAGATACAACCCATAGGCATCCACCCATCAACGGATTGAGAAGTAATACATGCCTCTCAGATACTTTTAATATAGCATGGAAATTGGCATATGTCGTCAAAGCTCACGCAGCACCATCTCTTCTGGATACGCTCACGGTAGAGCGCAAGCTTGTCGGGATGCAGTTGTGAAGCGTGCGAATGCAGGAATGGAAGAACACTGAAGGCTCTGGAGCCTCATGGGGTTCACTCTTGACGAACGCTAAGTCGTCCTTCAAAAATTGCAGGCAGTGACAGCCGAACGTGCAACGACTCGCAGTGAATTTAGGATGACTCTCGAGGCCACAGATGATGAGATTCAAGCACTGGGTATCCCAATGAACCAAATCTATCTCGGTTCCGCTGCAACTGTTGTCGAAGAGTGTGATAACCCACCAGACTTTTCGGGACTCATTGTATTCAAAGAGGTCATGAGGAGCACTTTTCCAGGGTATCATCTACCTCACATGTGGCTTGCTGCAGATGATCAGTCTGAACGTATGTCGAGTCTTGTTTTGGCAGGTCATGGTCGTTTCGTACTTTCACAGGTATTGGTGGTGGGGGTTGGATTCGTGCTGCGCAGGAGTTTCGGCTCGATCTGGAGTTGAAGTCAAAGGCTATACAATAGATTTCCGATGTGATTATATGGACTGTTGTCGTGAGTGGGTCAGACTACGAGGCGCAGAAGAAGCGGGAGTCGTGCTGGTAAGACCAGATCATTTTATTGCTAGGCGTTGTGACACTCCTCAAGAAGACTGTCTGGGAAACTATCCTCCTTTATTACAAATGTATTTGGAAGATAATAAAACTTGTTATTACCATCACGAGGTTTTTTGAATGTAGTTGGTATAACGTATAACTGACACGATGAACGGGATTGATATCGATCCTTGAATGCAAATCAGACGCATCCAATAGCAATTTTCAGGATTTATGTGAAGTCAGTCTTGATACCCTCTCGGCGGCTTGAAATACCTGTAGTTGGCACATATTTAATGACTCGCGATTATGGAAGGGCGCAAAACCAATAGCAGCATCTTGCAAAATTAACGTTCAAAGGCGCGGAAATGACTTCCAGAGTTGATGGTTCTCAATTTAATTGCACTTAAATCTACCTGTTTCCCCGCAACATTAGTCCTAATGGCTTGAACACTATGTATTGCCTGGGGTGTATTTTAATGTTCCGTCCGGGTTGGGGTGATATAATCATACCTGCACCACCTTTGCGAGCGCCACATATCCTCACGGGAAAATCACTATGCTTGGCCACTAATTTAGATAAAACATGAGATCTAAAAGCGTTTGTTTAGTGAATTCTGGTGAAGGACGAGATCCATATTAAAATAAAGTGTATTGCTGAGGTGTATGAGCTTTTTCACATTACACTTGTCACTGATACCCTCTTTCAATTCTTCAGGAACAGCCACTCACACCTTTCGTACACTCACTTTCATTTACTTCGTCAAGCTGGTTGAGAACTATCATACCAAGTGCAAATATGAATCATCATCGAAACAATATGATTGGCAAAGTCGCCTTTATCATTGGCGGCACGGCATCACAGGTTCTGCGATTTTGGAATACCTAGTTCCAAATACGACTTCGGAGCAATGGAACAAAATCATCGTCACATCACGGTCGCAATTTAAAGTAGCCGTCAAAGATCTTCGGATAGAACTCATTGCTTTGGACTTTTCGAAAGATTCCGCGGAGCTGGCCAAGAGCATGCGCGAACTCTGCGCAACCGTCACGCATGCCTGCTTTTCATCGTATGTGCACCGAGACGACTTTGCAGAGTTGAATAAAGCGAACAGTGCAGTTTTTGAAACTTTATTAAAGGCTTTGCTAGAGGTTGCTCCGGTGCTTGAGAACATTACTCTTCAGACGGGAGGCAAGCATTACAATGTCCATCTCGGTCCAGTCCCATCGCCAGCACGCGAAGACAAGCCACATCGGGAGGCTAGCGTCGACAAATTTTCCTTCCCGCAAGAAGATGCTCCCATCGCTGCTCAAAAAAGTCAGAAATGGACTTGGAATGTCATCCGCCCGGAAGCAATTATCGGACACACCTTGAAACCGACCGACATGAACTCTGCTTTGACATTTGCTTTGTACTTTTTGGTGCGTAAGGAGTTGGAAGTAGTGGCAAAAATGCCGACAAATCAACAATACTGGGCAGGATACGACGATGTGAGTGACTCTCGGCTGATTGCTGATCTCATAATCTTCGCTTCAACACATCCGCGTTGTGGTAACGAGGCATTCAATATCACAAATGGCGATTACTTCAGTTGGCAATATATATGGCCAGGATTGGCAAGCCGCTTTAGGACAAATTCTCGATCTGGTCAGGAGTTCAAGAAACCACTGCCGGCGGTTGGAGATGCGCAGCTAGAGTTAAGTCTTGCAGAATGGTCAAAAGATAGGCGAGAGGTATGGGAAAAGATTTGTGAAAGAGCAGGAAAACCAGAAGCGAAATCTACGTGGGATGCAGGGACCTGGGCATTTCAAAATTAGGTGTTTCAGAGGACTTGGTCAGCAACGCTTAGTGTTAACAAGGCACGCAAATTTGGTCGGAATGGTCACATACAGTACTAGGTAACTGCTGTCCGTTCTTTCGCTTAATTTACCCCGCGACCACCTTACCTCTAAAAGCTCCTCAACTTAATACTAACGAGTGTACGAGCTATTTTAGAAATAAGAGGTATATAATATATCTATTAATAGATTTAAATATAGTTATTTCTTTTAGATTTTTAAAAAAATTCTTTTACTTACTTATTCTAGTTTAAAAAAGTAAAAATAAATTTCTACTATCTTATACTATATTTTAATTGATACTCTAAGTTATTAACTTTAAGGCTTATAATTTATTAGACTTATAGTACTATAGTAATATAGTAGTCTACATAACTAGAGTTTTTATTAAAATCTTTAATTATATACTTAAGTATAAATAAAGTAAAAAGTAAAAGACTTTTTCCTTTTTTTACTTAATTTCTATAGTAAAATCGACTTTTCCTATTTCTATCTACTTACTCTCTAGATTTCTTAAGAACTAATTAATATTTATAAAAGTCTAATACTAAAAGTTATAGTTTTAGTAGTTAATTTCTATTATCTTTTCTAAAATTAACTTTATATTAATAGGCTAAGTAATTATAGTATTACGAAGTAGCCGTATTTTGGTACGAAATACCCGAAAAATGGATAGCAGTTGACGGTTACTGTAAATAGCCACAAGAGTTTTATCGACGCTTTTGACAATTTCGAAAGGCTAGGATACATTCCTCATGTGACCGCTTAAGGGACGGACACACGTCGCACATCGACTTTGATGAACCGTTTTTGGAACTTTTGGAAATTTTGAATTTGATAAGAAGTTTCACGTTCTTACTCGTATTAGAAACTCTTATTGTGAAGTACCCTGGTGTGCATTTTTAGTCTGTGGCCGTGTTTCTTGATTTGGGCACAAAAGTGTGAATCAAAATGAATCAAAGTGAATCAGAATGAATCATAATATTTATGGGTGAGACTAAGCCACAACCGGTAAAACCCACAAAATACTGCTGCCATTGCTTGACAACGTCTACCACATATCTGTTCAACGATCATCCTATCCTTCGACAGGTATAAATGGGCAATCTCCGAATATGACAACCCCCAATCAATTAAACTCTCCACCCAATTTTTGATCGTGTGCTTCACTTCCGCAATGGCTACATCTCCCAAGAAACATGCGCTCGTCTTCGGTGCGACTGGTCTTATCGGCTGGGGAGTCGTCAATGAACTTCTTTCGAGCTATCCTCACCCCGGCGTTTTTTCAATGGTTACTGCAGTAGCAAATCGCTCAATTACTGCAAGTGGCGCCCACTGGCCAGAACGGTCCCCGGAAATTCCAGAGCTACAGGTCGTGACAGGAATAAATTTGTTGCAGAGGACATCGGAAGATTTAGCCACGAAGCTCAAGGATTGCATAAACGATGTCGGTAGCATCACGCACGTTTTTTATACTGGTAAGTGCAATGGAAATCATTGTTTTGTAACGTCTTCTCAATTCTAGCAGTCTTCGTCGCAATCAACGAGGATTCTATCAAGGAAGCCGAAACAAACTGCGACATGATGCGACGGGTTGCCGAAGCCGTCAACAGCCTCTGTCAAAATCTGGAGTCTTTTGTATATATGGGTGGAACAAGGGCATGTTACCTCTTTTATCGCTCAGACTTTATTCCTCATCTGTATACAGGGCTACGGTATCTACATCCCAAACGGTATCTTCACAGCACCACTCGAGGAAAGCATGGCAGACAAATTGTCTTCTGACTACGCCAAAACTGTCGCATACCCAGGATATAGGCGTGTTCTTACAGAGGCAAGCAAAAATAGGAGTTGGAAATGGTCTGAAATATGTCCGGATGCTGTTGTTGGGTTCAGTCCAATCGGGTCCAATTTCTCACTCGCCTTACACTGGGCTCAATATCTTTCGTTGTACGCGTACAACCATGGTGTACGTGAGCCAGCCGATTATGGGAAGGTTCAAGTCGCCTTTCCCGGATCTGAGGGCGGTTACAATGCGTTGTTCACGCCTGTCTCAACACGGAGTTTAGGCCGCATCTCGATTCACGCTGCTCTCAACTCTGATAGCTGTGGCGGGCGGATTCTAAATGCAATTGATCATGGTAGTCCGACGCAGTTTCGTGGGCTGTGGCCAAAGATTACCGAATGGTTTGGTCTTCAGGGTGTCGGTCCTGCAGAAGAATGCCAACTCAAGCCAAGCGAATACATAGATAAATACAGGTCACCGTTTGAAGACAATGGAAGATCGAAAGCAGTCAGCGCTGGAGTTGGTGTGGGGAATAGACAGCTAGATAGTGTCGGTTGGTGGTTGGAATTCGATCCACAACTGAGCCCGGACAAGCTGAGAGCGTCAGGTTTCGAGGAGGAAAGTAATCCTATTCAGGGTTGGCTAAAGGCGTTTGAAAAGTTCAGAGCAGCTGGTATCGTTTTTTAATTAGACGCTAGCCACCATTTTACTAACATTGGAGTAAGAGAATATATATAATGTAAGAGTTAGGGCCACAGCTCCCCGGCTACCTTGGCAAAACACACTCAAAACAACGATTTAACCCCCTTTTTATAGTTATAATATTCGACGAATACTTACTGTATCGATATATAACAAAGAGATATAGAAGATAGAGAGTTATTATTATAAACTTAAGAATATCTTAGGTATTAATTAGGCCGGTTTCATCTCATTCCTTAGTATTTAAAATCCTAAGATGCTTTCGGCATTTTACCTTCTAATAATTCTGCCTTAGGCAAAACATTGACAGGCCAACTTACGCATGGTAGCCGTAGCCTATCACTTGACAACATAAGAGTCAGCCACAGATAACCATTGTCAACTTCGCGTAGGCAGAATCGTCTCAGTTAAACTTTCTACCGTGGTTCTAGCCGTCCCGTCCCGCGTCCCACCGCAGAGATCCCCTGCGCCATCCGTAACGGCCAGCCTCGAGTCAGCCTGCAAATGTGCCTGCTTCGTGCCGTGGCTGGCCTCCACGAAGGGTATGGGAAGGTAATGCGATAAGACTTGACTAAGCGCTTCAAGTGCCTCGATGGAACTTAAGAGGAGTCCCTTCCCACGCTGAACGTGTTTTCTTCTTCTCTTCTTGTAGTTCAGAAGTCAAATTCTCCAAACCAAACATCATCTGGCTAAGGCTGCTGTTATTGCTACTGGTGCTGACCTTCTTCCTCTTCCTTCTTCTCTACTTTGGTCCCTATGGTTAGCAAGGTCGTCCACGAGACCCTCGCGGCATTCGTCGCTGAACGCGACTGGGCGCAGTTCCACACTCCAGAAAACCTCGCCAAGAGCGTTGCCATCGAGGCTGGTGAACTTCTCGAGTGCTTTCAGTGGTGCGCTGAAGCAGACCCGAAGCGCGTACGAGAAGAACTTGCAGACGTACTGACCTACTGTCTCCTTCTCGCTGATCGCATCGGAGCCGATCCTGAGCAGATCGTACTGGAGAAGCTCGAAATCACGCGCAAAAAGTATCCCATTGACAAAGCTCGAGGAAGCAGCAAAAAGTATGATGAAATTGGCACGGCTTGATTTCTCCCAAACAGCCGTTACAACGTGGAAGACCCATGATGAGAAACATGGTAATTGGCCTGTCGTGTATTTATTGGACGACGGCAATGGCACCGCACGCGCCAATTCGAACACGCTGAGGGACATCTACATTGGAGAGACGCTCAATGCCGCCAACCGAATGCATCAGCATCTCAAAACGCCCGCGAAACAGCACCTCAAGAACATTCGTATCGTCATCGGTGAAAGATTCAATAAGTCCGTTTGCCTTGATTTGGAGTCTTACCTTATCAAAATGTTGGCCGGCGACGGTAGTAACCGGGTGCTCAACAGAAATAATGGCATCACGGACACGCAATACTATCAACGCGAGATGTACCGCGAAGGTTTTCGCAACATCTTCGAACGACTCAAAGCGGAGGGCGTCTTCTCGCGAAGTATCCCCGAAATTGAAAACAGCGACCTTTTCAAGCTGTCGCCATCCAAAGCGCTGACGGAAGAGCAAGCCAACTCGGTAGAGGAAATCGTCAATGGGCTTCTTACTGATATCGAGAGAGGCAGCAAAAGCACAATCGTCATCCAGGGTGATCCAGGTACAGGCAAGACGGTCATGGCCATATATATGATCAAATTACTCATCGACATCAAGACATTTACTTCACTAGAAGATCTGGATAGCGACTTGCGGTTCTGTAATTTCTTTACCGTAAGGAACCAACGGCTACTTCACGATCTCCGCATCGGCCTAGTAGTGCCCCAGCAATCATTGCGAAAGTCCATCCAGATCGTCTTCAAGAAGACGCCTGGGCTTGAACCCTCAATGGTCATGGACCCCTTCAAAGTTGGAGAAGCAGAGGGAGTTTTCGACCTCCTGTTGGTTGATGAAACTCATCGGCTTAATCAACGTGCCAATCAAGCGGGGGCAATCCTTAACACCAAGTTCGGAACCATCACGAGCTCGCTCTTTGGCAGTGACGATAAAAGCAAGACCCAACTTGATTGGATACGGGCGAAGAGTCGACACCAAATATTCCTCTTAGACGCAGCGCAGAGCGTTCGACCAGCTGATCTGCCCACCGAGCTGTTATCAGGTCTAGTCGCCGACACTCGTGCATCGGGGCGGCATTTTCAACTTCGAACTCAGATGCGTGTCAAAGCGGGATCCGATTTCGTGTCTTACGTTCGTTGGATCCTCGATCCTCACCCTCTCTCATATCCAAGAGTGAAACAAGATTTTGGAGAATATGACTTTCGCTCATTCGACAACGTTGCACACATGCGAGACCAGATTTTCCAACATAACGCTGAAGTAGGCCTTTCACGGATGGTCGCTGGCTTTGCATGGCCGTGGAATAGTAAAAAGGATAAAAACAAGTTTGACATCGAAATTGACGAGACACAGCTCCGCTGGAACAGCGTCATCGCTGACTGGATTTCTTCTAGAAAAGCGCTCGAGGAAGTAGGATCAATCCACACTGTCCAAGGTTATGATCTGAATTACGTTGGTGTTATTATTGGTCTTTGATCTACGATTCGACCCTGAGCGGAGGCGTCTTTTCATTGATCGCAACTTGTACTTTGACAAGAAGGGCAAGGAGAACAACCCAGTTCTCGGCAGGAAGTATTCGGATGATGACTTGCTGCGATTTATTACACAGATCTATGCGGTACTCATGACGCGTGATATCCGCGGAACGTATGTCTATGCATGCGATCTCGGGTTGAGGGAATATCTCCAACCTTTCATCCCTACGCGGTCCTGATATCGTCACACACAAGCGATCAGCAGCGCAAGTAGGACTGAGGCTGCCTCAAGCCGTTCCTTGGGTTGGATGACTAGTCCTAGATGAAGTTAGGTGACGCGTTGTGCTTAGCTAAGCTGTAAAATGAATCCTCATACTCACTAGTGTAGCAAATTTGTACTTCGATAAGCACGCAATCAATTCTATTACGCCCTGATTAACACCTGTTGGAATTAGCTAAGCCGAAAAGGAATTCCGGCCCCTAGTGTAATCATTTATTACACTAGTCTGATTTGATCAGCGCTCAATATATAAGGATCCTAAAGAGTTAAATTTCTAGCATTTTGTGGCCGAAGGTTAGGGTATTCATTAACGTAAAGCATTTTGTCAGTAGGGTAAGAAAATCACAATTCTATATTTCCCCAACTCCTAGGCCTAGCCCTCACCGCACCTATATTATCTATATTTAAGATACCTACATTCTTCTAAATCAACACTCTCTACGTAAAGTCCCTAAGGTTTGGCGGTTGTATTAATGTGTCCTAATATCTAGATATTAAGCCCCTAGCCTTTACTTACTCTATTTGCGTCCGCTTTACGTCTGTCGACTATAGAGTAGTTTTATTAAGGGAGGTGTAAAAAATAGTATCCTTAAAGGCTATAGACGTAAAGTATTAATTCGATACGTTATATTTATACTTAGCGGTCTACGTATTATAAACATTATCGGCTATAATTAATTAGTTTAGTAAGATACTATAAAAAATATAATCTATATATTATATTAAGTACGACTATATATATAAATAGAGTATCTCCTATTATAATAATAGTAAGATTTTATATACTCTCTTAGTACTACTCTAGTAGGTAAGGTAGTTTAGTCGTATAGTAGTTATAGCTAAGTATATAGTTTCGCGAAGGTCTTTAAATCTATAGTTTTATAGTTAATAAGAAGAATAGTTACTTACTAAGAAGTAAGGTTAAAAATACCTCGCTACGTACTATTAGTAATATTAACGTTTTACGTCTCTAGTATATATTATAGCTGTTCTAAGTATTTAGAATAAAGAATTAAATCGAATATAGGCTCTTTATTATATAGTCTACGAGAAGGTTTAAGTTATAGAGAAAGATAATAGTCTCTATACTAATATAGTTTTAGGTAAAAGCCTCTAAGAGTAGAATATAACGTAAGTAGTTATTATATAAGTAGATAGAAATAGAAATTAGTATTATAGATAAAAACTTTATACTCGCTATAATATTTCTAAGCTACTTTAGTTAAATAATTGCCGTCTTTAGAGCTAAAAATTCGTGTTATCTAATATCTCTATTTGCTTATATATTTCAAAACTTATATTTACTGCTTTCCTATTGTGAATATCCAAGTCTGTGACAAAACCAGAATCTTCTAACCTCCAGTCGGTTGTAAGTGTTTGGGTACCCTCACTAACTAGCTCTGAACAGCTTCTCTCTACCTCGCAACAAATCTGGGAAGCGATATATTGTACTGGTGCTCTTGTGCCAAAGCATCGAACAGTTGCTGCAAAATAAAACCAATGACGAACTCTTCCAAAAGCATCGTATGACGTATCATATCTACTCAAGAGTTCTCGTGTTTTCATTTTCAAGCTCAATATATTACCCAATACCAAGGTCTATAAGTATGCAAAGAGATAGGACGTGATGTCCCGTGATCATAAGTCATTTCCCATAAACGAACATATTCATGTAAATATATTGTAAAATAGACCCGCTCCAGGTTTAGCATTTGAACATTGGACCTCTGCATTTGGATAAAGCCATTTGGGATCAGAGCCTCTGATCGGCTTGTCAGGAACACGCGTAGTCGAGCCATCTTTAATGATCGAGCTTCAGTCAAGAGGCGTATAATGATGCGAATGTTGTTTTCATTGTCGCGCCCGTCCAGCGGGTCAATAATCATAACATAAAACCGAAATAATTGAAGTTATCCAGATCTCTCAATCATTATACCAAACGTCTTGTACTGAAGGCGTCATCACACTTCAAAGTACTCCGGCGTCCGCCCCAGCACGTCCTCCGCCTTCTCTCTGTCCTCATTTCCTTGCAGTCTCGCAAAAGCCCACTCCAACGTCTCCTTTGGTGTGTAGTCCGGATGCCCTACATTGAACTTATAATTAGCCGCCTTCACGTCAGTCGCGTGCGCCTTTGCGCGCCGACAGTGTATCACAGCTCTTCCCTGTTTACACGATCTGCATTCACAGTTCATCCACGGGGTGTTAGCGTCTGTGCTGTTATCCGGACTCCCCGCTTTCAATCTCTGTTTCAAACTCCGCCACCGCCCCTTGAAGACTGCCTCTGACTGCATGAACGGAGCAGATGCTGTGAGCATCTGCATGAGCGGGAAGATATGGCCTCTTGTGTTTCCCGGTGTATTTTCCAGGCCTTGATCGAGTGACAAAAGACCTTCCTCCGTGCGGACGGCGTCATGTCGAGCGCGAGCCCACGATGATGGTTGGGGGTTCCAAAGGTTGGGAATTTCGGTCATGGGAATACCACTGGGAATTTCGCTGAAGAAATGCATGACGAAGGAGCGAAGATAGGCCTGTAAGAGAAAAGATCTGAGAAAGACACCGAGACGGTTCGAGATCCATGCTTTGCTGCCCTTTGTGCTGAGGAAGAAATCGTATCGATATTCGTCGGGATTGTCTGAACGAACAGTGTATAATTCGCGCGCACGGTGGGTATGCATAGTCAGGAGGGATAAATTGTCGTATGGACAGTCGAGGAGATGAGTCGCTAGGCTACACTCTCGGTTATTTACGTAGTTGAAGAGGCAGGTGGCTGATTGTGTCTTCAAAAGCAGCTCGTCGTGCAAGTAGGAATCGTCCCCTCCATTATGACTAAACAAGAAATCTGGCGATTGCCCTTTTTGGTCGGGTTTGGAACGAAGACTGGCGATGTGGTCGATGATGTCGGCTCCATCGGTGTGAGGAAACCAGTTGAATACTTTGACGGCGGTGGCCATGATGTTTGTCTTCCCGCCAAAAGGGACTGGATCGGCGACAGTACCGGCAAAGCTCATAAGGTATCGTAAACACCTGTTGCGGACCGTTTGGTCAATGAATGATGGCTGAGGTGGATACAGATGTTCAAATTGACTGTCGAAAGAATCCCCGTTGATGAGCAGAGACTTGCAGAACTGTTGACAGTTGTTGTTTATGCGAGAGTAACGCAATTTGACTCGTTTCAGTAGACGATCAGAAATGATCGTAAGATTCATCAGTACATCGTGCTGGTAAGCCGTTTTCAAGAGGTCGGTCATTCTTTTAGCACACGACTTCAGAGCCGTACTATTTTGCGTCTGTGAGTTGTCGGTGGAGTTCACCGAAGCCCACTGCTTGGCGATCTCAAGAAACTCGTCCAGCAATGTGCTATCAATCTCGTCGAACTCGGGAGTGTAGCCCGTGTACATGCTGCCCAGTACTTGTTTGCGGAATGACAGCCATGATCGCCGCCGACGAGAAAGATGCGCCTGATACACTGTCTTATTCGGGGCCACAGAGTAACAGGTTCCAAAGAGCTCTTCTTTCGGAAGTTCACCGTCTTTAATAGTGACTCCAAATTCGCTTTCTTCCGCGAGGAAGTCCTGGACTTCTTCCGGGTTCTTGTTTGACAGCGAGGGGAGATTTCGGAGTGAGATAAAGGCTCCCCCAGGCTTTCTGGAAGCAATTAGCACTAGCGGAACTGATCTCTACACTTTGTTCTTTAACTAAAAGGGGATGATTCAACCTGTGCATACCTTGTAACCCCATTCTCGATCAGAATTGGCCCGAACATCAGAACAGTATGTGTGTCACCCGCCGGAAACATGGTTCTGGTCGCTGGAAGGATGGAGCTCGACTTATGCAAGTTTTCAGCAAAGTGCTCCCAAGTAGCACTTCCCAAGGCAAGCAGAGACTTTCCAGTGATTATGTCTTCCCAGGCATCGAGCTCTTGTGAGAATTTGTCGCGGTTGGGGTCCTTGGCCAGCTGAAACTGACGAACATCCCGCAAGTGATCTCTCGAGTGTGTAGTGTACAGCTTTTCAAACATCCTGGGCATATTCTATAGTCCGCAGGTTTATTGAGGTGATCCATAAGAAACGTGTAGCTCATGTTGAGGCAGTCTTCATCGTCGTCGCCCGGTGACGGCTCCCTGTAGCGGTCCAATTTAAAACGATTTCGAAGGACTGAGTGATCTTTGCATCCTTTAACACACTTGTAGTAGACGAGTGAGCGGATACAGTGTCGACATTGGGAGCATTGAACTGCAACAAATAGTCGTATGTTGATAGCACCGGCGCTACGTTCTTCGACATGAGGTCGTTGACCCCACGAGCGTAGAGATGGGGGTTTGTACTCTGGGCAATAGTCGATATCTAGGAATCCGCATGCTTGTAAAAGACTACTTGCCCGTCGTTTGGGTAGAGGTTCATTTAGGTAGGACGCTACTCAGGTCAGTTGAGTTTGACATGCAACAACAGGTTACACCCACCCACCGCATGTTTGATGGTCCAAGCAGACACGTCTGGTGGTGTCTTATTGCCGAGTGGATCTACACCAGTCAGAACGGATCTTTCAAGATATCTTTCATTTTCTTACTCCAATTTTTGAGCCACTCATTAATTATCTTATCCTTTTCTGCATCTAACATCAGTCCTGTGCCCTCCTCTGTCTCTCGCTTTTCCTCTTCCGTCTCTTCCGGATGAACGCTCTGGATTTCGTCAAAGGCCAGAATGGCATTGGCAAGTTCTTGCTCTGCACCCTTCCAATACAAATCTTGGAGGCTCTCGGCAAGGGATATGATATCAGACTTCGAGCCATACCGGGCTCGGATTTCTTGTGTGATTGGCACCTCTGTCCATCCCCGGTATAATAAATCGTCATGCGACAATCCTTCAAAGACGTCGTCAATGTCTTTGATACTCATGCTGTCTTCTCTTCAATTTCAATCGTCTCTTTGATGTTTATAAGAGGTGTGGTGGAGGTCTTCTAGCGTTCCATCATCTGAACAAGGGAAAGTCTGCCGCAAAACCGGGTTGTTTTAAATCCGGTCTAAAATCATGGCGTTTGTGGTGGCCACTCACAAGCCTAGAGCTTTTTCAGTTATGATATTTTTTGCCGAATCAAACTTGACGCGAGCATGACTAACAAGCTGCACCCCAGCCCTGCCGCCATGATACAGGCTTGCGACGACAGGCGCTCTCGAAGTGGATTTCCCCTAAGTACGTGTTTGAACCTCTTTAGTACGAAATACTATGGCGGAGAAGGAACATCGGAAGAAGTTTTGGCTCTTTAGCCGATTCTCTCGCAACAAGACCTCCGTTGTAGCTGCAGCCACTTCAACAGGGGCAATGGGAGTCTCGGGAGCTGTATCCCATTCCCGAAACTCGGCGGCGATGTCGAGGAATATGGAACAAGCATCCATAAGACTCCAAGAATATCTCGAAACGCAAGAGGAGAATGGCAAGATAACGATGCGGTACTGCAAGCCTGTGCTAACCTCTGCAACAGATGACAGGCCACCAGACGTCATTTCCATGAGCCGTTGGCTTGCAAAATCCGAAAAATTCTTGAACTCATCCTATGGCGATGGTTCCTTGTTAAGCGAGGCAGCGATGTTGGTGTCTGTTCTTGGTGACTGACGGTAATATACTGACGACCACAGCCCCGCCGCGCATCGCGAACTCATTGAACTTACCGCAGTGAGCTCGAAACTTGTTTACGGCAACTCGGCTTCGTCGTTGATGTTGAAAAAGCCTGAACGGTTCCAGGCCGTTGGACCAGGCGAAAACCTTGCGGCTAATATATTTTTCGGCACAGTGAAGGCCATGCATGTCCGATTACTCGGCGCAAATCTCGATAACAGCGGCAGATTAACTCCAGTCGTTGTGGTTGCTATCCGCGGCACTGCTTCAGTTCGAGACTGGTTTGTGAACTTCAACCATAGCAGCAACAACTACACGCAAGCTGGTGATTTTCTGGTAATCATGTCTCAGGTTGTCTTTAGTGCTATGGCTGATAGGCTATTTAGGGTGAAACTCCAGAAAAGGGTCCCTACAAGGTCCATGCTGGCTATCTGGAGTCTGCCATACACGAGTCACATGACCTGCAGATGCCTAATTTTAGGCTACAGAAAATTATCTGTATATGTTGACCTAGACTGTGCGTTGTCAAAATTCCAATAGTCCCACTCTACGATATTCATCAATACCGCTGTATCTAACATGGCAGCGTCAGAAGTAGCAAAGCGTCAACAGTATGGTTTCACATACCACCCCTCCGCTTCGCTCTTTGCCACGTCCCTGCGAACTTACCTAGCCGAGCATTCCGACACGCAATATAGCTACATCGCGGTCGGCGCGCTTGTATTCGACAGGGCTAAATCTACGAAGTCTAAGCTCCTCCTCCTCCAGCGGGCAGCAGATGACAGCATGCCCAACCGATGGGAGATCCCAGGTGGATGTTGCGAAGAAACCGACGAGACTATCCTGCATGGGGTAGCGCGCGAGCTTTGGGAAGAGGCAGGACTGAATGCGACGTTCATCGGGCCGTCTCTCGGAAGTCCGTATCTGTTCAGCAGCAGATCTGGAAACAAGATTTGCAAATTCACTTTCGTGGTCGAGACAGAGCATGCTGCTGAGCGACGGCCAGAAGTGAGAACAGATCCGCTGGAGCATCAGCGATTTCTTTGGGCTAGTGAGGATGAGGTTAGGTCTAAAAGAGCTGGGTCTGTTGAGTTGGTGTTTACTACCCAGCGCCAGGAGGATACGATTCTGGCAGCTTTCGCGCAGCTAGCCAGAAATGGAGTTGACTTATGACGGCTGTGATCTCAGGAGTGGAAGTGACGATGTTATTCGCAAATAGAGCTTCATTTATAGACTAGAATTAAGCAAGAGGGTGGCATTAAGGTTTGCTTAGATCCGAGAGTATGAAATTTAGTGAGGACTACGGAGCAGGTGAGTGAAGCTAAGAAGATGAACGTGACCAAGTCCCACAAATATCCCACAGCCGTTCTGCTGGAAATCTTAATGTAGATTCGCCGGTGGAGAAGTAGATCAGGCTTCTTTTCCCTGCGAGTGGAATCCCGCCCTGCGTGGAAGTTTCGAAACAAAGAGTGGAAACAAAACAAAATATTAGCGCATATAAAAAGTGTCATCTTGGCGCTCTCCACACTCTACCATCTCGAACACCTCTCCATGCATCAAGTCGTACGCGTAGATTGCGTAACCGGCAACCGTGTCTTCGGTCGTACAGAAAAAGGACGCCTTGTACCAGGACCAGCGGTGATAGGGCCGAGGGACATCGCGTGTGTTCTGTTTGACGACAAGGTGCTATTTGCGCTCCGTCCAAGGATTGACGACATGTTCCTTCTCGTTGGAGAGTGCCGTATCACGGGTCCAGTTGTTATAACCACAATTTGCAGACTTCTCTGGGAGGTCAACCGAGACGAGGTTCGAACGTCCCCAGGCCTGTTTTAAGTACGCCGCCCCATGACCAAGCCCGCTCTTCTTAACTGGCGGTACTGTACTCTCAATTCTCTCGTGATACTGCAGTGATCCCACCATTGCTCAGCGTTCTTTAAGTAGGCGAACACTAGAAGATCGTTGTTTAGGTCATTTCGATAACTTACCGGATGTATATTTCCACAGAGACTCGCCCGCTTGGGCTTTCCGTGTAGGATAGTGATAGAACTCTTTGGGTCTCCATAGAATTCCCGGGCATACACTCTGACTCCATACTGGGAGGACATCTCCATCGATCTTGAGCTGAGAAATCCTGATTTCATGTGCACAGTGCGGGCTCACCGGTCCAAACATGATGCGAGATTCGGATATTCAACAGTCTAGGACACATGATTGCAAAGATATTCCGAGGGTTGCTTTATTCGCAGTGATTTTGTCCAATTTGCGTGGCAGTTGCGTATGTTGCATCGCGGTCAGGGAGTGATTAAACTCTACTCAAGATCTCCGAGCAACGCTCTCCGAGGAAGGTCATTGCAAAGTTCTTCAATGGTTCTGGTATAATCAGCAAGTATTCCAGCGAGCTATATGTTGCCCGCATGCACCGAACAGTGGCCCAAGAAAGCAAAGGCCCGGTCGTGAGAATCACTCAACTCGCAATGGCAGACGTTCATGGTGAAGCCCGCTCACACAAGTCCAACACATCGTACGTCGATGAGTTCGTCAACAGTCATTGGATAATAAGAGCACTTTTAGGACATAGTGGAAATGGTGATGTAAATTGTCAAAGAGGCACCAGTTGTCCGCAAAAAGGAAAGATGAACCGTTTCTTCAAAAAAAGATTCTCAACAGCAATATTGCACAGTCTTACAGCTTGAATAAAACCAAAGACTTCGATGAAATATGGGCCCTCGTGGAAGTATATGTCCTGTTAAATTTCCTAACGACATTCCCAAAATGCGGCAAATTTTCGATAAAATGTTTCTTAATCTTGCCCCAGCGGAGCGCGGTGAAAGACAACAAGCGGATGCACAATATGTTGCCAAAGAGATCGCGTCATACCTCTTGAAATACTGAAGAAGAAATCTTTACTCGAATTGAGCAGGGTCTTATTGGGCAGTGGGGTAACGAGTCTACGGACTCTGTGATACGAACTGGGAGCACAATCGCTACCCCGCTATTCATCTCCATGAGATAATGGATCACAACGCAACAAAGCGTACACTTTAAAAGAGTAGTGAAGTTAGATCCCTTTTAAAGTCAGGACTGGACCTTGGAACGCAGCAATTTCAAACGGTAGAAAGATGGCTACATATGACGGCGAATGGACAAAATGAGTAGAGGTGCGGATCACTACCTTGGTCATGCAGCCTTGGTCTGAAGTCGAAAGCATCTGATCTATAAAAACCTGTGAGACATTCCCCAGAACCCAGCGCTTGACAGGATAGTCGGTGCCATTATCAATAAGCTAACAATTATCATTGAGTCCTTTTCCAGCAGACCATGCTCGCAGCGCAAGCTCAAGAGAAGCAGATGTTTCATGAATCAAACATGCTAGAAGCAATTTTGAGAGAGATGCAAAAGAGAGCGGGACTAGCGTAGAATAAAGAACCCTAGGTGCACCGCAACTAATCAATAGCATGATTCTCTATCCTCGGTCTTAGGTCACTACACGAGAATAATCGAGAGGCTATCTGAAGAAACAAAATATGTTCCTGAGATCAAAAGAAGCAGATCTCCGAGCTCGCACCTTAATTGCGCTAGGTAAAGAGTCTTCCGCATGGAGTGAGCTTCCGTTCAAATTATGCAACGGGCGGTAGAATAATGAGAACGAAATGTACAAAATTCAGGCGATTGTTAATGCTTTCAGCACCAGTGCTGCACTACATCTAAGCCTTTTGAAAGAAAGCTCTTTACCATTGATTCAGGTATCATCATACATCTAGACAAAAGTACCTCTATCCTTCTTGTCCTTTCACCTTAATGAGACTAATCTGCGTTGGACAAGAAAAAGACTTGGCGGAATTTATGATAAACTATTCCAATGTAATTAAGAAGTTATATTACTTTTACTATGATTTTATTCTAAAACTACAGGATCCGTCTAAAGAGTACGAATCTAAGTAGGGTATCGAATATCTCTCTATGGGACCAATATTTGCCTTACTTATATGCCCTCCAATAGGCGCGCAAGATAATTATGGCCCCGACGCGCGCAAATCAGATAAATTTCCGAGGACATTCATCCGAGGACTACACCGTACGAAATATTAGTAGAGTACGATCCTCGTTTATGTACCTCGCTTGTATCCGCACCAATCAATAGGCACTAAAGTCTTGGTATATTTGAAGTCATATGTCGGCGGGCGAATCAAGGGTGCCCCGTGAGCTTATTACTTCGTCAACCCCATAGAAGATTCCACGCTTAAGCTCACGATACGCCGGAGACGTTACCTCCTGAAAACATGTATTGTCCCTCAAAATTCCCTTCCAAATCAGCCGACCCCGAATCCTCGCCTGGCTCCTGGCATTGGAACCACGACTAACTCTAAATGCAAACCAACTCGTAATTGTTCCGTACCGTGCAGAATGTGGGGGAATGGGGACCCAAGAATCTTTCCGGCATTTTACTTGTATACTCAATTTTCGTCTACTTCCTGTCCAGTCAAACCCTATTTTTCAAACTCTTAAACACCTCGCTGGCTCAGCCATGGTCTGTTAAGTTCACCTGGGACCGGCAAATTGTGCAATTTGCGCGAGGTCCGTTTAGGCGGGCTTTTCATGTCCAGAACTTTTCCCGTTTGGGTCAACATGATGTTGATTAATCTGTGTGTAAGCTGTTCAACCTAATATTCAGCAATAATTGGAGGAACAAATGTTTCTCGTAGCCGATCAGATATTGCATTTTTGCAAGGTTGGATCAACATAACTCGATCAACGGTAGGTATAATATTCCACACATTCGTGCGTTACTCTCCCTGTAAAGTAGATGTGCTTCATCTGGTTTACTTTGGACGCCGCGTCTCACTCACGATTCATCTTCATTTAAGTCCATCGGAAGCCAAGCAATATATCATCATGTTTTCCGTAAGCAATTTAGTGGCCGCCGTTGTGGGCCTGCTTGTTGCCAGCGTGCCTATTAACGCACAAGTTTCTCCCGTCGTGACGGAGCAAGGCAATGTTGCCAATACGTTCTCCCTCAGTGATGTTGCTCTTACGTCTAGCAGATGGCAAGAGAATGAAGGAAGAACTCGTACCTATCTCAAGTTCGTTGATGTGAACCGAATGTTATACGTCTTCCGAGCAAACCATAAGCTTTCGACAAATGGTGCAGCTCAAAACGGAGGATGGGATGCTCCAAATTTCCCATTTCGCTCTCATATGCAAGGTCATCTTCTTAGGTATGTATCAATTCTTCCTTTTCTTAAAAATATTTAATAGTCAATGCTCTCAAGATATGCTTGAAAGCTGTTCCAACGAATTTTGTACCAGTTGCCTCTAAAAATTCAAAGAAAATAGCGCTAATGCAGTTCAAGTGGATGGGCACAATGCTGGGCTACGAACAAAGATACAACTTGTCGAGACCGTGCGGTAGCGTTCGTTGTTGAATTGCGAAAATGCCAACATAACAATGGCGCCGCAGGCTTCACTGCTGGATATTTGTCAGGATTTCCAGAATCCGATTTCGTTAATCTAGAGGCAGGTACGCTTACAAATTCGAATGTTCCGTACTACGCGGTCCACAAGACTCTCCAAGGAGTTCTCGATGTGTGGAGGTACACTGGAGACAGTACCGCTAAAACAGTTGCACTTGCACTTGCAGACTGGGTCGACTCTCGGACATCCAAGTTGTCCTACGACAGAATGCAATCGGTGCTAAATACTGAGTATGGAGGAATGAACGAGGTTCTAGCTCAGATTTATCTCATGAGTGGTAGTACCAAGTACCTCAACACAGCGAAGCGATTCGACCATGCTGCCAAATTCACTCCTCTTCTGAATAATCAGGATACGCTCAACGGAAATCATGCCAATACTAACATTCCAAAATGGATTGGAGCGGCTAAAGAATACAAAGCCACTGGGACAACTTCCTATCTCACAATCGCGAAAAATGCTTGGACCATAACTGTTAATGCTCATAGCTATGCTATTGGAGCCAATAGTCAAGCTGAGCATTTTAAGGCACCAAATGCGATTGCCGGGTATCTTAAAGAAGACACAGCCGAAGCCTGCAATACCTACAATATGCTAAAGTTGACACGAGAGCTGTGGCAAACTGATCCTACCAATACGGCTTATTTTGATTTCTATGAACGGGCACTCATCAATCACTTGCTTGGAGCACAGGACCCAAGCAGTAGCCATGGACACATCACTTATTTTACTTCGCTTAATCCAGGAGGACATCGGGGCGTAGGTCCGGCCTGGGGTGGTGGTACATGGTCCACCGACTACAACTCTTTCTGGTGTTGCCAGGGCACAAATATTGAGACTCATACGAAGTATGCAGACTCTGTTTATGGCTTCGATGCGTCGACTCTTTATATCAACCTCTTCACCCCTGCTGTACTGAATTGGTCAGCTCGAGGTATCACTGTTACTCAGTCTACTACATTCCCAGCTTCGGACACCTCCACCATAACCATAACAGGTGGAGGTAATTTTGCAGTCTCCATTCGTATTCCAGGGTGGACATCAGGCGCTTCCATACTAGTCAATGGCGCACCTGCGGGTGTCTCCGCTAATGCTGGATCGTATGCCAAGATATCTCGCACATGGAGTTCAGGGGATAAAATCGAAGTCAAATTACCTATGTGGTTTCGCAAAATCGCCGCAAACGACAATGCAAGTTTAGCAGCCATCGCATTTGGCCCTACCGTCCTCTGCGGAAACTATGGCTCATCAACACTTTCAGCTAACCCTTCGCTTTCGCTAAATACCCTAAAGCGCTCCTCATCGACATCATTAGCATTTACGGGAACGGCAAATGGCGCAAACGTAAACTTGGTTCCGTTTTTCAATGGCCAGGGTTTCAACTATGCTGTCTATTGGGCCGTAAGTGGATCTTTTCCTACTGCGCCTTCGGTCTGAACTACAACAAGCTGAGGATGCATAACCATGACGTTCACTTCTCAAAATCTTTAGTCTCCAAGTCCAACAAAAATCACTGGATCAAAACTTTGTGCAATTCCTTGGGCAAATGTGCTAGGCAGGACTGGACAAGTACGAAGTGTTAAAATTCTTTAATTTCCCTGTATAACTTGCTACTAAAGCCCCAGCGGCTCCGTACAATTCTTGTTTCAAATCCAAGTGGTACATATGTCTGAATTACAATATTACCATTTCGCAAGGCTATTGAAACAGAACCCTAAAATTAACAGCTTGTCACTACCAGGGCCAGAAGCCGTTTCCTGATATAGGCAAGGTAATGCAAAATCTCCTATTTGTGATCATGAGCATGAATAAGGGAAGCATAGGGTTGCTTTCGTCTTTGCAGCCCATAACCATCATACTTTGCAATGTAGTAAACGTCATCCCATCACAGAGGCCAGGAATGTCTAACAAGGCGCCGAAGTCGGCCGTTATTTCCCCATCCACCTGAAACTCCTGGAGGCTCTTTAACCTGCAACCTCTTAGGAGAGCCTTCCGATGGTTCTCAAACTTGAGGTCACGTTGGAAGAGATAGTATCGTATCTTGCAATATGTCTCGCTATCACTGGGTTTCTCCTCGTTCAAAACTGCTCGTGGAGGCATTGCTTTAGGTTATCGTCAAGATCTAATCTGATTACTCACAAGTCACATCAGGAGAGCGTGTAGTACACAACAGAAGTGTAAAGATCAACAGGCCACAGCTTATCATGGGGTAAGAAGAACTCTCGCGCCGCTGCGATCCTGTGTTGTCCGTTGAGACAACAAAGCTTGAAGCCTTTCGGGAAAATCAGCTTTGGGCATCCACTCGGTTGATTATTTAAGAACTCGTGGGGTGATACGACCGAGTGCCGCATTGGTAGATCAATACTTGGCTGATCAATGAGCACCCTGAGCCTTGAAGCAGTCTAATGTCTAATGATTTCTCTTAAATGCTATGGTCTTCCGCAGCTTATCTTGGAGCAGACTATTTCTTTTGAAAGAACTCTTGTGAAAGATACCAGCTTCTACAGGCCACTGTCGTCCTGACGAATTCTTTCAAGCTCTCCCTTCGCTCCGCATATATATTCTCAAACTATGCAACTTTTTAAACACAAGCTTCTTCCAAAAGGAATCTTCCAGCATATCAGCGCTTCTAACGTCCTCAGCTCGCAGGTCCGATTTACATGGTCTGTTTTTTGGCAAAGCATGTTTTTATTTGCAGAACCTAGTCTTGGATTTTTAGTTGAAATCACGTGAAAACAGTTGGTCGGTGGCTTTTCTAACGCTGGCTGGGTATAACTTGCACGGAGCAACTACAACAATCAAGTAGATATAATAATTTAGTTCTTTACTTAATAGTAGACTAGAGTATTATAAGGTTAGTATATAGTAAGTAGTAGTATAAAGTATTACTTATAGATTTAGAGATCTATTTATTATAATAAGAGTAAGTTAAATAGATAATATACTATTACTATAGTAAGTTAAGTATAGAGCTTCTATCTAAGAAAATTATAATTATTATATAGAACTTCTCTTTTCTTAAGTTTTAATAAGTGTCACGTGCGCGGTATCTAGGAGCCTCACGACTCCAGAGTCGAGGGAACCCTAGAGTGTTGTGTCGGGGACGTGATCGGATCTGGGACGAAGCCTTTAGGACCCGGCCTAATCCAGGACAAGTGTCCTAGGTCCGTAGAGTTCCTAGGAGCGTCCTCCCAGATACTACCAGGTTCTGGGAACTATAAGTCACTTATTTATTACGCGGGTTATAGGGGTAAACCGTGAGGTAGTTAGTTGACCCCCGATTTCTTAGTTAGGAAGAAAGTCACGTGTTGTGGTCGACTAGGTCGACTGGCGACTCGAGCGATTGTCGACTTAGTCGACTAGCGACCGAGTCGACCGGCCTACTACGAAGGTTCTATATAATAATTGTAATTCCCTTAGATAGGAGCATCGTACTTAACTTACTATAGTAATAGTATATTATCTATTTAACTTACTCTTGTTATAACGAATATACCTTTGAGTATATAACCCGATAATCTTGTACGTACTTACTTATATACTAACCCGACGAAACCTCTATCTATAGTGTATAGGATATTCGAATCGTTATAATAAGTTTACTAGTTAAACTTATCGAACTCTAGTCTAGTTTAATAAGTTCGCTAGATAAACTTATTAAAATTTTATTATTACGTAATAGTACTCTAAAACTAGAGTCTATTTACTATTCTAAATATAGCTAATATTAACTAAATAAAACTACTAGATAGTAGTTCTAGAAATTACTTAATTTCTATAATCTTATCTAATTCTAGAACGTTTAGTTCTAGAAGTATTATAATACCGAGAATAACGCTACTTATAATACTATATAGAACGTTAGTATAAGCTTTTTCTTTAATTATATATTATTAGCTATATGTTACGAGTAGCGTCGGCCTCGGCGTCGGGATACTCCTAGGACTAAAGGTCCTAGGATTAGGCGAGGTTACGGGAATTAAGTAGTTCCTAGGACCGCCGTCTAATAGCTTAATTTAGTTAATATTAGTAATATTTATATTAGTAGATAGGCCCCGGTTTTGGGTAGTATTACGTGATAAGTAAGAGTTCGACAAGTTCGCTAGGTTCGCTATCGAACTCGTCGAACCCGTCGAACTCGTCGGAACTTAGGTAGGGTATAAAGTCCTATATAATAATTATAATTTCCTTAGATAGGAGCTTTATACTTAACTACTTATAGTAATAGTATATTATCTATTTAACTTACTCTTATTATAATAAATAGATCTCTAAATCTATAAGTAATAATCTTACGCCTACTTCTTAATATACTAACCTTACGATAACCCCTATCTACCCCGGGTAGAACCGAATCGTTACACTTTAAGCACCTATTCTTAGTAAGTACTAGATTATTAATAATAGCTCTAAACGTTACTAGTCTAGCCGGAAGCGTCGTAGGAACCCCGGTACTACTACCTCTACTAGTCTCTACCGTGATCGAGGCAAAAGAAGGCCTACAAATCTCTCCGCTAGATAAGTATAATAGAACCCTAGCTAACCTAGAGTAGTTTATTATAAAAGCTTAGCTCTATATAGGTTTTTACGGAGACAAGTTTAGGAACGATATAGACAAGGTTTTATTTCTAATCTCGCGCTTCGAGGGAAGGGCCTACAACTAGATCGAGCCTTATATTAGCGATTACTAGGAGAATAAGACCTAAACGGGATTAGTGTCTATAGTTTACTCCTAGTTCGTTAAAGATTATTTTAAATTAATAAAAGACTTTATAGCCGGTATAAGGAAGGCTTTTAGGGATATCGATATTAAGAAAAAATCGGAGCTAGCCTTACTTAAGCTTACCTAGACTAGGTTAGCTATCTGTTACAATGTCGACTTCTAGTAAACCTTAGCTAGGTTAGGACTAGGCGATAAAGCCCTAAGAATACTATTCTACCGAGGATTAAAGGAATTCGTAAAGGACGAATTATTACGTATAGATCCTTTTGAGGACCTTTACTCGCTAAGTGAAGCCGCTATTAAAATCGATAACCGAGCCTACGAGCGTCGTATTAAAAAGAAAGGAGTTTATTCTTACTATATACGACTAGTAAAGAACCGCTACTATAACCTAATAGAGCTCGATGCGATTAGCCGAAAGGAACCTAACGCCTCGAAGAAGAATAGGAAGAAGCTTTCTAATAAGAAAAGGATACGTCGAAGGGAGAAGAGACTCTACTTCGAGTATAGAAAAGAAGGTTATATAGCTAGTTTCTATTATAAGGGAAAGCTATAGAAAGGCTAGAAGAAATAGTTTAGTAACGCTAGATAGCTAGTGGTAATAGATAGAGCCACCCTACTAGAAGGTAATTAGGGTAAGCGAGAGGCTACGGAACTTAGTTTAGTAGTCTAGACGAGGTCCGAAGCACCTCTAGTAACTAAGGAATACTAGATCGGAGACTCCTCGTACTAGATAGACTCGGAGTCCGATAGCTACTCGGTATACTAGCCTAAGGAAGTAATTCTAAAAGTTAGGGAGTACTAGTACTTCTAAGAGACAATAAAAGATAGAAATATCTAGAAGACTAAGGAAGGCCAAAAGTTTACTACCGACTAATAGATATAGAGAGAGAAACCCGTAATCGATATACGCTATAAAGTGTCTTTCGTAGATACTAAAAGGGTAGTATTCTAATAAGAACGTACCTAGAAAACGACTATCGAACTACTTAGACTAATTAGGTAGTTACCCTACTTAAATAATATTCTTAAGCCGGGAGATATCTAGGAAATTATTAGAAAATCTCTAGGAAAACGTATCTAGGAATAGGTCTCCTTCGTTAAAGAATAAACCGACGAGTTTACCTAATAGGAGGCCCCGATTCTAGACACGTATACCCTACGCCTTAGTATACCCTATCGTTTATAAGAATAGGTAACGTAATACCGCGTATAGACTAACCTACTCCGAGATATAGAGGTTACGGAGATATTATTAGACTCTTATAAGCTCTATACTACTAGAGAATAGAGACAAATTACGGTCGAAATAAAGATTAGAGGAAAACTAATTAGAGTTATAATTAACTTAGGGGCTAATAGGAACTATATCTTACTCTATATAGTAAAGAAGTTAAATATCCCTATAACTAATATTTAACTATACCCTCTAAAACTCGTAGATAGGTTAGACTATATTAATAGATAGGTTAATAAAGTAACTATCTCGTTAAAGTTATCCTTACTAGATAGACACAAAGCTAATATCTAGTTTAATATTACTAAAATCGGAAACTATAAGGCTATATTAGGAATAGCCTAGATCCGAGAGTATAACCCCGAGATAGACTAGTATACTAACACTATAACCTATAGGAGATACGCCTACGAGGGTACGTAGATTTAACTATAAGGCCGGAGAGAGGTTTACGCTACCTCCTCTAAAGCGCCCGGACACCTCGAAGGAATAGAGGGTCCTCTATAGGATACTAGTAAGAGTATAGAAAAACAAATACCTATATAGTATAGAAGATTTAAGAAGTTATTCGAAAACCCGGAAGACTTTCGAGCCTTACCCGAATACTAACTATAGGATTATAAGATTAATCTAAAAGAAGGAAGGTAACTACCTTCCGAGAAATTAAGACGACACCGGTTCGACGTCTCTAAGACGTTAGAGGAATACGTCGACACGGTACTTAAGAAAGAATAGATTAGGCTATCTAAATCGCTAGCTGCCTCGAATATACTAGTAGTAGCGAAGACGGGTAATAATAAAGGAAGACCTTATAAAGACTTCCGAAGGCTAAACGATATTACTATTAGGGACTAATACCCTTTACTAAATACGTAGTATCTACGGGATAGACTAGCTAAAGTAAAAATATTTACAAAACTTAACTAGAGAAATACCTTTAACCTTATTAGGATTAAGAAAGAATATAAATAGATAACTGTATTTATCGTACCCTCTAGCTAATATAAATATACTATTATACCGTTCGAGTTAACTAACGCCCCTACGATATACTAGAGATAGAACGATAATATCCTACGAGAATACCTCGATAAGTTCGTTATTTATTACCTCGATAATATCCTCGTCTATTTAGAAAACGAGGATAAGTATAAGAAGTATATCCGCTTAGTCCTAGAAGCCTTAGCTAAGGTAGACTCGAGACTAAAGTAGGAAAAATGTAAGTTCGGCGTCCGGAAAACTAAGTTCCTAGAGTTTGTTATCGAACTAGGGAAAATAAATATTAACCCGAAGAAGATCTAACGAATAAAGGACTAGCTAGAACTAGAAAATGTTAAAGATGTCTAGTTATTCCTTAGTTTTAGAAACTTCTACCGACAATTTATAGAAGGATATTTAAGGATTATAGGACCGCTTACTAATCTTACCCAGAAGGACGTACCCTTCCTTATAGGAGAAAAGGAGAAAGCGGCTATATAGAAATTAAAAGATCGGTTTACTAGGGAACTAGTTATTAGGAGTTTTAGTATTAATAAACTAAGTATAGTTAAGACCGATGCCTTAGATACTACCGTAGGCGCTATTTACCTATAACTAGACGAGAATAGAAAGATATACCTTATTATATATTACTCCGAGAAATACTCGCCGGCTAAATAGAACTATAATATCTATAAGAAGAAACTTATAGCTATCGTTAAAGTACTAAGATATTAGAAGATTTATCTTTAAGGAGCTAAGTTTCTAGTTATAATTCTTATAGATTATAAGAACCTATAAACGTTCTTAATAATAAAGAAATTAGATAATCGACAAATAACACAATAGGCTAAAGAACTCGCCTATTTCGATATTATAATTAAATATATAAAGGGAATAGACAATCTCCGAGCTAACGCTTTAAGCCGTTAACTAGAATATAAAGGAGATAAGATCTATAAAAAACAAGCTATCCTTAAGGAAGATAAAGATAGAAATCTTATCTCTAACTCTAAAGTAATTACTACTCTTACTAAAGTCCGAGGTATATAGTATAATAATATTATAGACGCCTAGAATAAGGAACTAGTAGCCCCTAAGAAGAGCTCGCTATATAAAGACAGAAAACTTAAAGTACTAAGCTTGTATACTTTAGAGTTTATCTAGATATTCTATAAGGCCCTAGAATATAGTTATTAAGGAATTAGGAGAACCTTCTAGAGAATCTAGTAGTAATATTACATCGATAAGCTACGAACTTTAGTCAAGAAAGTAGTAACCGAATATAACGTCTATATTCGAAATAAATCTACGTACTATATACCTTACGGACTTATAGGACAAATACCTATTCCGAAGAAACTATAGAAAATAATATCGTAGGACTTTATCGTTAAACTCTTACTATTAAGAGATTTAATGTTAGGAGTCAAATACGACGTAATCCTAGTTATAATAGAAAGACTTACTAAGTATATAATCTTAATACTATATAAGGAGTTAAGTACTACTAAGGAGCTAGTATATACTTTTATCTAGTATATAGTTACGGACTATAGTACCTTAGAAGAAATACTCTTAGACCGAGATAAGCTATTTATATCTAAATTCTAGACGGCTATAACTGCCTATATAGAAATAAAGCGAAAGCTATTAATATCGTTCTACCTATAAACAAATAGAGGTAATAAAAGAATAAACTAAGTAGTCGAAGTATACTTAAGGTGTTACGTAAACTATAAGTAAGATAATTAGGTCGCCTTATTACTAATAGCCTAGTTCTCGTATAATAGTATAGCTATAGAGATAATATAAGTATTACCGTTTAAAGCTAACTTTAGTTACGAGAAAATAGCGTTCTAGGAACCTTATAACGCGTCTATCGACAATTAGGTAGAAAGGATCCTCGTTAATAACCTTTCCTCCCTTTATAAATAACTCGTCGAAGAACTTAAGTTTATCTTAGAAAGGAACACGTCCTACTATAACAAAAAACGTAGTTAGGAGCCTACGCTAAGAGAGGGGGATAGAGTTTATTTAGTTAGACAAAATATCTAAATAAAACGACTAAGTAATAAACTAGATAACAAGAAACTAGGACTATTTAAAATTAAGGTATATAAAGGACCTTTAAATTACGAACTAGCTCTACTTAAAAGTATAAATATCTTTCTAGTATTCTATATATCTCTCCTCGAACTAGTACCGCCTAGAGCGCTACTAGCTCTAGTTATAGAAATAGAACCGGTTAACCCTAACGCCGAGTATAAAGTCGAAAAAATCTTAGACTATAAACTTATTAGAGGAAAACCTTGTTATCTAATAAAATAGAAGGACTACCTATAATTAGAAAATACGTAAGAACTAGTAAATAACCTTAACTACCCTAAGCGGCTTAAGAAGTTCTACCGCTAGTATCTAAGGCCTCCTAGAAAGACCCGGGATCGAAATTCGGATTAAGTAGCGACGGGTCGTAAGCGGAGAAGTTGCCGGGCGGAGTAGGGTGGGCTAGTAGTCGTTCTACTTCTACTTCCCTCTCCTTCTTCTCTCTCTTCTTCTCTTCCTCCTACCGCTCTTTCCTCTCTAACTCGTCTAACTCGTCTAGCGAGTTAAGACCCGCCGAAATTATCTTTTACTTATACTTGCGAAGAAAGCGTTTCTACTTCTTAATACGTAGGGCGCGGGAGGTAGCCTCTTGTTAGGCCGCCTACGCCTTCTACTAAAGATCCTACACCTCTTCTTCCTCGGCCTCTAGCTTAGCCTTCTAAGCCTCGATACTCTCCTAGTCGAATTCTATAGGTATCCGGTTTACCTCCTTTATATTACAAGTCTTACTAGTAGTAGTATAGGTACTATAACGACTATAGTTTAAGTTTCGAGAAACTATATATATTTTTCCCGCCTTTTTATAACGAGAATAAGGCGCTATCTTTCTTTTAGTTAAATTAATTTGTTTTCCGAGGGCTACGATATTAGAACGTTTAGTCGTACGGTCGGGTAGTATATTAGAGAGAAGAGAAGTCTATAGCCTTTAACCGACGTATTTCTTAGTCGTACTTAAGTGTACGGACCCGCTAGTCCGAATAGGGGATAGTATTACGAGTAGCGTCGGCCTCGGCGTTAGGATACTCCTAGGACTAAAGGTCCTAGGATTAGGCGAGGTCACGGGAATTAAGTAGTTTCTAGGACCGCCGTCTAATAGCTTAATTTAGTTAATATTAGTAATATTTATATTAGTAGATAGGCCCCGGTTTTGGGCAGTATTACGTGATAAGTAAGAGTTCGATAAGTTCGCTAGGTTCGCTGTCGAACTCGTCGAACCCGTCGAACTCGTCGGAACTTAAGTAGGGTATAAAGTCCTATATAATAATTATAATTTCCTTAGATAGGAGCTTCGTACTTAACTACTTATAGTAATAGTATATTATCTATTTAACTTACTCTTATTATAACGAATAGATCTCTAAATCTATAAGTAATAATCTTACGCCTACTTCTTAATATACTAACCTTACAATAACCTCTATCTACCCCGGGTAGAACCGAATCGTTATACTATAACCTATAGACTTCTAATAAAGGTTAAGTAAATATAGCTAGATCTATTAACTAGTTATAAAACCTATATTTATATTATCTTATAGTAATTATTATATATAATATAGAGAAAAGGTAGATAATTAGATTATACTATTTCTAGATAAAGGTAGTAGAATATATATAGAAAGAATTTTACTTTAACGTCGACCTATAAGAGCTAGTACGCTAGGACTTTTAATAACTCTATATACTAATATACCTTTATAGTTCTATAGCTTAAAGGTAGAGTATCTCTATACTTTAAGTAGCCCTCGAAATTTCTTGCCCTTTACTATTAGTAATATCTCCGCTATAGTATAAGAGCTTAATACGCTAATTATAGGTAAGTATAGGGTTCTAAGCTAAGATACCTAATTTTCGAAAACTATTAAGTATCTTAGTATTTAGTAGTTATACCCGAACTTACTAGGTATAGAGAAGAGACTAAAAAAGTTAGTACCCTTACGAATCAGCCCGTAATATTAGCCTACTCCAGAGCTCGTAATATAGATTGAAGTCTCCTATAATAATCTGTCCCTCTCCTTAGTACGCTAAGAGTGCGGTTCTGAGATGCGGCAAACAGCTTACCCGTCGGTCCGATGACCTCGGGGGATTATACACATTATATATTACTATCTTGGATATCGTCTCTGCGTTTGAGGTTCGTGTGGTGATTTCGACTGTGCTCAAGTCTCGAGTATGTTCGGTAAATTTCCATCTATTCGGATCGATCTTTTTATTGACGAAGCAGCAGACTCTCGCTGGTGCTTCTCTGCTATCTTTTGGGTAGCATAGGTAAAATGAGTATGAGATTGGGTTATGAGTAGTTGAAATGAATGGGTTTCTCCATGGCTCCTGAAGAATCAAGATGTCGTACTCTAGGATCCTGGGGTCACGGAGTAGCGTTGCCATGACTTCATCCCTCGATCTCAATAAATTGTACTGCAGGATCTTTAGTCCGTCTTGGTTGCAACTCATGATTCTTCTATATTCCATTGGGAGCTATGTAGTGAGTTCGCTGTATTTGACTCTAGCGCTCGTCTTGAGGGCATATGTGGTCTTCGTGGTCGCTGGCTGCTCTCCACCATAATCGTATCCTCACCCTCGTCTTGCGTACTATCTACCCTGACTCCCGTGTAGACTCTTTTAGGCGCCCTGCCTTTGACAGGAGACCTGCTCCTGGAGCTCTGCCTGCTTGGTAGTAGTGAAGGCGTCGACGATAGTAGTCCCGTAGAGGTAGTGTTCAGCCTGCCTCTTTGGCTTCCGTTCATCATAACCGCCGATTCCGCTGGTGTTACACTAAAGGTGACGCGTTCACTCGATGGCTTCTCTTTCGCTGATGGAACAAAGTGATACGGTTGTCGAGCATTATATACAGCCTTAACCTTGTTCAACTCAGTCTTCCGGACGGGGCACCGATTATTCCAAGCTTCGTGTGCTCCTTTACAGACCGCGCACTTTCTCGTGGCGGACTTGTCAATCTTGGTAGGGCAATCTTTCGAGTTGTGTGCTTCTGCACAGTAGCCATATGCTATGTTCGCTTTGCACTGGGTTCCTATGTGGCCGTATTTCTGGCACTTGTAGCATTGCTTCAGTCGGCACTGTTTGTCGTACTTTTCGCACTAGAACGCCTCGCCTTGCCAGATGAGACCTTCGTCGATGATCTTGTTTACGTCTTCTGGGTTGGCAAATTCGACAATAATAGTGGATGCTGACTTCGTAAGTGAAAACCGTAACAGCCATCCAATGTTACGTAATGTCCGCATTTGGGATAAATGATCTGTTGTCATGCAATAATTCCGCTTTGATCTCGTCGAACTTCTGCATAGCCATTGAACTCGTCCTAATCCCGTGTACGAGTATGCCATATGTAGGGAGCCGTATCGACGTGCCTCTTCCGATCAGGTTCACCCAGTCATTCGCGAATTGTCTCAGAGCCTCCGCCTCGTTCTGCTCGATGTCTTGATGCTGAGGTCTCCGCTCTTCAGTTGGTTCGCTGATGCTACTCGGATTTGTTCGATGTGTTTGTTCCTGCTCTGTTCAATCGCACGGTCAACGTAATTCTATAAGTTTCTGGGGCTCTTTGCCCGAAGGCTGTCAATAGTTGCTGGGTCTGTGATCTTCACGATGATCTCACGTTGTGCTTGAATGAATGACGAGGTCTAGTAGATATTGTGATTGGTTTGCTAAGGGGCGCGGCATTGCTAGTCAACACCGACGCGTATGAGGCCTTGGAGGGCGGCGTGAGTTGCATGGCTTTCGCGGTATCGTACGTTGCTTTAGTGATGTCGTTCGTCTCTTGGATGAGGACCTTCGTTGCTCTTCTCTCCTCAGCAGCGTTTCGGACGGATTGGTTGGTCTCTTGGCTCAATGTGGCAATCTGTTGATGCGTAATTATGTTCTCCTAGACTCTCACTGCTATGGCCTGTACCGTTTCTGCGGTTGTTTCTGAGGTCATTCTGGACGGTTGCGAGGGCTTACATGACCGAGGTTATATCAGGGGTATTCTGGAGCTTGGTGATAAGGACGCTCACGGCTGCGATCATAGTCTTCACCAATTGCTTCGGTACCGGCTGGTCCCTCGCACATTCGATACAGACTAGTGTTTTCTTAAAGTAATCGCTAAGATATGTAGCGTACTCGCGGAGGTCGTTGGGCTATGCTGCCACTTGAGGCCACGTTATCGCCATAATACCTATGTCACACTGGGCAATGCGCACAAGCTCGGGGTTTCTCAACTAGCCGGAAGGAGGGCTGCTAGATGTGGTTTTTGTTGCTCAATTCCAAAAATTACGTTCTCGCTGTTTGTGATGTTTTTTTCCGGAAAACACACCACCACCACCATTTGCGGTTTAGCCTCCGTCACGTGGTCATATCATATGACCATACGAAGTCTAATTCTGGTTACAGAAAACTTCCGGAATGACTCTTGGACCATACACTCACGATTAATAGGATGGGATGGTATACAGAATACGCAAATGCTGGTGCATTTCTCTGTTGCCTTAATTATGGTAACTGTGGTACTCGTGGTTGGGATAAATAAACCCTTACCCTGATGTGTGGTTCTAGCAGGTTCTCCCCCACAAAATACTCAACTATCGCTATCTTATTCGTCTATTTTCCTTGTTTAGGTGCTGTCGATCAAGACAGGGTAGGGGTTTAATTATCCCTACCACGAGTAGCCTCAAGAGCCATATTTGTGATCAAGTGATGCTATTTGTAAGCAGCATTAAGGGGGCCGTCTCAATCTTGGGTATCTATTTGAAATAGTCTGTCCCAAATAGTAAACCCTTGTTCAAATGATCTTTGCTGCTCTATCTCTGAGATTTTACTTCGAAGTAGCACCGAATTTTTCTTCTTTGACGTTGTGTCGTGAGTTCAGGCCCTGGGTGGGGCAAAGCCACGTGATAAACAGCTGCATACTATCACCAAAACGATTTAGGCCTTGAAGTACCAGGCTTCCCCGCACAAACTGCTTTCACTTCATCTCAACTCTACCTACGTCGCCCGACGCTTGCATCAAAGACAGTAACAGGATCTGAATTAACCGTTTGAATTTTCAAATTCGTATTTTTAGGCCCCACTCACGGATTGGGTCGCTCTTCAAATCTTCGTTATCCTCCACGTGTAGCATGTCTGTGGAAGCAAAGAAGGCAATTAGGCGAACGCATGTGACAACTGCTTGCACAGCGTGCAGGGAGAGTAAAGTCAAGGTATTATTTTAGCACCTCATTCGCTCCTATTGTGGAACAGGGACATTTGGAACTGACGGTAGCAGTGTGACGGGGATCGCCCAAAATGTGGGAATTGTAAGAAGGGAACGGCGAAGGCATGCGTGTATCAACAGGGTGAGGATCGGAGACGGTGCGTGCCCAATATTGAATCTGCCTCTTCCTCTGCGAGTCTGCAATGTCTGGCTTCTCTATACTGTCTTAAAGCATATCAGAAGTGGGACTTCAGGTCCTGAAAGGAGGCCTTAGTCGCAGCAGCTGATTGATTGACATTGTACAGGATATCTCTTCGGAAGGCTATCGAAGTTTTTTCGGCGCGTGTTAGTCAACTAGAGGCTATCATCCACGAGCATGGTCTTGCGGTACCTTCGATAGCTACAGAAGATGAAGCCCTTATCAAGAAGATGCTCGATTATATAAAGCCTCACGAAAGCTCTCCGCCAAAACAAGGAGCGAAATCCAACCATGGGCATACAATCACGGATTCCGTGGTCGTTGATTGTAACCAACGGATTGAGCAGCCTCCGGAAACGTTTGCGATGAGTACTGATGACCAGTCTGGAGAGTTCCTTGAACCTCAACACACGATGATGATGATGAACGATGGAGTAGACTTGCTTGAAAACATCATAGGAGATTCTTATACACTTCAGCCGTCTGCAAACTTCATGGAAATAGACCCCACGGGTTTCAATTTCGAAACGCTGGACTGGAATGCTGCATTCCCAGAGCTGCCCCCAGGTGTGGCAAGTGCCTGGGATGAAATCAACTATTCACACTCCGATGAACAACCTGTTCATGAGAGGGAGACTTTTGACGAGGATGAGGAGTCTATTGACTCAAGTGATGGGGACAAAGACGAAGTTATTTCCCAGATTTCAGAACGCATGGGCTCGTTGCAAGTCGCTGACGACGGCGAATTTCGTTACTTCGGTGCAACATCCAACTTGAACTTGCTAGACGAGGCAATACAGCAAAACAATTTTGAGACTGACCCTATTCGGTCGCGGGGGAGCAAGAGAGAGGACAACGCTAGATTGAGCCATCACGTTGATGCAGCGCTGATCACGCATTTGATTAGTCTTTATTTCGCGTGGCAAGACCCTACTTTTCATGTTGTCGACAGGAAGATGTATGAGGAGAAACAAAAGCTTTATGAGAGTGGTACTGACGACAGCACGTTCTATTCGGAGACGCTCACCCACAGCATGTAAGTCTTGCATCCTTTTTATTTTGCATTGTATCGAATCTGTATCTACAAGGTCATATTTCAGGTGGACAGAGTTGCAGGTAGTAGTAAATTTACGATAATGTGAATATGAGAAACAAAGAAAATTAATTACTTTTTGCTGTTTAGGTGTGCATTTGGTGCTCTCTACGAAACACGCAGGCACCCCCATCTCCCCACTCCACTCTCTGAGTTCTTTTCAGCGAAAGCCAAGTTATGGTTGGAGGTAGAGCTTGATAGCCCGCGAGTAGCAACAATACAGGCGTTAGTCATCATGAGCAGTTACGAAGCTGCAAGTACTCGTGATGCCAGGGGTTGGTTATACAGCGGTAAGTCCATTTATTCCCGTGCTGAAAACAATCGTAGATGCAAGTAAACTCGTCATTGTCAGACGTATTACAGAGCATCTGAAAAATATCTTTGGAAGGTTTGAGAGCTGAGAATGAGGAAATAGGAATGTCGATGCGTCTTTCTCTTGATCTTGGATTACACACTGATATGGCCCCTTACGTTCAGAACGGTCAGATGAGCAGCGAGGAGGCTCAAATAAGAGGTGTCACTTTCTGGGGAAGCTTCATCGTTGACCAGTAAGTTAATGACTTTCTTACACATGCTCTATAACACGACAAGGTCTACGTTTAAGCACGACGCTTGTTGATGGTTTGCCCTTCAAAATGATCATTCTGGCATCGCGAGTTTGAAAGTCCTTAGATATTTGAAAACACCACCTTCATTTTATGCTCTTAGGTTAATGTATATCTAGGTCTTGGGGATACTACTTAGGCAGACCACCAATACACATCAGGACTGAAGAAATATCTGCTCAAAAGCCCACAAACTTAGTAGATGCGGCCAGATTCAGTAGTTGGGGCCCTTATGGAATGTCAACACCTATGGGTTCTGTAGCATCATCCGCTTTGCAACTCAATGATCCAACCGAGCTGGTTTCGCGAAATTGGATAGATTTATGCGAGATCATGAGTGGCTCGAGTCTTACTTTGTCAGTCTCATGTACTGTCTCCCACGAATTTTACTGACGAACCTAGATTCGGTTTCATCAACGTGACCAAACATGCCCTTCAAGCCGTCGCAGAAAAAACGGTTGAAAGGTTGCGGAACTGGCATAACGGTTTGCCGCCAGAATTAAAGGTCGAACTTGGAAACGAAGGTGGCGTGTACATTCCTCATGTACTTATCTTACAGTAAGTTATTGTCTTGATATTCCGAATTGGTGCTCATTATTTTCATCATGTGGCCCTGACTTTGTCTGGTGGTCCCTGTAATGTGGGGCCAGAATATGTCACAAGGCTTACGAGAATCCTGACTCGGGAACAACAACCTTCGACAGTTTTGATGCTAACATATAAAAGAATGCAATATTATCAGTTTATGATCTACATCCACCGACCCTTCATATCCAGATACCGTTCTCAACCATATCCTCCAGTTGGTCGTGGCCATAACCATGCCCGAACAATCTGTATCGAATCTGCCGTAGCCATCTCCAACCTCCTCACCAAGTATGGATCCGCCTATACCCTTCGATTTATCAATATACAGGCTGTTTCAATTGTATTTTCCGCTGCACTTATACTGGTCTTTGCCACGGTGTCAGAGATCAGCAGCGATACCCATATAGGCCTCAATACACACCTTTCAACTTGTTGCAAGGGGCTTGCAGAACTCGGTAAAACATTTCAAAATGCGACAAGGGCTCTTGAAGCTCTTTTATCCATTAAACGAGCTTGGCAGGCGAAATTACTGGTCAATACTGGTTCAAAAAGACGAAGTTCTTCGGTAAGAACTCACAAGACTTCAGCCAAGAAGAGAACAATGTCATAGCGCTTGTAGCATGGCTCGTAGAGTAGACTTAGATAAATAACCTGGAACTCTACTCAAATAAACATACTCTGCCAGATAATTAGTAACAAGGCTGAAGTTCCTACCGCGATTCCACTATCTCGTAGAATCCGATCTCCGTTCATTACAGTAGTAGTGGATAGATCGCTACAAAATTTCGATATGCAGTCAGCTTTACTAGTTCAGTGTGTCATTGGTTTGTTGTTCCAGCTTTGATATGTCTACACCGTGCTAGTAAGAATCTGTCGATGAGCTAAATCCTAGGATGTAGAAGATCTTGAGGTGATTGCGGTCATTTGATTGACTGCGCTTTGTTTGCAATCGTGTTACGATTAATGCATTCCACACAAATGACACCAATGAAATGGTTGACACGATCGTATCAAATATCATTGTTGACGTGAAATAACCAAGGGCAAGCCACACTATGATTACACAGAGCTTGGGCCAACTTTCCGTTCGGTCTCGCTTCACCACGAATCATTTTTAGTGCGAGACAAGGCATTGGGTGTTATCTACATGCATTTCTATGCACCCTGCTTGGTTAGTGGGCCAATTCCAATCTCTGATCTCTTTCCATTGACTTTACTATGGCTGATGTAGCTCAAGGCTCTTATTTTCAGTTATTTATCACAACTTTAATAACCAAATTCCCATCACCGTCCGTCGTCTTAGCTGCCAACCCAAACGCGTCAGGAACAGTGTTTAACCCTTCGAAGCTGTGCGTTATCAGCTTCCTTATGTCCGGGATTCCTGCTGAAGAATCTTTCGAGGCTTGCATGATTTTCATGGCTTCTGGATACGTTTTTGCGTATCTCCAGACTCCCAAGAGGTCGACTTCCCGATTTCCAACCACTGACATTGGAAGAGTTTGAACTGGCGACCCCATCCCTACCAATACCACATTTCCACCAGCACGTGTTGACTGCAAGTTTGTGTGTCAGTAATATCTCTTTCCGCAAGTTGTTTTGGGAATATCATACGTAAATTGCGGTCTGAACGCAGCTTTCTACTCCTGTACACTCAAATGTTACATGGTACTTCAACGAAGACTTGTGCGACTTCGGTCTCAGTTCCAGTAATGAACTTGCAACTTCTCTTGCTATTTGCAACTTCTCTTCGGGCTCCTTCCCTCGCTTAGCAAGGATGGTTGAGACTTCAGAGGCAAACCCATGCTTCTTTGCAAAGTCTAGTCGGTTTCCTGCGATATCTGCCATGACAACCTCAGAACATCCGATCGTCCGCAACACAGCCGCTACGAGAAGACCAACGGCCCCAGCACCCAGAATAAGACAACTTGACGTTGATGACACGCGCGCTTTTCGAACGGCATGAACTGCCACCGACAAAGGTTCTAATAGTGCTCCTTCTTCATAAGAGATGGTTTCTGGCAGTCTGAGTAGAATCTTAGTACTGATATTCAATGGCGAAGAAGTAGAGAGTACAATCTTACAAATGACACCATTTTGCTGGATGATTTAATCGCTCCTGTAGAGTCCCCTGGAAATGAGGAAACGAGACTGCGCTGCTTCGAAATCGCATATCATCGCACAAGTTGTATCTTCCATCCTCGCAAACCTCGCATATGCCGCAAGGGATACCCGCCTCAATGGCAACTCGGGCACCTATCTTCAAGTGACCAGATTTCTCTACGTCCGAACCTAGCGAGACAATATCCCCGGATGCCTCATGTCCTTGTGACAATGGTTCTCGGACTATGATATCTCCGTTCGCGAAATGAGTGTAGTAGTGAACATCTGATCCGCAGAGCGTCGTTGATCTGACTGCAATTTGAACTTCGTCTGCAAGCGGCCCAGACAAGTCTCTGGGAGTCTTTTCATTTTGTCAGAGCTTCCAAATAAAACTAATGGAGACCGAATTCTTACCAAACGCAAATCTTTCGGTCCAAATAAGACCTGAGCCTTGTTTGAATAAGTTGCTGATGGCATTGTTATGATGTGGAAGCACACCCTCGGATTTTGTCATTCTAAGCTACTGGGAGTTTCGAATGAACAAGGAGGCGGTCTTGTAGTATTTGTGAAACATCCCAGTACTTGGAGAAGTTGGATTTATTCCTCATGAGAGAGCGAATGATAATCTCGGAAATGCCAATTATTTGGCGGGGGAGGGACGGGGACCGAAGATGCTAATCTGGGGCGGAATTTGGTTCACGACCAAAATGTTGGGAGCGCTGATTGCTTCCAGATGTCGGCTTTTGGAATCCGAAGTTTCTTGGCAAACATTACTGAATCGGCTTGATTGCTCTGCTCAACCAGATTATTTCACGGGATCTTTAGGTTGTGAGCTAGAATGAATATAAGAAGTCGAATGCAACTTCAACAAGCGAATGCAAAGTACTGTCAACTTTGTACACAATAACTCTATTCCATCACCATGGTTAGCTCTCGATCGCCCAACGCCATAATTATCGGTGCTGGTCCCTCTGGGATCGCACTGGCATACAAATTGAAGCACACTCTAGGCTTTGAAGACTTTACCTTATACGAGAAACTAGACGGTCCTGGGGGAACTTGGAGGACCAATACGTACCCAGGATGGTAAGTCTGCACCCTCTAGGCTTTTCGTCGTAACTAGAAATTGACCGTTGAATAGCGGTTGTGATATTCCCACTCACTTGTACTCCTTCAGTTTCAACCTGAATTCGAATTGGTCGAAAGTGCTCGCGGATCAACCTGAGATATTGCAGTATATGGAAGACACTGTCGACAAATTTTCGCTCAGATCCCATATTTTGTCTTCCGTGGAATGTCTCGGAGCAGAATGGAACAAGGAGACCTCCCTATGGCATGTCAAATTTCGCGATCTACTCACAAAAATTGAGTACACACGTACTGCTACCATCTTGGTCTCATGTGTTGGCGGAATCTCGTTCCCCCGAGACGTCAAATTCAAAGGCAAGGAGAACTTCAAGGGAAGCATGTTCCATACTGCTGAGTGGGATCACAGTGTGAATTATAAAGGCAAGAGAATGGTGAGTAGATCTTATCATTCCTTATTTTACGGACTCTTTTTAAGAAACGGAACTTTTAGGCCGTCATTGGAAATGGCTGTAGCGCAGCACAGGTGGTTCCGAACATCGCAGGCAAAGTTTCTTTCGTCAAGCAATACGCAAGGAGCGCTCAGTGGTACCACGATCGACCAAACAAGAGGTATTCCGAATTCGAGAAGTTTGCCTTCCGAGTAGTTCCCCTCTGGATGCGGCTACTCCGCCTATCAATCTTTCTTGATGCTGACGCTCAGTCTACTACTTATTTACCGACTCCTGCGGGGATCAAAGCAAGAGCGAAGGCCGAAGCTGAGTCGAAGGAGTACATACATGGCAAAACACCAAAAAAATATCATGATTTCGTTGTACCCACGTTCGCACTGGGTTGCAAACGGAGGATCTTTGATCCTGATTACCTAGACTGTTTGAACCGCCCAAATGTCGATCTTGTAGCAGAGGGCATTTCTGAGATTACTGAAGATGGGATAATCAGCAGCACAGGCACCAAGGATGTCTTTGATATCATTGTGTTAGCAACTGGTTTCCAGGTTTCTCAGTTCCTGACACCTATGAAAGTGATCGGCAAGCAAGGGATATCCCTCAATCAGCAATGGAGAGAATGCAGAGGCGCTCAGGCTTACCTTGGAACTTATGTTCACAACTTTCCCAACATGGCAATCATGTAAGTCGTTCTGCTCTTTTGCCCGTATATGATCTCGAAATCCAATCTTCAGAGCTAATGCATTCTAGTTTCGGACCCAATACCTTCCCCGCCAACAACTCCGCCCTCTTCTCTTGCGAGGTCCAAGTCGACTTTGCCATCAAATCTCTATTTATACCCATTCTCGATCGACGCGTCTCCGTCATCGAAGTCAAGCAATCAGCCGAAGATCGTGAAACAGCTAAAATCCATGATGGGCTCCGCAACACTGTATTCTCCGGCGCCTGTTCCAATTGGTACATCGGTGATTTTGGGAGGAACGCAGCAAGCTGGGCGGGCACGGCTGCAAGTTTTTGGAGGAAGACTTATTTCCCACAATGGAATGCGTTTTACATGGAAGGTGGCGAGAAGCTTTGGTGGCTTAACACAATGAGGAGATGGGTGAGGAATTTGAGTTGGCAGTCACGGTTGAGTGTTTTGGTTGTGGCCGCTTTCTACGGTTATCATACTTCCTTGCTAAGCAGATTTTCTGTGGAGTAGCTTTTGGAGTAAGGGTGGCAATAGCATGTGAATTTATCTTATTTCACAATTACAGTTCCAAAGATTTATCTCGCCCTGTTTAGTTCACTTAATGTTCTTACCTCGATGACGGTCAGGGATGTAGTATTCGTAGTTTTTATTTAAGCGTCCGAAAAAAATTAAAAAGATGTCTCTGCGCTTCTCGAGAGAAGCTGTGGTCAAAGATGCCTCTCTATCGTTATCGACTCTATCATATCATGAGCATTGTGCAGGAATCAAGCTGCCGAACTATCATATCAAGTAAATCCTGCTGTAAATTCAAAGCAGTCAAGTCCTAAACTGCCGAGCTCGCAGCTTTGGCCTGCCCAGCTTCCGAGTTCTGGAAATTTCTCCTATTTTCATATTTGGCCTTTCCAGCTACTTATTCTTAGCACACCGAGTGTTGAGTTGCCCATGGTGCCGGAAACGGGATGGAATCTAGTTTCCGTCGGAGGGGGAGAACTAGACATTTCCGGGCGCTCTTGGACCTGCACTTGCAGTACCGAGGGAAGTGAATTTGAGGTGGCGTGAAAGATATCATTTATATGACTATATAGTTTGTGAAAGCTATGACTGACCGTTACAATTGTTTGCATTTGTGGAATAATATCTACATTATCTTTTTGGGAAAACTTTTCTGAAAGCAACCCAGCCAGACTCTAGAGATGGCAGCCTAACACATCCTCAAAGGTCCGGAGGCTTCTCCAATTTCACAGGTAAGCCATGACAAGATTCTAGAGCTAGGCGTATCCTAACGATTCAGCTCGTTGACAAATCCCTCTTCATTTGCGATGCCTTCGTGGATGGCTCATGGATTGGAAGCAGCGAGAGCTTTGATGTTTTTGATATGTTCGTTGAAACATTTAAATGAGGGCTTATCCAAGATTAACTTTCCACAGAGCCTGTGGGAGGAAGCAAAATCAGCCAGGTCGCGAGTTTCAACGAACACGAGTTCAATACCGCGATAGAAAGCGCAAAAATTGCACAACAACACTATTACACTTCGACCACTGCAGCACAGCGAGTTGCATTGTTTCGTAACTGGTACGAATTAGTGATCAAAAACAAGAAGGATTGTATGTTTGCCATTTATGGAAATTGTAACGAGCCCAACTGATTTGAGCAGTGGCCATTATTCTTTGTTTAGAAAACGGTAAGACCTTGTTGGAAGCAGAAGCCGAAGTTGTCTATGCTGCAGACTTTATTGCTTGGTTCGCGGCAGAGGCCCCAAGGTCGTATGGAGATTCAATTCCATCGTCAATTCCGAACACAACTGTGATGACCTTGAAACAGCCTATTGGTGTCTGCGGCATCATCACTCCTTGGAACTTCCCCGCGGCCATGATAACTGGAAAGATTGCACCCGCACTTGCGGCAGGATGCGCTGTTGTTATTAAGCCACCGAAAGAAACACCACACACCTGCCTAGCCCTTGTAAAGCTTGCTATTGAAGCTGGATTACCTCCAAAAGCCATACAGGTCTGCACTACTAGTAACAGACAAGCAGCCACGATGCTGGCGACTCATCCAAGTATCAGCAAGCTATCATTTACAGGATCTACTGGTGTTGGGAAGATGCTGGCAAAGCTTGCAGCAGGCACGTTAAAAAAGTGTAGCTTGGAACTAGAAGGGAATGCTCCATTTATCGTTTTTGACGATGCGAATCTAGATCATGCTGTTGAAGCTGCTATGATCTGTAAATTTCGATGCACAGGTCAGACATGCGTGTGGTGAGTATAGCGAGCAATCTAGCCTAAGATCCATTACTAACTAGATGAAGTGCCAATCGCCTCCTTGTGCACAAGGCTGTTGTAAAGGAATTCACCTCAAAGCTCGTGCAAAAAGTCAGCGAACTTTCTATAGGCTCAGGCATCAACTCCAAGACGACTCAAGGCCCTCTTGTGAACAGAGCAGCAGTCGACAAGGTCAGGGAACATGTTGAAGACGCTATTGCGAAAGGGGGCAAGGTGGAAATAGGAGGATATGCCCGAAATACGTCAGGATTGTTCTTCCTACCAACGGTCTTGACAGGCGCCACTAGGCAAATGAAAATTGCGACCGAAGAGACGTTTGGCCCTCTTGCCGCTATTTTTGAGTTTACAACAGAGGATGAGGCTATAAGACTCGCCAACGACACTGAATTCGGCCTCGCAGGCTACTTTTTTAATAGAGACATCGGCCGCATTCTGAGGGTTTCCAGAGAGCTTCAATGTGGCATGGTTGGGGTTAATACAGGAAAAATCAGCGCTGCTAAGTCGCCGTTTGGTGGAATCAAGGAAAGTGGATATGGACGCGAAGGGAGCAAATATGGAATGGCGGAGTATGAGATCTTGAAGACTATCACGATAGGGAACACAGATGTGTAACTGGGCACAATCAATCTATTTCGCTTTAACTGTACTTTAACCACTCATAAACATGTTCTCGATAATTTGGATGAGCTCCCGTTTGACCATGTGGACGATTGGTGTTTGCCGTGAACTGCTTCCAAAGTCAAGACCATCTTTGACTAATCGTTTGCCTTTGCCACTCAAGACTCAAGTCACCACCGTCTTCCTACTGCTAAGATACTGTTACGGTTTTCGAAAGCTGAATTACACGGCCTCTGATTTTCCGAGGTGGTGTTCCTGCATTGTAGAAGTTCCAAGCCACCAAACGGAATCCAGATTCCGATCAGCGGAAGTCACGTGCTTCCGAAACTCCGTGACACTGGCCTTGAAGATTTGAATTGGTCATAAGAGGACATTTTGGCGTGATGTGGATAATGTGAACGAGAGACATTTTTTGGTTATGACACAAACCTCCCAGCATGACGGAAAAGCTTTTGAAACTTAAAACGGCACCGACATTCCGGCGATCGGTCTGGGAACATGGCAATCTTCACCTGGGCAAGTTAAGCTCGCTGTCACTCATGCACTTCTGAATGGATATAGGCATATCGATGCCGCCTACTGCTATGAGAATGAGGTGGAAGTAGGACAAGGACTTACCGAGGCATTCCAAGCTGGCATCAAAAGAAGAGATGTTTTTGTAACGACGAAATTATGGTCCACCTTCCACTCACGAGTGGAAGAGGCCTTAGACGAGAGTCTGAAGAATTTGGGCCTGGACTATGTGAACCTGTATCTCATGCATTGGCCAGTTGCTATGAATCCAAATGGTATGCTTATACTACCCTCAAAATTAAAGAGCAAGCCTGAGAAGTAAGGGAATCATCCACTGTTTCCGAAGTTGCCAGATGGTTCCCGAGACATCGAACATTCTTGGTCATATGTTGAGACCTACCAGCTCATGGAAAAGCTTCTCGATACGGCAAGGTTAAGGCTATTGGAGTTGCGAACTTTAGCGTAAAATACTTGGAAGAGCTTTTGGGACATGTGTCAGTTGTGCCAGCAGTCAATCAGACTGAGAACCATCCGTTCCTGCCTCAGTATGATAACGTCGATTTTTGCAAGCAAAAAGATATCCATATTACGGCCTACTCGCCGCTCGGCAGCGCTGGCTCTTCTTTGTTGACCGACGAGGGTATCAAGAAAATTGCAGATGAGTATCGAGTTTCAGCATCAACAATTCTCATTAGTTTCCATAGTAAGTGACTATTTTTTTCAAACAGAAAGCATCCACCAACTCATAATTCGCAGTTTCGAGAGGCTTATCTGTCTTGGCTAAGTCGGTGAACCCTCTGCGTATCAATTCGAACAAAGAGGTTGTGGAGATTAACTGTATGGACTTGAAAGCTTTGAAGACGTTGGCTGCCAAGAGAGGATTTGTAACCCGCTACGTATATCCCGCTTTTGGTATAGACTTCGGATTTCCAGATAAAAAGAACCATTGAGTGAGTTTTAGAGAATGAACGTGTTGTGATCGAATATTCTTTTTTTCAAGATGCTAGTATCTGCACATTCTCAGTAGTTTTTCACAGCTCTGATGAGTCAAATAATGTTCTGGACTAACAAAGTGAGGACTAGAGATGACTCTTAGATCAGGATATGGTGCAAATCAGATAACTTCGAAGCGATGTATGCTCACTCAGCGTGCAATCCATATCACCGTGGATCACTATTTGGAGTAATCAGCATGAGTTTTGTCATTTATCGTCATGAACAGGTTCTTGCACCATATTTGAGCAAAAGGCTACGTACTATTTTCAAATTGTTGAAGTTTCTGCCTATGAAATTTGCTGTACTACCTCCTACTCGGTTCTTCCAGCATGAATACCTCCAGTAATCAGTAAATCATCTCCGGTGTGATATGCGCTAGCATCGCTGAGAAGATAGACGCATGCACCCTTCAAATCTGTTCTGTCTCCCATGCGTTTCATCGGTGGCTCATTAACGAATATCTTGGCAAGTCCCGGTCTAGTATCGGAGATCGCAAGCGTCATATCGGTCATCATGTATCTTTAGGCGTCAACATAGTTCTTCCTTGATTTATGCAAAGAAATATTCACATACCCAGGAGAGATACTGTTGACCCGCACGTTGCGATCGGCCAGCTCTACCGCTAGCTCTCTAGCCATTGACAAGACAGCACCCTTGCTTGAGCAATAATCCGATAAATACTGAGCTTTGCTAGCTTGATATGCTGCGACTGAACCTATGAGGATAACAGAACCTCCTTTTGGATTGAATTCAGTTGGTTTTTGGCGTACCATCTGCGCGGCAGCAAGCTGAGCAGTGAAGAACACGCCCGTGATGTTGATGTCAAAACACCGTGCTACTGCCTCTGGGCTTCGCTCAAGGAAAGGCTGGTCTGGACATATTCCAGCCGCCGCGACACTATAATCCATTATTGTTATTCTCCTGTACGACAAATGTTGTGGGCAGAATATACTTACCAACCATCGATACGCCCAAAGTCTTCCACTACTTCGTCAAAAGTTGCCTTCAAGATCTCGAACTTAGTAACATCGGTCCTAGAATGAGAATGAAAATGGTATTCTAACAGAAAATCTTGGCGAGATAAATTAGTTGACGTACTTGTAAAGTTTGACTTTGACGCCATAGTCATTTTGAAGCTTAGAAAAATGCTCGTGAGGGGTTTCTAGAACGTCGAGAACGGCCACATCTCCTCCAGCTTCTGCTACAGCAATACCAAATGCAAGACCAATTCCTCTTGCGCCGCCTGTGATCACAATAACCTTCCCTTTCAAGGAGAAAAGAGATTGTACGGTGTGGTGCAAGTACCTGTCATTGCTGCGATCGAGATCTGCCGAATTGGACGCCATAATTTCTGGAGATGTCAAATAACTTGTTGCTAGAAAGGAGTTTTTCCAATATTGAAATATGCGGGGGCTTATTTTAAGATAGATTGAGGGCTCTATCGGGAATTTGTGGAGACATGCAGATCCCCAGATCTCGGAAACCATGATCCGCTGGCTTACCAAAAACGCCCTTCCCCTTTTTTCATATTTTTCTTCGTTAAGCAATTCATCTTCAATCACCACAACTTCTATTCACTTTAATTTTGTCGTCAAAGAACAACAAACAACAAAATGTCACACGCATTGATTCTTGGAGTCTCTGGCATCTCTGGTTGGTCTATTTTGAACCAGATCCAGGAATATCCCACAAAATCCACCTTTTCACGCATCACGGGCACTACAAACCGTCCATTCAGTTTGCAACAAGCTAGGATTGCACCAGATCCGCGCATCAATCTTATCAGTGGCATCGACTTCACCAAATCAGTCCCAGAGGTCGTGAGATTATTGAAAGAGAAAATATCTGATGTCAGCACTGTTTCGCATGTCTTCTTCACTGCGTACATTGCCACGGATGATTTTGAGTCCCTTAGAAAGGTCAACACTTCGTTGTTAGAGACTGCAATACGGTCTATTGAGGAAGTTTCAAAGGATCTGAAAGTTGTCATTCTCCAAACTGGGGGCAAAGGGTGAGCCAAAATTCGTCCACTAATAATTAGAACTTTAGCTAACTCGCGTGCATTATAGATATGGGCTCGAGTTCCCAAAAGAGGTCAACATTGCGCCGCCTTTAAGAGAAGACATGCCGCGTATTCCACAACCATACCAGGACAAAATCTTCTACTATACGCAATACGATCTGCTCACTGAGCTCTCCAAAGGCAAGTCCTGGACCTTCACTGAGATCCGTCCAGATGGAATCGTGGGATTCGTGCCAGGCTCCAATGCAATGAACATGGCGCAAGGAATAGCACTCTACCTTTCTCTTTATAAGGAAGTTAACGGCGTCGGGGCAACTGTTCCTTTCCCTGGCTTCGAGCATGGATACAATTCGACTCACTCGGATACCTTTCAAGACGTACTTGCGAGGATGGAAATCTTTGCCGCGACGAACCCCCAAAAATGTGGAAACGGTGGCATATTCAACATCGCCGATGGTGATACAGTCACTTGGGCACAGGTATGGCCTAAAATATGCACATACTTTGATCTTATTGGAAGGGGACCCAAGCCTGACTCTCAGCCCATGGAAGCTTTTGTGAAAGAAAATGCAAAGGCTTGGGGAGCGATGGTCGAGAAACATGGATTAGATCCTTCTGGGATGAAATTCCAAAATTGGGCACATGTTCATTTCATGCTTGTACAGTTTGATTTTGACCGACAGTATGATCTCTCGCGTGCCCGGGAAGTTGGGTTCATGGAGTCGATCGACACTGCGCAAGGTTATTTTACGGCATGGGATAGAATGAAGGCTGCAAAGATCTTCCCTTAAGCTCCCTTACAGCTCTTGTTTTCAGTACCTTTCTTTGTATGTTGGTTAAATGTAGCCATAAGAAACGAAGTTTAACAGGTTATAATATCAGATGATTTCACTGCGTGCAATTTGGCGCCGGCGTAATCGAATTTTCTGGCGAGACCTGTGAGCCAGCGAAGTCGACTTCCACCTCTACGGAAATGCGAGACGCAATTTCCGTCAACGCGTTTTCATAATAACCAACTAAATATCGGTCCAATTGAGTTTCCGCTACAGCAAATAAAGTGACGACAAAATGTGCCACCAGTACCCGTACTGTACCTCCGTGCATTTGGAATTGTTCGTCCGAGGACCTGCGTACTATACCGGAAAATGGCTCCCACGATTCCTCTCGGAGGAACCACGGCTACATTCCACCACCAACGAGTTCGGGGGAGAAATATAGGAACCATATGTACTGAGGCTTCTGCTAACAAATAAGCCCGACACGTCCTCAAACTATCCTTTGAAGTTCATCTGCTCTACATTTTTGATCAATCATGTCTCCTCAACTAAATGGCACCACCCTCGAGGAGGCGTCCAGCGAGTCACATCTGAGGCTACCCACCACCATTACCAAAGCTCAAATCATCAAAAATGAAACCACCAAGGACGTTCAAGGGGGTTGGGTTCCTAGATCTGCGGATGACTATGCCCAACTCGCTGTACGAAATTTGGTCATGGACATGTGTATGCAGAATGCAGGTGAGCACGGTGGCTCTGCATTAGGAATGGCCTCTATTGGAGTCGCATTATGGAAATATGTCATGAGATATAATCCGTCAAACCCAGATTGGTTCGATCGAGATCGATTCGTTCTCTCTAACGGTATGCCCCTCAGGCTATTCTCAATGGTATGACAAAAGTTTACATCTCTTTCCAGGTCACGCAAGTATGTTCTTGTACGTCATGAATCATCTGGTTGGGTACGAGAACTGGACAATGGATGAGTTAAAGGGGTATGGAGCTGCAAAGACGAACGGATATACTACTATTGCGCACGCACACCCAGAAATCGAAGTTCCAGGAATTGAGGTCACTACTGGTCCTCTTGGACAGGGAATTGCTAATGCCGTTGGCTTAGCGATTGCGTCTAAAAACCTGGCAGCAAACTTTAATGAAGCATCACTGGAGCCACTCATACAATCGCGAATATACTGTATGACTGGCGATGGATGTTTAATGGAGGGTGTTGCTCTAGAAGGTAAGTTCAATCAATCATATACAGTTATTGGTTTAATTCAATTATCATAGCGATCAGTCTAGCGGGTCATCTACAACTGGACAACCTTGTCCTGCTGTATGATGATAATCAAGTCACTTGTGATGGTCCTCTAGAGTGGATTAGTTCAGAAGATACTAACACAAAGATGCGGGCTTCTGGATGGGAGGTAATCGATGTTGCCAATGCTTCCTATGATGTTGAAGCAATCGTGGCAGCATTGCGGTTCGCAAAATTTTCTAAAGGGAAGCCAGTATTCATTCACTGTTATACCGTTATTGGAGTCGACACCGCAACAGCGGGAACATACAAGGCCCATCATGGGACCTTTGACAAAACCAGTATTGCCCACTTGAAACGCCTTGCCGGCCTGCCTGAGGAATCGACTCATATCGTTCCTGACGAGCCAGTACAATTCTTTAGAGAAAGGAAAAGCTTTGGACGAGAGTTGGAAGATAAATGGAACGCACTGAGAAAAGAATATGAGAATGCATGTCCTCAAAGAGCGAAGGACCTCCAATCAAGAATTGATGGTTCTCAAGGGCCTTGGCTGAAATTTTTGGACGCGGTCAAACCTTGTGAGTTCGAGGGACTGGCTACTCGGGAGGTGAACGGGAATCTTTTGGAAAAGCTCTGGGTTGCAAATCCAGCTCTCTGTGGTGGCGGAGCAGATCTGGTGAATTCGAATAAGATTTCTTATTCACTGACAGACGTCTTTCACCCGATGCAGGTAGAACTATTCCTTGATCTTCTTTCTAGCCCATTCTAATTTTCAAATAGAGTTACAAAGGCCGCTACTTACGGAACGGAATCCGAGAGCATGCTATGGCATCCATTGCAAACGGCCTTGCAGCATATAATCCTGGCACCTTCCTCCCGATCACCGCAACTTTTTTCATGTTTTACATTTATGTAATGTTCCCCGCCCTTAACAAGCATCAGCGTGCTGACCACAACTTTTCTCAACAGGCTGCTCCAGGTGTTCGAATGGGTGCTTTGAGCCATCTACCGGTTATTCACATTGCAACTCATGATTCTTTCGCTGAGGGACAGAATGGACCTACACATCAACCGGTGGAGCTTGACTCTCTATATCGTGCGATGCCAAACCTTACTTACATCCGACCGTGTGACGGGTAAGTATTGAACCCTGGATGTTTTGAGCAATCTTAATGAAAACTGACGCCAAAATCTAGGGAAGAACTTGTGGGTGCCTGGAAGGTTGCTCTTGAGAATCATCACGGTCCATCGATGCTGTCTATTGCACGAGATCCAGTAGGACCTGTTCCAAACACGGACCGCCACAAGGTGAAATTCGGAGCATATGTTATCACAGAAGATCCTTCAGCAGATGTTACCATTGTGAGTTGTGGAACAAATCTGCACTATGTGGTTGCTGCAGCAGAGTCACTAAGGGAAAAGGGCATTTCATGTCGGCTTGTAAG